ATATATCTGGATCTCTTCACCATACAGTAGCTAAGTGGCTAATTGAAAACCTTAAATCTGCCAGGAGACAATTATCTATCCAATCCCTTCGTTATACTTTCCAATATGCCGACTTTACATAAGATATAAGTGCTTCCAATAAAAAGTTACTTTTAGATGTAGAATCCCTATTTACTAACGTCCCATTTACAGAAACCATGTGCCTAATATGTAGATATATTGACGAAAACAAGCTGAATTTAGAGATGCCTGCTACACATCTGAAAGAACTACTATTGAGGTGCAGACTGAATGTACAATTTACATTCAGTGAAACAGTCTGCAGATAAAAGAAAGATATGGTCATGGGGTATCTTTTGGGTTCTCCACATACAGACTGTTTACAGTCAGTCTAGTCAGTCAGCTGAACTCAGCAATCCAAGGTCTTCAGTTGCATGGAAAGCATGTAGATTACACCTTTATTATTTGGGATGATAACTGTAATTTGAATTATTTATTAAATGCATTAATAGTTGGCATCCAGTAATAAATTCATACTCGAAATGGAGAATGAGTCTGACACTCATTTTCTTGATGTGAAGTTATCAAGGATGGAACTATGAGGAGATCAATTTATTCGAAACTGTCATGCAATGGTCAGCTAAAAAATTTCTACAGGTGGGTACCCATTAATCAAGAAGGAAACCTAACTCAATCATTTATCACTCACATTCGGTGTAAATGTAGCCGTGTTACTGTGGAGGGAGAGTTAGATCTTTAGGAAAACTCCTAATGGAAAATGGATTTCCACCACATTTTGTAGACAAGAACACATAGTTAAAACCTATGAAATGTGATTTAGCGTCTGTAACTGGGAAAATGCTGCATATGAACCTTGAACTCAGAGGAGACTTAATTGCTGACATATCCTTATAAGAAGGATCTCATAGTCCCTAGAAATTACATTCACTCCAGTATAGTATAGTCCACCACTACTGTTTAGTAGCCTGGAGGAGAAGATCCCACAGCTGACCAACTTCATGTGACTTTACAAGTTCACCTGCTCCAGTGGAGTTCGACGCGGAATTGTCCAAAATGTGTGCAAGAACACTAACTTGTGTGGTTACGAAAATGTGGAAGTGGATCTGTATGAAGCGTGATAACTGAACACATGATTGATACCGGTCACCTTAATTCTACAGCTTCCTTCTTTAAAGTTATCTATATGGGCTAAAGTAATTCACACAAAGCATTACGTCTGTATTGCGCAATTTCGGGTCATAGAAATGGAAAAACTAGATCTATTTATACAGAAAAAGTTTGTTCAGCCGCTCCTTTCTTCAGATTCTTAATCCTTCTGTGCTAAAATACTATAATCGCTATTTATGCTTTGACCCTATTTAGTTTTCGCTTTGTTTATTCATTGAATATATCCACCCCATATCATTTCCATTGCTGTTATCAATTTTCCGGTATTATCTTACTTGCCACTTTTATTTACTTAATTCACTATTATTGTTTTTCTTTTGCAGTCTCGTAACATAATTATTACCGTGTAGCGTAATGGTTCGATTTCCTACTAATCTAATTTAAACATCTAGAGAACTATTTTACAAAATATAGCGATGACGTCAAACAATGAAGACATGTGGCCACAAAGTATTTTTTATTACTTCACACTACTTAAGTTTTGTGAGTAATATGAATTATAATTAAAAAGAGTCTCAACACATGGGCAATTAATTTTTTGAAGCCAAAAATTGCTAACAGAGAGGACACTGAAGACATAGATTCTCCACTCCAAGCCTTTTTCTTCTCCTTCTGTTCTTGACTGCCTTGCGTCCTGACCGGAACGTTGAACTTCAAAGGTTTCAGTAGCGATGGTGTTGCCTTTCATGGAGTGGTGACACTAGCCTCCGTGTTTTCCGGTCTTACTACCGGCTACTAAGCTAGAAGGGGTTTAAGAGTTCTTCGGTAGGGGATCATTTCCATACCTCTAATTTAATGGGTTAACATTTTTCCAGTGAGCTACCGATGCACTCAAGAAGTTTGAAAAATGGCATATTGTGTATATGGGTATTTTGTATGTGTGCATACTTCTGAAGACGCCAACTGAAGAATATTTATTGAAATGAATGTTTGGTTCAAAACAGCATCACTATCGTTTTCTCTAATGTTTCCTTTGTCTTTTTTCACCTGTTTTAGTTGCCTTAATTAACACAGATCTATACTTTTCTTCTCTATGTGAAATGACCATTATTTTGCCAGTACTTTACCTATAGCATTACTCCACTTTGTCAAACTAATATATGGATTGATCTCAGTACATCAGAAGTAAAAATATCCCACAGCTTCATACGACAGTTTAAACCAAGCCTCTTTACAGAAATAAAAGCAGACAGGTTTCAGAAATGAAGTGAAAAATTGGCTTTCACATTCCTTGTCTAAAGATATCTGAGTTGTAATTAATATTTTTGAAAATAGCTATTAGTCAGCATTTGCTAATATTCTCTGTAAATGTGTTATTAATATTATCAATTAGTTTGATTAATTAGGCACAATTACTTCCCTGACGTCCATTATTTAGTAATTTTATGGAGGGGTAACATATTCCAATGACAACGGAATTTTCAAAACTATCATATTGCCCAATTATTCAATACTTTACTAGACTATAATATGTTGATTAGACTGCTTAGTTGTTTTCAGTTTTGTACACTTAATCTATTGAATTAGGAAATTGTGCAATCATTATTTATATTACAGAAATCACTGATCTTGTTTCACATGTTCAAGTTCATTTCCTTACTGCCTCTGATTTTATCCACTCAATAATTTTTGGAGAATTTTGAGGAAAAGCCACGGAATAAAGTGCCCTTCATTTTCTCCTTTTTAATGACAAAAAGACTTAGACACTTAGGCACTGTGGTAGAATGTAATTCCATATTGGATAAGTTTATTTTAAATATCACACAGTGATACAGCATTAACTGCTGGATGATGTTTAGAGCATAACTTGTTTCTCCTAAGCATATCAAATAGAACAAAATTCCACATATTACAGTTCTGCTTCAGGTTATGTTGACAGATAAACTGCAACTGTGTAATGGTGATGCCCTGGTAAGGAGAATCGGTAAAGGTGTTAGTGAGTGCAACAACAGCAAGTAATATGGCTTATGATTACATATAATGTAACCAATATTGCTGCAGTTTCTTAAAGGTTTTCTGGATTTAAATATATATACTCTAATATACATAATCCATCACATACATGCAGCTCAGGAATAGCATTGATTTGAATAAGACGTGTAAGGCGACACAAATCCAAATGTAGAATGTCTGGCCAAATCCGAAGACACATTCAAAACTACTTGTGAAAACATTAAATGTATGAAGATTTAGTAGTGGTTTTAATCATTTATCTTTGAGAAGACTACACTGTTTGCAATGATTTTAACTAATGATGCAATCAATGGAAAATGCTGTGGACCGTATTATACTTCTTACTTAACTAAACTAGAATAGACAAATTAAACTATTCAACTGAGGCAGGACATTTGTTATATTGCAGTTGGACAGACTAGAAGTCCGACGTTATACAATCAGATAACTGGTTATTTGAGAGCTTAACTTTCCTACGTATACAATATTTGTTTATAATATATATTTGTGTAATAATAGCCGGTCTGTTTTCTATCATTTTCGTGCGCTCAGAGGGTCAGAAGTAATCAGTGATCAATATTAGTATCGGACACACAATTCGACAGTATTATTGCTTCATCTAACAGAAGAATTCTTGTCTTTAAAATTTTAAGTACTTGATTGACGTATACTGACATCTTTGAAATACGACCTTGAATAATACCCTATCATTCTCTGATTTTTGTCATTGATAAACGATTTACAAGTTTTCGCTTTCAAAAGAACAGTGGATCATAGTTCCAAGATTAATTTAGTCATATGGAATATCGCTTTTATGTTAGTCAGATTTGTCTGCAATATTTTCCTAGTAGGCTTACGATTTCTGAAATGGGATAGTTGGCAGACAGCTGAGATAGTTATATATCTGTTATGTCGGACAGGGATGGTGCGTCATACTTATTCGTATGAAATTATGGGCCGCTAAGTAACATTTCGAAATTCCCTTGATTTCTGCTAGCTAGTTCCTGATACAGGTCTCTAGATTATATTTCCGCATCTCAACAATGGAACGTAGACGCGTATGCCTAAGATAGACGTATGATAGAATTCTGAGTTATAATGGGCAGTCATCTCTGGGCTGCACTACGAACCACTGCAGTCTCTGAGTCAATAAATATCATTCTGTGGTGAGAGATAGTTGCTAGCCAAATTGGTTGACAGTAATTGAGGTCAATGTTAGTCATGTGAAAACAAGGTCAAAATGGACAGGCGGATACAGTTAACATATAGATGAACTGACACAGCCACAAGAGATGCAAGGTTAACTTTGTGTGAGAAACAATCAATCAACAGACTGTATTTTCTACTAACATTAACCTACAATAATGTACATCAAAATCTATAAATAAGTGTTGATTTTCCGTAATAAACGTTCTGTTGCCTGGCCCTTGTCTTCTGTTGTTACAATTCCACTACAGGTTTATAGACTGGCAAGCAGTGTTTCACGTTCAAGTTGTACGTGAATGCTATCGATTATAGATATAATTCAGAAAGATGAACAAAGAACTCAGTTAGTTAATTGCAAATCTTGTTATGATTTTCCTTCGGGAGCCGGGATATTTAGATGACATGTTACCTGCTCAACATCGTAAACAGCGCTATACAGTCAGCCGGGATATAACACGTTACGATCAGTTGGAAAAGTAGGCCGTTTCCAGTTGTTCAGTGGTACTTACATGTTGCAAAATATACTTTGTGATTTGTAGTAGGCTACTCACTAATAACAAGTACCATTATAATTATATAGATAATTTAATTGCTCATGTTCTCATCTGAAGGAAATTATCACACATGAGTGATTTGAAACAAATATAGATGCAGTCGTTTTTAAATAAGAAGGATTTCGTTCTGAAAACTACATTATTTTACTCTGAATAATTTTAGGATAACCAGAAGTGGCAAATATGAAAAATGTAAAGTTAATCGATAGTGAAATGACACATACTTGGCAATATGACTCACACATTTGTGTGCTTTTTTCTATTTAGTGAAAATTGAGAATATTGAGGTAGGAAGAAGGAAAGAAAATTGCTAGTTACCAAAAGATTCATTCCTGGCTATCGTAATCTGTCAGTTAGCCTGTCAAAAGTTATAGTTATGACCACAATATTTATGACTTCGAGTCGTTTGATTTTGTTTCTTCAGAGATGTGGTTTTGTTGAACATATTCCAACAATTCATCCATTAATGACTTTAACTGAATGACATTCTTCGCAGGGTCTGCATCTGGATCATACATCTGTTCTTGTTGTTGTGCCGCAGTAGTGATCAAAAACTTTTTACCCCATTCTGTTTTATGTAAACCAATCCAAATAATAAACTGAGCTGCTATAAACTGTGTGATTTCATGATCATCTGATTGTAGACTCAAATCTTGAAGGACACTGTGAAAACTTTCATCCAATATAGCAATGAACATACTAACCATAACAAATACAACGCATAAAGAGAAAGCAGCAAATAGTAATGGACCCAGTACCATCTCTCTTTCATACATACTAGTAAAGTCGAATTTCCCGAGAATAATTTGCATACTTGTCTCTACAGCATTTAAAACTGTTCTAAAACCATCAAGTGTATCGGTGTATAAAAGATAGAAGACTAGTACAAATGAGGAAAAGATGACTAGAAAGATGAAACAGAAATACTTCAAGTCTTTTGCTGCATACCTTAGAACAGAGCCAAGCAGACCAACCCGCCGGTTAAAGCGAAACAGATACACAAGCTTTAACATAGCGAAAAAGCAGATTACAGCTGTTAAGTAGGTTAAATTTTCATTCCAATAGGCCAGTAATTGAAAGTTCATAAATACATTGCCATTTGTGCGTGTGAATTCCTCGACAGCTGACTGTGTGCTCAAAATCATGTAAATGTATGCAGCTATGGCAGCTACTGAGCCGAATATTATGAATAATTCAACGAAATTCCAAAATTTCATGAAATATCCCAATCGTTGTTTGTATATATTTCGCAATTCTTTTATCAGATAACAAAACAGAATGAACACATACAAGCCCTATCGGAAAAAGCAAAAGATAGGAAATTAGTACATTTCGGAAAATATTTTCAATAAAAGTTGAATGTATATGTTACCACAGTGAATTTTTCGGAGCTGTCTCACCATCTTAAATATGACTGATTCGAATTAACTATTACCGCATCCTTTGCATAAGAATTCTAAGCCATAAAAATGCATATGCTATATAGCATCTTGAATTCAAATTGGTACTCTTTTAATTTAACACCTAGAGGGACAGCAAAAAATGAGGACTATCATTCATATCACGTCATCTTCAGCCCATTTTGTAGTATATTTTCGAGGAGATGTATTTGTATGTATGTGTGTGTTGCAGATATCTCTTAAAAGTGACCTTGGTAAAATAAGAACGTTACTTGATCCAAGTTTTGGCAGAAATGACTAATCTTATAGCAGGTATGTATATATTAAAGCTTGCGCTGAACATGTTGTCTAGAAGAACAACGAAAGCTTCTCAGTTGAATCAACAAGCTAAGAGAATACAGCCAAATCAAAAGGTGTTTGTTCTTTTCTATGCCTTAATCGCCACAACCACCAGTCAATTAAAACTAGACCTAGCATTTCGAAAATATTGACATTAATAAACTTTTTGAGTTAATTTAAAAATTTGTTTATTCTGATCACTCTACATGGACAAATTAAATTAATTTAAAATGCCATTTTCCCTATGGTATTCACTTCTGTGCAGTTCAATCGAGATTTTGTATTCAGTTTATTTGACTGTATTTACTTGTACAGTTCATAAAAATGTTCATCAGTACATGATGACTTAATGTTTAAACAAAGTCATCATATTCCATCTAGATAAAATTCTTCAAAGAATGTCACAGATATCCTGCAACTGGAGTACCATTTAGCAACATGAAATCATGTTTAAGAAGTATACATTACACGGGGAACAATCACTGTGTAGCTGATGCAATTTATATTCTTCTTCCACAGATATTTAATTCTTGTAAACTGTGGTAATTTATGCAGATTTCTGAGGTTAAGAAATATTTATCGAAAACATCCAGTTGCAGTAATGTATGCTTCAAATTTTCGCTCAAGACTCATACTAGAGTACTTGTATGAAAACACAGCAGTGAGCCGAAAGTATGCCGGTTGGCCAAGTAAGATGAAGATGAAGAAGTGTCGACTAAGTATGGTCACTGAAGTTGGTCGGTACCATTTAATACTAGTCTCCTCATACTTTTCTGAATCTCAAGTAGCAGCAAATTTAAACTCTGCATGGAAAACACTTAGATCGTATACATCAGGATGTTTTAAACAAATTCCTAATATATTCCTAAAGAACAGTTTACTGAAGTAAAGACAGGAATTTACTGGCATATCTTATTCGAAGTAATCAGCTGTCCAACTGACATTCTGCAGCAATAGGTTGTTATGACTGCAAAGTGGAGGACTGTATTGTTATGATTTACATCATACATCTCTGTTAGTTACAATATCATGCTAGATTTCTAGTCCTCTATAATCAAATAACATTTCATTATGATTAAGTTATGGTCTTTGAACATCGGTTAAAATACTATTGCTGATAATGTAGACCCATTAACTGAGTTGATATTTGTGTTATATGGTAACACTAGCCAAATAAAAACTAAAAAATATTCAGGTTGAAAAGACGTTTGAATTGAGTATATTCCATTAGATCATCGAACAAATATATTGTGGAGGGAAAGCTGACTGAATTTATTTACTAAAAGAAGTATGAATAGGTGAATGTTTCGTTTGTGAATAAATATTCTTAGTGTATGCGTGATATATGAAAATCCAAGGATATCAAACCAGGTAAATGCCTTAACTACAAATAGTATGCTGTACTTTATGTTAGCACTTCTTCAGTAACTATCTTATATTTGGATTTTTATAGTTTTATGGGTCCACAGTTATCTTCAAAGTAGATTAATCGTTTAGGCATCATTTAATTATGTTTATAAAGAGATTACAGGCAATTACAGAAGTTACTTAATTCAAGAGTGTTTAGTGCGTAGTGTATGAACTGTTGGCTTGAGAATTAATCATTTAGAAAAAGCAGCCAACTGAGCGAAGAAGTATACTCATCCTCGATTAGTTTTCTACCAACTGCTCTACACTATATATATATATATATATGTATATATAACTGAAAAGCAATATACTTCTTCGCTCATTTGGTTGTTTATCTAAATAAATAAATGTGAATTTTTAAATTACCGAAATTGACTATTTTTATTACCATCATTGTAAGTAGTAGAACTAGTGGTAATGCCGTGTTGAAAGAAAAATAAAGGAGAGACAGTCAGTTCAGTTATTTGCTAAATCCATATCTGGAAAAGATTCTGTGATTTTTCTATTTATTTGTTTATTGTGAATCTAATAACTCCAATTGAACCAACATTGTTTATAATAACGATTTGTAATATTTTATTCTGTATAATGCATTTCTTAAGTGCAAATTGTTTCATTCATAAAAATCTTTTTCTGGAGATAGCTCATGCAGGAATTCATTTTTGTTTGGCATTATCAAATGTTACTGTTTTTTGGCTACAGTCCACTTCTATTAAATATTCCAACAGTATTGCTTTGTCTTACTGACATTGTTGTTCTTGACCAGAACGTCTGGAATTTCTGTCTGACTGATATTAATTCATCAAAATCTATCAGTTAGATATCCGTCCATACTTCACAGAGTCCTTTTAAGTCTATCCAGAACTGCATATGGTTTCTTAAACCTACTACATAAGTAACTCCAGTTAAGATAGGCTATGGGCTGATTCTCCCAGAACATGGTGAGGATAAACCTAATTTTAATGATTGTCATTCTATATCTTATCAAAACGTTGTTGTTTTGAGCGAAGCATCGATTCAGTATAGGCGTGTATTCATTCTAACAATAGACACACCTACAATAAATTGATATCACAGTTTAAAATGCAGGTTTTTAGTGAGAAACACCTCAGTAAGGCGATTGCAACTTGAAAAGAAAGAATTAATTTCTAGACAAATGTAGCCAATTGCTTAGCAATGCAATTTCTTTGAACTACAGTGAAGGCAAACAAAGTGAAGGATATTCAGTCCTTAGGCATGATTGTCACATTTCCTCCGCAAACTATGCATTATTATTATTATTGTTTCCTTTAATTCCTAGAGGAACATAGGGCTTCAGCCATGCGTCTCCATTGCGTTCGGTCCTCTGCTAGAGTCTTCACCTGGCTCCAAGTCTGCCCACACGTTTTCATCTCCTCTTCACATGATCTCCTCGGACGACTAACTCGCCGCTTCCCTTTCGGGTTCCACTCGAGGGCTTGTCTAGTGATGTCACTTGATGGTTTCCTCAGAGTATGGCCAATCCATATCCATTTCCTTCTGTATATTTGTTTCACAATCGGTTCCTGGTTGGTTCGCTCCCAGAGATCTCTGTTACTGACCTTTTCTGGCCGGCCATCTGATCTTGAGTATTGAGCGAAGACAACTGTTAATGAAGGTCTGTAGTTTGTTTGAGTTGCTCTTTATGACGCGCAGTGCAAGTCTCTGATCCGTATAGTAGCACTGACTTCACATTGGAGTTGAAAATCCACACCTTATTTTTGATGCTGAGTGTTGTTGACCTGCATAATCGTTAGCGGCACCCCCTAGCAAGGAAGCAGTAGCCAAGTCACCTCTCGATCGATGCTGAGCTATCGAAGGCCTTTTCAAAGTTGATGAAGTTGAGGTAGAGAGATGACTGCCATTCCAAGCTCTTTTTTCAATGATGATACGTAGTGTTGCGATTCGATCGATGCATGACTTGTTCTTCCTGAATCCAGCCTGTTCCGGTCGAAGTTTTTCATCCAGGTTGGCATGTTTGATTCTCTCCAGGATGATGCGGCTTAGTATTTTGCTTGGGATGGACAGGAGCATAATTCCGTGCCATTTCTTGCATTGACTTAAGTCTCCTTTCTTTGGTAGTTTGAATAAGTATCATTTCTTCCAATCCTCGGGTACTTTGCCTTCTTTCCACACCTTCTCCAATAGTGGCGTCATCAAGTCCGCTGTTGTCTCTGGGTCCATTTTCAATGCTTCTGCTGGGATTCCATCTGGTCCTGCTGCTTTTCCAGCTTTTAGCATCTTGATTGCCTTCAGGACTTCTGATTTCGTCGGGGGGTTGGTGTTCACTGGTAGCTATGTCTCCGTTGTTGGTATTGTTGGGCGCGTTGTGGGTGGTGGTCGATTTAGGAGTCTTTTGAAGTGTTCAGCCCAGTGTTTCCTTTGCTCCACTTCTTTGGTGATTGACTTTCCATTGTCATCCTTCACCGGCTTAATTCGTGTCAAACTTTTGCCCGATAGGTACCTAGTAGTTTGGTAGAGTGTTGCGAGGTCTCCTTTGCCTGCAGCTTGTTCTGCTTGACTTGCCATGGTTTCATAGTACTTTCTTTTGTCTTCTCTGGCACTCTTCTTTACTCTTTTGTTCAGTGTCTTGTAGCTTGCATTCAAATCCTGTTTTTGTTGCTCGTCGGTGCACTGGATAATCTTTTGTTTTGCCATCCTTCTCTCTTCTATCAGTCTCCAAGTGTCCGTAGTGAGCCATTGTTTGTCCTGTCTCTTCTTTCTGCCTAGAACTTCCATGCAGGTTTGACTCCACACTGTTTTCAAGTTGCTCCAGTGCTTTTCGACGCTGACCTCTTCGCTAGTGTTGATTTGTGTCTCGGCTTTGTCCTTTATGCTTGCAGTGAAGATGTCCTTTGTGTCCTGGTCAATCAGTTTTTGAGTGTTGAACTTGGCTTGTGGTCTATCTGCAGTCCCTGATTCTCTGAAGGCTTTTAGTTTGATTTGGATTGTCCCTTGTACGAGGTAGTGGTCTGAGCCAACGTCTGCTCCTCTTCTTACTTTCGTGTCCAGTAGGCTGCGCCTCCACTTTCTTGAGCACCATTGAGATGAAGTCAATTTGGTTTTTGGTTCGCCCATCTGGTGACACCCATGTAGCATTGTGGATATCCTTGCATTATGATTGTTCAATTCAATTTTCATTTTGAAATTTTTATCTGAGAAAAACTCATATATGGATGAGAAATGAAAGAATACAAACAAACAATGAGAGAGATTATGCCTGTACATAGAACTATGGTACATATTCTTACCTGAAGTGCTAACTGTGTAGTTTTAGTTTCCGATCCACTTGCACCGAATAAGTTGGCTGTTTCAATACGATATGTTGGTATTAACGAACCAGTGCCAGGCATTTCAATCAAAACAGTTACAATCGCAAATAAATTGATATTAGGATTATAAGCCGTGAACTGTATAATGACGGCTCGTGTAGAAAATTCAATCCAATGCATTTCTTTTAATTTACTCAGTTTGGCTAGCATTTCTTCTTTTGTGCCTCTTAACAAGTGGACATAACCACCACCTGAATACCAGGTGATTAGTCCCAAGTATGGATAACCTTTCAGTTGTGATGCACTTTGATAGACGTATTCTGGTGCAGAATTGTTAGACTTCTCATTTCCTTGGAAAGCGACCCAGGATATTCCATAGTCTGTTTTATCTTCTTTAAAAGTATCATAAGTCGCGTAACAATGTTTAAATAGGTGCGTGGCTAAGTTGTGTACGTTGCATGAATCTGTTCAGTTAAAGAATATGAGTTGTTATAAAGTAAAAAATGAAGAACAGCCATATTAGTCAGATAAATTTTAACATAATAATCATCACTTTATTCCAAACAAGAATTTTTTCATACAAAATGGAATTTTCAACAGTTGTCCATATTACAGCAATTTATCTTTTATAAATATATAAATATACAAGGTAGTGAAAATTGAGAGTTAATGGAAGAATAACATAAGTAACAATAATTGTGGTTATAATTTGCTACTTTTTTGCTGACTGAAAAATTCATAAGCTGTTTTCTAACATTTGTCTCTTCACATGGAACCAGTGCTAAATATAGTGTGGTTGAATTTTTATATTTTTCCGTACGAGCATAAATTCCTGTGTAATTTCTTGTTTTATCCGATGAGATACAAGAAGAAAGTTAAAAATAAAAGGATCTATAGTATCAAAAATCATGACTAGCCAACTGCTTGCAGGAATTAAAATGCCTTTCAGCAACAGTGTCAATTAGCTGAGTCATAGGCATACCACAATCCACGGTTACAGCCTTCAGTGTCTTACGTAATATGACATAGTCTCACTATAGGTATTAACTGACAAATAATGTGCTCACCCTTTAACAGATGTATGTGTAAAATGACAGATGCTGATTTCCATTACTAATCTAATAGTCGCGGAACTTATGATTCGCCTGCTTTCGACAGTCCTCAAATCAGGACTGCAATCACTGGTGAAGAGAACTTTTTTTGATAAACGGATCAGGACATAACTTCGTCGCCTTTACATAGACAAGACTATGTGAAGGAGTGAATGCTCGTGGGCAATCGTGGACCTAGTTGAAACTGATGACAGAAAACAAAGAGCGATAGCTATTTATCAGTCATAACGTGGAAAATGAGTAATAGCCATAATAATTTCATTTACGACATAGTTTGATACTGTTACTGGAAGCCATCTAAAAATCTTTTTGAAAAAGATTTGGTGACTTGTAAAATAGTCATTTGAAGCTTGAATCCTGGGTTCCTGTTGACGCAGAGATATATCGTCTGTCTAACACTCATTGTTATCAAAGGCTCTATAGGTGACATAACTTTAGGATAAAGCCTTCCTTGTAATCTATTTTGTGGTGGTTGGTATACCTTTGTAGGCTATTTACACTTGATATTGCTTACTACATTAGTTTCCATATATTTTCATAAACTTATTATTTCAGTCAGACTTTAGTGACAAGTTTTGAGACATTACTCTTAAGTTATTTGGGCTACGTATCTAAATAGATTTTCAGATAAGAATTACTGTCAATAAGTAAATACGGTTGGTACTGGAAAAGTATTAACTAAAAAATGACATGTAAACTATCAGCTGAATAATTAAAAATCTCGATGAACTTATGCTGCATATAGCCATATTAGTAATATTAGTAAGGCAAATAGGCATTCAACAAAAAGATTTTAGCAACTAATTATAAATATACTATTCTAACATTGAAGATACTGCCTTTTATGTACCTGGTTTCGTTCTCACTTGTCTCATCATTGCGTACCCAATAATTCGATCAGCTCGATCTGCCAAAAATCCCCGTTGGAATAATGGTGGGTTGCCGTTATACCATCGATCTACACGTAGACCAGGAATTAATACCCCATTACACCATTTATAGAAGTCGTCCACTGTAAGAATCTGTCAAGAAAAACGCAGTTTTTCAATATTTTATTCTATCAAAATACATGAGTTGGTGTTGTCTATTCAAAGGTACGTCACGTTTTTCTGTAAAGTCCCCATTTTCTTTTAGTTATAATTAGCATGAACTGTGAGATGAAAATGGATTTTAATCCTGCTTTACAGTGCAGTCAGTCTAATTTTTTTAGCTAACTAATTGTGATTACATACTCTGAACAGAGAGTAAGGCCAAATTCTTGCGTGATAACTAGTTATCTTACTACTTGCGCGTATCAGTTCATACATAAATATCAGAGAGCAGCCGATTCTTATGTTATTTAGTAGGATTTTTCACGGCACTTATCTCGGTAATTATTTTAGTCCACTATAAGTGAAATGTACAACCGACTTGGAATTGATAGTGATTAAGTCACATAAGACGAACGGAAAATATACCAACTTCATTTTGGTCTAATTATTGCTCGTTTTATAGTCAAACGAAAAACAATGCACTTTAGTTGTATTAACTATTATGCAGTAAATTTAACTTAATTAGCTACCGAGCCTATTTTAACTCATGTTCTTCAGGTTGACAGTAGACTCTACGTGGAATAATAACAAGAGGATAGCTTGTGATCATTGACCAAAACTTCATTTTCTTCGCTGCATTATCTCTTTACCAAGATTTAAATTCAAAAAAAGATAACAGGATGGTACATGGAAGTTGGTTACAGGTTTATAAGGGTGTGGGTAAGCGATCAGTTGTGTTTCATTTATTTTTAAAACTAATCAAATAGTTGAATAATATGCCCAAATATTGTTGATTATGTAGAAATAAGAGACTAAATATATACATTCAGAATTACACAGTGTGTTGCAAAATAGTCTCGTATTCTGAAAATGTGAGCACCAACAGAAGTTTGCAGTCTGCTTAAATCGCTGAGATATCGAAATGTCCATCCATTATAATTCGGAAACTCTTTTTCACTTCTTGTTTTTCTAATCAAACAGTTATATCAATTAATCACTGTATGAACTTGCACACATTTTTAATTAGATTTCAACAATAAAATGGAGTGAAGATAAAGGCTGTAGCTGGGTGTTTTCGCGTGTATTATAGGAAATGCTACAGCGGATATTTCAGCTGTGCATAAAAGTTGATATAATACCTCTGAAACAGCCAAACGCAACATCTGATATGATTACAGCATTCCTCTGGTCAACTACCTGCGGAAATTCAAATAGGAACTGATCACGTCTAGTTTACCTACACAAATATACTGAGACGAAAGCCTGTAAGTCTGATTTGCGATGATTTATATTCTTACTCACAAAATGCTGTACACTTCTTGAAGGAAATGAAGAAGGAATATTGTAAAGAATTGAGTCTTTCTTCATATGCAACAACACTGCGTCAGATGCTCTACTGCAGATTAGTATTTTACATGTAGATCCTGTACGAAGACAAAATATTTTGTCGAATAAGTTATAATTATATTTGAATAGTTTACACAATGATAAGTTCTTGTTCTGGTAAGATTTCGAGCAAAATTACCAGAACAAAAACTTATCATTGTGTGCAAACTATTGAAATATAATTATACCTTATTTACTCTATTCTACAATGCCCAAACTTTTTTACTGACACTAAAATATTTTGTAACTAAATACCCTGAGAATTTCCATGTTAATATATTGTCCGAAATAGAGCTTTACTGTTTATGTACTGCTATTATTATTATTTGCTTTTCACTGTTGATGACTTACAGCCTCCTTGATGTAACCTTTTCTCACCTAAATGTTGTATTATAGTTTAGCCATCTGGTAGTATGAGGGATTTCGCCTCAGTAATTTGCTTACTTATTGTCAGACAAACCAGATAAACTAGAAATGCCATCTCCACTTCTTTATCCAGTCCATCTTATTGGTAGAAGTATCTTAATTAATGGATAAAGAGGTGGAAATTCTAAGTGTCTGAATACAAAGGCAGAGATGAATCTTATACTGAAGTTTGTTATGTCCATACAGATCCCCGGTAACATATAATATTTGAAGGCAAAAACCTGTAACTTGTGAAGAAATTATAAAACAATCTAGTTCTTATAGTCGACGGTAAGATTTTTGCTTAGCTTAAAAATATTTTTGTGTAAGAGCATATTGTTTAATATTTCTTATTTGCTGCCATTCTGGTTGGGTTGATTTCATAAACCTGTTTTGGCATCACCATCCAAAAAAATTTACATGTTTGCTCAAAGTCAGTATTACAAAACTGTCCAAATATTATGTCCACTTAAAAACGCACTAACCTTCTGAAAATCACCTGCGAAAAATGAATTCTGTAGGCTGGATTTTAAAAGGAATGCATTAGGATCACGAAATTGTATACTAACTGCTAACAGCAGTACGAGAAATAATACGTAAAGTACAACTTCTCTAGTGACGTCACTAGCTTTCCGTTGTTTGAGCCTATAAGCTCGGGCGCGTGCCAAGTCTGCTGGATCCGGAGGCAAGATTACAAGACGATGTGGGCGAAAATCTGAGAGCACTAGAAAAGAAAATACTTTATTTATTGAGAAGACAAGAAAGTGAGTTAATTATGTAGAAATTTAATTTTACATAATTTCTTTCACCAAGAACGTTACTAGAAGGTAATTCTACAAAAACTTGATGCCGCCATCTCATGTTGGAATTCGGTTGTTAGAAGTCATGAATCTATATTGTGAATGGAGAATAAAGTGTACCTAGCGTGTGGGGATACATTATATCTTGCTCATTGCTTCACATGAAATTGTTGGTGCATCCATGTATAGCAGATATATATTTTCATCAGGTATTGTTGAAAGACAAAGAATCCACACCTGGAATTTGGCAAAAGTCCCGTGCGGCACTTAGTAGAAAAAGATTTTTTGAAAGCATACCTAATCACTGAGGAAGACATTTGTGATATCTGACACTCCATATCATTTTGCAAGACAACATTGCACTAATTACCACTGGACAGATGACTCAGGCGATGATCAAATTATACAGCCAGATATCTCCGTGAGGTACATAACTATCACTACGCCTGTATGTAGTCTTCCTGGAATTTTTATTTCCTACTTTTACACATTTTCGCTACAGATTGCCGAACGAAACGTTGGAATTAATCATTTCAATTTCGCTGAGATTTTACAAATATAATTTTATAAATTATTATTACTATTATCGTGATCATCTGTATTTAACATTTTTTCCAGCTGCTATCTCTGAAAATCTCACTGATATGCCACAACGAAGTGTAAAGAACGTATTTTGAAATTTCAATTTCTATAATTCAAATGTTATTCACACAAATGAAGTAATTCCTTCATCATTATATTTTTAGGAAGTTGGTTGCCAATGATAAGAAGAACTCGTTTTTCGTCAACCTTTATTTTGCAGCTATCTGTTGATATCAATGTACTGTTATGAGGCCTGTAACAACTAGATACTTTTGATTATTAAAGTATAATTCGGAAAATAATTATCAGCCGTTAGTGATTTGGAAGTAAAATAAATTAAGAAAACAAACTGTGTTAAATATGTATAAATAGCGAAACACTGTAGTGTTTACTTACAGTAGTCCTTATGCACGTATTCCTCATCCATTTGTAGCTGATAACGCTTGCCTAACGTTTGAATCAGGCGATCCTCTTCTTCGAACAACTGCAACTGATCCAATCGGTCAGGTGATTTGCAAGCAAATGAGTACAACATAGCCATCAGCAATACCTACAGGGTGAAAAGCGTTAAAAAGCTACTGCTATCTATTAGTTGTTAAATTCATGCACTTCACAGAATTGCAATTAATAAAAGCTTTTCAATACTGGACATCGGCAATTAATCTTCAGGAAGCTCCATTTAGTTTGGTAGGGAAATGTTAAAGTGTCAATATTTACAAAAAAAGCTTGAATTCTCAGCAACATTTGTACTAATTTAAAGGATGCAGAAGACAGTGAAGAATCAAATTTGAAAGGTAAGCAAGGGTTAAATTCCCAATTTTTAAAGTGATTTCTGATTTACACAGTTTGAGGTGGAATTTCACCACAGTTTCCTTTGGAAACCGAAATTATTCAGATCATAATATGTGGTCTGCCTGACACCATTAAGTAGTAATCAAGAAAGCAAGCCATATCAAACCTGGTGCACTGCTGGTGTGTTGTGCCCCAAACAGTCAAAATCGTTGTCCAGTATTTAAATCGCTTAGATCTACCTGACAAACACTGGTGATGACTGTGAAAGGTATTCAGCTACTCAGCTCAATCAATCAGTAGTATGTGGTACAAACAAGGATTAGTTGATTTTTTATAATAGATAAATCATAAGATTTAGTGATTGTTGAATACTTGAACTTCTTTAGACGTTAGGGTGCCAGATCCTTCCCACACCACAATGACAGTATGTTAACGATAAATGAATCTTAGAGTTATTTTAGTGATCATGACTACCCATATTCAGTAATAATCACATAATTTAAGTTGAGTAACTTATCATTAATTGTAGAATTGACTCATATATTTAATACATAAAGTGAATTAAATGAAAGAATATGTGACATATTGTTTACCTTAATTGGTTGTGCTAAAAATATATTTATAAAGAATGACAGGAACAATGAAGAAAGCCACTTTTTGCAAGTATCTTCTCCAAACATCACACCGTAGAATGTAGTGAAGGCAACAGCGGTAGCTAAGCATAAAACAATCAACAACCAGGCAAGTATACGGAATTGCCATCCACAAAAACATCTGAACCCCTTTCTCTTAACCATTTGCTCTCCAGTGTTTTCAACTGGTGCTTCTGGACTACACAAAATTAAAAAAAAGTACGAAAGGGAAGAATTAAAGAACAAATATTGGTTTCATTATACTGTATAAATCTTTATCAGATTAAATGTTTTTCCCATACCGTAAGTAAATAACCTATACATTTATTTAGGCTTTATAACTCTTACAAAACGATTTAATACTAAGTTGATTATTTATGTTGTTTTTATATCTACTGTTTATTTTTCTAATGATGACCAAGCGAACAATCCAGTGGTGACACCATCACCAATTGTAATGCGTACAAATCAAGTTGACGAATACTTAATAGGACTAAACGTGTATCCCAGTTCCAAATGTCTCCAGTCACTTCAACATAGTCAAATTTCTTGTATAGTTAACACAAATTTTGTTGTCTAGAATGAAAATCTGATATTCAAGACGAACTGCCAAGCTTTAAGCTTTCGAAAAGAAACCAAATCATTTTCCTGAGCTACATGTCTTTATCATGTTAATATTTTACCGTTAAAAGTAGATAAATTTCTTCTAGGATCAGTGTCATTTACGGAATTATTAAGAACTTTGGAGTGCCGGTTCTCTAAATAGTGATAATTTGTGAAGAAATCTAGCTTGAAACCAATGACATTAAAAATAAACTTACTCATTCTGTTTGCCTTTCTGGTGGTTGGTATAAATAAATGAAGCTTCGCCAAGATATAATTTCTCGTCCAAGTGTTCCTCGATCACATCCAGTAATTTAGTTGTATGACTGACACGTAGGCTTGAGTTACGAAATATGTACATGATTAAGAATAAGGGAATGAATGTCAGCACATTGTTGACAACTGCAACATAAAGCTGTAGCAAAATAAAAGAGAATTGAAAGGGAAAAGGAAAATCAACCGATTGGTATTACAAACACAAACCGAACACAGATAGTTAGAAAAAGTGTTAATTTAATCTACAGAGTTAAACAGGAGTAAAATAAGGACCTGTATACTAGTTTTTTCGAGGTTAAATAGATCATAACTACACTTATAAGGTAAGTGATCTACTATACATTAGATTCTTGGCACTTGAGTACAAAACTCACAACGAAATATGAAGATAGTAAAAGTAATTGTTTTCGGGAGGCAGATAAAACGTTAGAATTCCAAGATTTTAAGCACAAAAGTGGCCCATTTAAAAATTCTCCGATAAAACTATTGGTTTTAGGACTGAATATAAACAAATATATTGGGAAACATGTCTTAACAGCTCATGCTGTGCAATTTTCTTGCGAACGATTATTAATATCTGCGAAAAGTTTAGACTGATTGACTAACAGAAGGTTAGAAAGGCCGATTGGGTGTTCAAAAGTCACTGCATATGATTTACATAAAATCAAATTTCGTTCACAAAAAGAAACATTATTAATTGAGGTATTCACCTTGACAATAAACATAAAGAAGAATTTATCAACACCTAATAGTCAGATTTTTGAGGGAAATATTTGACACAACTTTACCATTGGAAACTACAAGATCGTAATACGAGAAATTTGGAAATAAGAATAAGTACTTGTGTTAGCAGTTGTTCCCAAGGAGGCATATACAGTTGAAAATTGTTTTGATACTTAGACCCCAGTTGCTCATTTCGTGCATTTGAAGTTATTCATGTAAATTAACAAGAAGTGTCAAGATAGAATTGAACGGCTGTATTCTATGTTCTCGTAATCGGTGATGAGACAGACTTCACTTGAGTGCAGTTTGGCAGGGAGGAACTTATAGAAATTCTTGATGAATGCATATTGGCATTCATCAAAGATCAACTTTTTTGTCTTACATCTGTAAGACTATTTTATCAAAAAAATTTCTAAACGATTTTACATGAACTCAGGTCCTGATAAATGAGGAAGCAGATACCTTTTACTGCAAACAGTTCATTAAAGAGTATGTTCTAGTGAAAATAAACCAGAAAACACTAGGTTATTCGAATGCATGGGAGATTAATATTAAATATATGAACTCAAAAGCTTTTGCAGTCAGAAAATGTGAAGTAATGAATTCAAGCTAGTAAACTGACCTCAGTAGCAGTGAGTCCAAATGGTCCGATACTAAACAAATTCGGCTGTTTTACAGCTCCTTCACCCTTATAGAACATGCATGAACCCAGCATTGATAAATACAGTAATAGCAGACAACAAGCTACTCTTTCCACACATGTGAATCGACTTTGAGGTGGCCTGGCGGCAATTGAAACCCACAAATGATCTTCGGCTATATTGCGAGAAGCTGTAGTGCTGAACATGTGCCTGAAAGTCAACAGTTCTTCCTGACTTGTCACTGGAATAAGGCGATCAACCTAAAGAATTGTTCGTTTTGTGAAAAAAGTAAAATAGTTCTAGTCACAATGGAAATATGACTGATTCAAGGTCAGCAAATTAATGAATTTCTTGTCGGCTTATTAACTTATTAGCCTTATTATTTGGAAAACATGTGGGATCTTTGCTTGAACGTCTATGAATAAGGCGGGCTAACCTTCCTAGCTAACTGAGAATGTCTTTATTATTAGCTATATTCCAAATATGTAAGACTCCAAGAAGAGAAAAGGTCTTCATACAGTTCAAAGCATTAGTGTACATCAACATTCATACCAATAATCCTACGATTTGTTCTGTTTTTCCACTGATGTCACTCGAGGTATTTCTAAGTCATCTTTATCATACTCAAGAGCTAAAGTTTGCCGGTATATTCAGCTAAAACCGTTGTTTATGACTTCAACTTTTGCAAGCTGTAAGAAGCCCAATAATTATCATGCATCTGCAATATTCTTCTTCCACAATATTAAATTATCTAAAGCGCGAATCATTGTGCAGAAGTGACTATTATTTCTCTTTGACCATCCAAAGTATTACATAATTGTTGAATACTAGCTATGTAACACTCGTCTTCAGTTGCCATGTGAATTTATCATGAAGCTTTCTCTTACAAACAACATTCACGGGACAAAAGTCATTCTAATGCCAGTCGTACTACTTGATTATAAGGTCGCATACTTATTTCACTCTCATAAAGTGTGTGATGTTCTCTGCCCTGCCAACTGTTTATTAGTTGCACGAGTGACAGTGCTTTAGCTGTAAATTATATAAGGGTTAAATAGCATATTTTGATAGTTTAGTTTAATGAATGCAGTAAACGAAGTTGACTAAGACACTTATTCAAGATTATTACCCTGTAGATATTTTTACAAGTGTTATTCTTATAGTTTATTTATATTCTTCGTTTTGATACTCAAAAGTAATGATCATTTAACTGTAGAGGTCTTTCTTTATATAGCCTTTGCAGATTTATTGTTTGTCCGTTACTTGTTGTTTTGTGACTTAGGCATTCACATCCAACATTTGTCTGACTCATTCATGTAAATGAGATTACTAGTGTAACTAAATGAAGGAGCAGTAAAAGGAGCTAATATTTCGATGGTAGCACTCCTAGTCCAAGCATATCACGTAACAGGCATTAATTAACCGTTTTCCACCATCTGACATAAACTTTAAAAACCACAGGCCTTAAATACTTTAAACAGCAAAAGTTATAACAGCTTGACTCAAATACACAGAACCATGCCGCCAAAACAAGCAAATGTAGTTATTATTACTAATACTACTGGTATTAATAACGATAGTGTGACCTCTTTTTAAGTCTACAAATTCTCGAGCACCCTATTGCGTCACACCTTTCATGTATAACCACGCTTTTTGATTCTACAAACCTTTTTATCCTTTATCAGGCAAACTGATGCGTTACTATTATTGTTACGCCTTATTCTTCCTAGGGCTTCTGAAAAAAGACTATGTAGCATTACCTGGGACTTTGAAAGCTGTAAGGAGGGTTAGTGGTATGCATCCAACTAAACTAACTGACATTATTGTTTTTGACAGGCATTCAAATTTGTGCAAAGAATCGGTTGAGATAATTTTATCAGATACTGAAAGTCCTGCTTATTTATAGGTTACCAGTTTTGTCTCCCCGGGACAAACAACAGCAGTTTTGTTAGAATAAGGATCCAATCAAGCTGTATATGGTACGGATATTGTATGAAGAAAGATGTATCACAAAACAACTAACAAAATAACCCAAACAGTAATCAAATAGGTGTCACATGAGAGGTGTTTATGTCTAACAATCTTTCATGTCAATAATACCTACACTAATATTGTTCGCGTGGTTACTTTTTTAGATCTAATTTGCATAAGAAATAAATTGTTTGCACTATATAATTTACTGTATAAAAATAATTTTCGGAATACGTTCATCGTTATTATTAATGAAGTCTTACAGACAATAATTTCTGATCTATCCTCCCTTGTACTATTAAATTTGTGTAAATAAACCTTTTACCTTCCTAGACAACTTTTTAACATTCAATTACCCTCTGGAATACACAAATGCAACCTATTTCATTTGGTTCTCATTTGTGTCAAAATATTTTGATATGATTTTTGCAGTCAGAATTAATAAAATTCATTTTAAATGTCAATAATGAGAATTCATATACATATATATCTTCGTTATTTGGTATCGTTTACTTTGAACTTAATTTTCCCTCCGGATATTTGGTATGGATTACACAGTATAATATTTACGAATATTCTCACTAACACATAGGATGTCACTTGTATTCTTGATCAGAAAAAACTTAAATACTAAATCTATCTGGTTTAAAATCCTCTCTTTGTTATGAATCTTAATGTTCACGTGAAATATTTATTTCTTATCTGATTCGAAAATATTTGGATTACCATAATTTCTATGTCGGTGCAGTAGCAAACTCTTAACTTTAGGATACTTTCAACGACTTACTTGACCATCATCTTCTTCAACTGCAAACCAACTTTCAACAATGAAGTGTGACTTCTCTCTGGTTTGCAAATCTACCACTCCAACGTAATTGCAATACCAGGATGCTTTATCGCCTACACCAGAGTTATCATGCCACAAACGAATGTAAATTAGTGGTCCAAGTGATCTATGCGATATGAAGTAGAATACCAAATACGAAATTAATGAAATTTACTGGCTATTTTCAGGAAATTAAAATTTAGGTGGATGAAAAAGTGATAAATTTGTTCATGTATTTTGACTAAGAAGCCTTCTTGATAAACTTAACAGCATATTTTTAGACCAGTGGTAGGACATAATCCAATACTGGATAAGTTTATTTGACTTAGCACATAGTGATACACTATTATTAACTGGATGACCTTCCCGGCAGAGTTTATCTGTTATGATCATATCGTCCTTGTAACTTCTTAATTAGTTTGACACAGTTTCCCTTTCTCTTTTTTTCAGGGAAATTTTCCGTATATCAATAGCTGGTGATTCATCATCTCTGTCATATGTATTCGGTGTTGACTCAGTGAACCAGGATTTTAGGACTAATCTCTCCCTATATAAATAAATAACTTTTAATACAATTACTCTATTTCACACTACCTTATGGGTACATATAAGAATACACATAGCAATGACCCGGCTATTTTACTAAATTACTTATCTTACGGGAGCCTATCTTTATAAATCTAACTGAATTCCAACCGCTTGATCAACTAACTGATCCTAATCTAGTGGTTCTACTGATGTATTTAGCATATTTTGCATAGTTAAGTAATTTGGATCATGAAGCTGACAGAGTTTGTTTCTCAGTAAGGTTTCTGGTATCCTGCTGCAGGTACACAAAGCTCTAAAGGTGGAATTTGTGCCTATTACACTTGAGTATTAGAAGCTTACTTAAACTACTTGATATATATATATACATATATATATATATAGAGAGAGAGAGAGAAAGCAGCCACTATTTACAAACATCCTATGGTTCGGAGAGATTTATTATTCATGCATGCTGCTACTATGAGCCACCTCTTTATTCAGAAAACAGAAGCGGTTAATAGATGGGAGGCGAAGATTTTTGTAGCTTAGCACTCAAAAAAATGCAACCAAAGCCGTAAGACATCTGTTAGACTACAATGTCTTATACATCATATGCATAATACTGAGCGGTTGATATGAGTATCTGGATTCTACTCACATCAACCTATGGTGCTTACTAGTCAGACCGAACAGACTTGGAATCACATTGTATCTGACAGTCTGGTCCTTGAGTAGGGTTACAGCTACCCTAATGTGAATTAATTATCATACTGCATCCTGAATGGGATCAGTGCAAAAATTTCTGATTTAGTTTTGGAAATGTAGTTCTTAGATAAGAGGAGTAAGCAGAAGGTTATGGAGATTTGAAAAGCCCATTACTGAAGTCAGACGGATTATTGGATTACTTCAAGTTGGTTTAGGCTAAACTATCCACTCTAAAACAGCATCATAGCCAAGTCAACGCTTTGCATTCACACATATGTCCAACAAAACCACTGGATACTTACCGTGGACAAGCAAGTAAAAATCTGTCTACATTTCCACGAGCCAACACTTTTCGGTAGGGATCTTGAAGTACGCGGAGACCTGTCTCACCATACTGACCAGATAAGATGAAACAGACTTTTGAGTCGGTACCTGCAGATTTACGAAATCCTGTACTGACAATGATTTCATATAAGTATTCATGGTCTGGATTATTTTCAGCAAGTGGAGTAACACCGATCTAAAATTCAAATCATGAAAGAACTATGCCCATAGTAAAAACTTTTTAAAATACCCCCTTTAATTGATTTTTTAAGATGTTCATTCCAAAGGTAATTCACTTGAAAGTAGCATACAAGGGTTTCAGACTCCAGTTTTTCCATTTTTCAGTACTCAACTGTAATACGGTCACAAAAAATTAAAGCTCAAACACTTATCCAGAGACAGTAAGTGGATCATAAGAACTTCCATTTTTGAGTTACTCATCTTCACAGTAATACTATTTTACAACCGTTACAATTCAGAAAGTTGTTTTTTATTTCATTGTTTGAAAACCTGTAACTGGGGAAAATAGACTTTTCGTGTTTTCAATTCTAATCACTAAGTGACTTCAGTTAGGTAACCAATGAAAGCAAGTGAATACTGGAAGGCTGCCTAGTCCTTGTTTGGGACTCTTCAGCAATACGCACACATGATCCCAACAGTGGTAGAAGCCTACAAAGTGACCTCGCTTACCATTCATATTCTGTGATGGAATCTAATGGTCCATCAATTCTAACTTCTGTCAATTTGTGGTATACAGAGTGACCACCAGCTAAGTTGGTGAACTCTACTGGTCATGATTTCTCACTAGGACTTCAGGTATCTTCATAATGCAATTAGTCACTAGTTAGCAATAGATTAATTTTCAAGTACTAGTTTGCGAGGATTTGATGGAAGGAAATTTTAGTGTGTTTTCTTTCCCTCTCATAACACCAGTCTAATTAGCTAAGCAGCAACAACCCTCATGGAAATTCTTATTGAAATAGTGAAATTTTGAAGTCTGTCTTCCTCATTTGAGTTTCAGGCAGAAAAGAAAGCACGACTTGATGTTGTGCGCAAGGCCCTGTAATGCACATTCACAATAAGAAAGCTGGTGAAACACTGCGAGTACAGCTGTAAATGAGAAAACACCTTCTGTGGTGTTCACAGTGCTTATCATTTAACAAGGGGAGATTGTTTAGAAATAACAGAATTTTGGAGATTCAAAGCAGTAATAACTAACCTTCGCCAAATCTCTATTGTCTTTTCTACGTGCCCAAATAAATAAGAAGAAGAATACAATACAAATCGTAATCTCCGTGGCATACAGAGTAGGATTCTTGGAGAAATCAATATTAGCGAATACATAATCAAAATCAATGTTATTAGGTAATTCAAACCATCCAGCCGTGAATGTAGACAATTCATCACAGATGCATTCAGTTTGTTGGACAGTAGTCTTTGGGCCGACCTTATAATTCAAAAAAAGTTGAAAAGGAACAGTTACTTAATTGGGGAAGAGAGGTTAGTAAAAATGTGTTTTTACGTAATACAGTAGTCATATAGAGCAACATAAATCATATATCATTTAGTATGCATTAATCCCAATGAGAAGTTACGCGTGATATCTTTTTATCTGTAGGCTACAGTCTAACATATATTCATCAGAGGAATTATGGCAGGAATAGTCTATCTATCGCTAACTGATATCGGCTAGAGAAAACTCAGGAGCAGTGAACCAGCATTTGGTTTTTATTTGGGTCACTTCAGCGGTGCTCAACGACTACCAAGTCAATATTCAGTTCAGATGGAGGTCTACTCATCATTCACTATGACTCAGCATATCATTACAGCATTAGACTCTCACATCAAAGTACCAAAGGATACCGGTAAACATAATGTTCTCAAAATAGTTGGTATATTATGCCTACTGTCTGTTTGTTTGAAAATACAACATTTAAGCTACGAATATAAAATTGATAAGAAAATCACCAACATGACAGAAAGGTGAGTGTTCACCTTTAACTTTTAAAAAAGCGGTACATGTCCGACAGATTCACTCTTATTTGTACTTATCTAATATGAAATATTCAGTAAATCTTGCAGATCATGAATCCGTCTCACAGGAATAACGATAATTTAATTAAGCTTAAACAGTTCTGATAACTAACTTCCAAAAATATGCAATGAAAGTATATTCAAATTTACAGCAATGTACTCAATATTCTGTTTCATTACAGGAAGTTAACAGTTGATAATAACAAAGAAAAACACTGACTCTGAACCACGAGAAAGTGACAAAAACCCACGGGTTTCAATTTCCTCGTTGGTTCAGGCATTTACTAACACATATTAAGCGCTTAAAATGACAATATCTTACCGACATTTTGGTCAGACTATTTTTTAGTAGGTTTATAAAGTAATGACCGAATTCATCTCTTCACTAAAAATGAAGTGTAATGTCGATCCTCAAGATCAGTCGCAATATATTAAGAATTTACACGAGAAACTGGTTTACTGAGCAGAATCATATGGTTAGATCACAAAATAACTTGAGGATAATTCCATTATTGTGATAAAGTCACACAGTGTTACACAATAATCATTATTTTTAATTCCTTAAGTTCCTAGAGGAACATAGGGCTTCAGAGGCACGTATCCATTGCGTTCGGTTATCTGCTCAAGTTTTCACCTGACTCCCAGTCTGCCCACATGCTTTCATCTCCTCTTCACATGACCTCTTCCATGTCACCCCCGCACTGACGACCAACTCGCCACCTCCCTTTCGGGTTCCACTCGAGTGATGGCCTGTCGTGTGATGTCACTTGATGGTTTTCTCAGAGTATGGCCTCCAATCCAACTCCATTTCTTCCTGCATATTTGTCGCACAGTTGGTTCCTGGTGGTTTGGTTTGCTCCCAGAGATCCCTCACTACTGCTGATCTTCTCTGACCGGCCATCTGATCTTGAACAAATTATTGAGCGAAGACAGCTGTTGATGAAGGTGTGTAGTTTGTTCGAAGTGGCCTTCGTGACGCCGCGCCAAGTCTCTGATCCGTATAGTAGCACTGACTTCACATTGGAGTTGAAAACCCACACCTTATTTTTGATGCTGAGTGCTGTTGACCTCCGCACAGACTTGAGAGTAATGAAAGCTTGCCGTACTTTCCCGATCCTCACTTTGACATCCTCGTCAGTTCCGCCTGTACTTGAAACGATGCTTCCAAGGTCGGTAGTTAGGTAAAGGAGGTTGCTTCTTTCAGACTCCTCACATTTATGCTTATTGTTACCTGTTGTTGTTGCTGTTGCCCAGGAATCTTCATCACCTCTGTTTTCTCTATGACCACCTGAAGGAAATCCTATCTTTGATGCTTCTTCTGCCAACTTGTTGCTTTTCACTTGCATATCTTCCAGTTTGTGGGAAATCAGACATATATCATCGGCAAAGTCCAAATCCCCCAAGTATTGTGTGGGTCCATTCCGGGCGTGTTTCCTCGCTGCCCGTTATCTGTTTGTCACATTATCCAGTCTACCGCAATAAGGAAAATCATTGGAGACAGTAGGCAGCCTTGTCGTTATACAATAATATGCAACAAACATTACGGTATAGCACTATGAGACTTTATCAAAATAAATTTTATCCATAGTGGAATCACATTCTACCAAAGTGCCCAAGTTTTATCTCAATATAAATTGAGGATGTAAACGAAGAAGTCTAATTCATGTCCTTGGGCTCAATGACATTATACATCCATATGAAACTGAAAGTCTGAGAAGAGACCACGGCACATACTATAGTATATACAGTCTAGGAAATTCAAATCTAAATCTTAGACATCTTGCGGAGTCACAGTTTACCAGGTAATAAAGCAACCTGTGCTTTAATGAAATGTGACGATTTAATTTTACTTATTGCTGCACACTGCATGCTAACAAAATTCGTTTTAATTAGAACTGAATAGTTATAAAACGATAAATGTTTAAAAACGCACTCTGCAATTATTTGTAGACCACCGCGTTGCTGAACCTAGTGGACTGGACAGACAATTTGTTAAAAACCAACGTGATAGTGCTGTATTATTTATTTGATCCCTATACGGATAAGGAATCGATGGGAGATTTGTCTCAGTGTAAAAATCAATTTCTCCTTTGTTCAATTGGCGGAAGCCGATATAAACTGTTTGCGCTGCAGACTTTTGTAATGTTTCAGCAGTTTCTTTGTACTTTATTGATGACCTAAGCCGCATGAGTTGTCTGTTATCCAACAAAAATGTATATTTGTAGTTTGAATCACTTGGATCTGCGGTCATGCCATCTGTGAGAGTAAAGAATAAACAAAAAATTGTGCTCCTTAGTGGAATAAATGTTGATAGTGTAGGACCCTTAATAAGCTCCTTGGTGCATTGCATGTTACACGGAAATAATCATGATGTTTATGACTTTATAAGGAAATAGTTCTACTCATAATTCAGGGAAATACTTATTAGTAACAGATGGGCTTGGTCACTGTGTCAGTAGGAAGCGTACGAATAACTAAAGTTCTCAAGATACGGTAATAAGAAACAGAGGAAAATAAAAGTGAACTATTTGAAATGACTGAAAACGGATTCTCGTGTTCACCTATGTGGACATAAAAATCTCTTCTAGAAAATCTTATGCACCCATCGCGTAGAAAGTCCGTCCATCATTTTTGTTTTACTGGAGGGTATGCTAATAAGGACACTGATTCATTTGAAAATCCAACTTGAGTAATCAAGGCGAAATATGTTTGAAGTAATTGCTCCCAGTAACTTTAATTATTAATATAATAACTAATTATAGTTCTATCTGAATAATATGGAGAAGGGGGCTGTTATGATTGTATTTTTTATACGCATTCCCTCTTATTGACAATAAACAATCACTGGCTGATTTCCTCCACCTTTATCCATTTGCTTATAATTCTGACTGGACCACGCTCTTATGTTTAGGTCTTGTGCAGCTTTGAGAAGCGCATGCTTTTGTGAGATTCTCCAATTAGTTGTTCCTCACTGATTAACCCAAACTTAACTTAAACCTTGAACAAATGCGTATATAGTTGATCGATCTGTTGCGAAAAAATTAGACTTGCTTATTCACTTATGAGTTAAGCGTAAAGGTCTGCCTCCCATGTTCTTCTATAAAATAAATATTACTTAACATAAGTTGGATTTACGTGTTTGCACAAAACTTATCACTTCAGAATTGAGGACAAGGTGAAATAGTAGTAATACTCCTTTTGCTCTGACTGTCAGGTTTGTTCCTTTCAAATTGTCGAAAGCTATAACTGAGAACGAAGATATAAACAACTAAAGTCGGCAAAATTAAGCGCTTTCAACGACGACCAAGCAATTTACCAAATGTCATTTGAAAATAAATGATTACTTTTTGTCATATTCAGAAGAAATTACAGAGGACACCAATAAATCTTTAAAAATTGTCAATAATACGGCTAGTGCTCACCACATTCTGAAGTATTCTTAGGCAGTGTTGTCCACATGTCATATCCTCCGTAGGATGTTGAAATAATCGGTGGATTAATGAGTCTGCAAAAAAAGGTTTTCGCATAGATTCATTTTTTAATGAAAATTTAAACTGATAGGAAGTTATCAGTAGATGTTTGCACAGAAATTTAAAAAATTATTAGATGTTAAAATTAGTGGGCCATCGATTTCCACCGCTTTGTGAAAAATTGTCGTGAAAACTAAACTGTTGACGGGATTTTTCAATTCGCAAATTGTACGACAATATAATTTTTCAGATGGAGTAACTTTCAGTGGAGATTAAATTTGTGAGATGTAAACTATATGCACCAATAATACTCAGATACATTGGTTTTTATGTAAAGAAATTAACTACAGATTTTGTTGTCAGCTCCTGGAGTGATTGTACATGTTGATGGATACATTAAGAAGGTGAGAATTACTCCTTGCTCGGTTGTTTTAAAGACAAAAGTTGATTTGACAGTGGTGTCTTTACCAATTTGTCCATGCATTTCTTAATCTAATAAAATGTAACTTGAATAAGCAGAACATCTCCTGATAACCACGGTGTTATTTGTAACGGTACTGTAAAATATGTTTTTTTTAAATATATCTGTCGAAAAACTGTATTGGAACGACTGCAGTTTATACATCTGAAGTGATGGGGAATATCTGTAATTCAGAACACTGATGCTGATTTTGGAGGAATGGCCTGGTATTACAGAATAATTAATGAACATACGAATAACCAAAAATTTCTGCTGTCCAGGGCATTGGAAAGTAATCTTCTCCAAGAATGATTTCTATTATTCTAAAGTCATCTCCACGGTGCACCAATGAAAACATAATTTCTCCTGAACAATTCTTATCTGTTGCACACTCTCCCTTAACAATAAATGCAGTGAATTTTTATATATAGAAGCATTTAAATTTATCGTACAGCTTCGTCTCTGTGACAATAGTCACTTTTAGCTGTATGATTTCCGCGCAGCTTTTACTGGTAGTCATTTCATAGCCACATTGAAGAACTGAATTAAAAAACCAGTTCAATTTCGGAAACTAGCCACTGTATAACACCCAACCACATTATGAAGAATAATGTCTGCGTCCTACACTGATTCACTAGTTTACTTAAAAAGCTACTAGTGGAGTAAAGGAATAAAGTGTTAACACTTACCTTAGAAAGAGTATATATTGAGGACATTCGGAGATATTTTCAGGAAAAAGCTGGAAAACTACAGCAACATTATCCGGTACAACTTGATGACTAACTAAAAGCGCCTGGTAAACTTCTGTTTCGTCTACAGCTATTCGTGGAGGAGGTAGTTGAGGTCGATTGGTACTTGGGTTCATACTTGTGAAGTTTTGATGTTTAAGACTTGCGGACTTTTGAGACGAAAAATTAATTAGTATATTACAGTAAAATAAGAAATCTCAATTTAAAACTAAGTTTGCAATAGCCATTATCTTCTCTAAGCAATCACTTCTGTAATGTAATTTTTAAGTGCTGACATATCACACTAATCATCATAGATAGAGAATTTATCTCTCAATATTCATACACCTACATTTAAAGTAATTTTTAAATATGTAAATATTCAAAACCAATCGGTGTCATGTAGACTTATTAAAAAACTGTTTAACTTTACGCGTAGATTTTCTTAACTTGGAGAAGTAAACGGTAACTCACTGTCTAGGTATTGTTAGTTCATACCACACCAATATGTAAGAGTAGAAATCGGAGACTGAAGAAGGACAGAATTCCGTATAACTTTATGTGATATGATATACAATTTACTATTATTGCCAGGGGGGAGTGGGCACAATCTATAGCTCAGAATCATATCAGGTTATTCATGGGACTGCCTAATTTTTTGTAAATGGTTTTTACTGCTTCGTGTGACCATGATTTTGAGCGATACACTCCACCTGGAATTTTACCCAGTTAACAATACTGTATGTTATATTAAATAAACTTATCTGACACGAAATTACACAAATATTTTACAAGTTAAGAAGTTATATTGAACTAATGTTTTTGAATAACATGATGGATGTTGTGTGTAATAATAATAATATGCAATAAGCATCAAAGACAAGACCTCAAGTGGACATGGAGATGACGGAGGTGATGTAGATAACCAACCAACAGCAACAAACACCAATAAACTTGAAAGAAATCCCTTCCTTTACTTATCTTACCAACATCAATTCAACTACAGGCGATAGCATGGATGAGGATGTCGAAACCAGAATCGGAAGGACAAGGCAAACCTTCACCACTCTGAAATCAGATTAGAGATCTTCTGCACCCAGGAAAAAGGACCAAATTCCGATTTTTAACACTAACATTAAGTCACTTCCTCTTTATGGATGATAAACTGTACACTCGTGTCATGAAAAGCATTTCCAGCAGGCTGCGACAAACTTTTATCAACAACTAATTTTGCTCCACATGAAAGACCAGATGACCGGAAAGAATTAGCAGCAAGAAACTCAGGGAACGGAGTAACCAAGAACCTACTGACCAACAAATAGGAAATAGTGATGAATCGGATGCACAGTGAGAATACCACTGAGTGATATCGCACATCACTCCATAGGCCGAGTGGGTCCTGGGTGGGAAAAGACAGGTTGGACGTCCGAGAGTAACATGGTTGAGATCGTGTAGGAAGATAATAAGACCAAATGGCAGTCATGGAGCGAGTTACAGAGGGCTGCAGAGAATATGGTGAAATTTAGAGGTGTTGTTGGATCCCTATGTTCTACTCTGAATCCAAGGAAATTATTATAATAAATTTTACTATGCATCTGCAGTTGAAAAATTAGCGATAATCATATTATGAGATGATCTTAGTATTTCCGAGTACATAACTAACTAAGCCGTTTACAAGTATTTGCTTAACTCTTCGTGAGACATTTTACATGAGTAACTGTTAATTCTCTTCTTACTTATCCTCTGTTACTGTTTCACTTTGTGTTCAACTTAATACTGCTTATCACCGTTGCTTGCTACTGAATTATATCTCACTTAATGTATTAATATTCCATGGTTAAATGGTATCTGCTGTACATGCTTTATTAATATCCCAGTCCCTGTTGGACTTGGTTGATTCTCATTCCTTTATTCTTTAACAGAACATTAGCGCTCTGTTTATTCTGACCGTGGATTGCCCTTGAGACAGCTTTGCTGTTTTTTATTGATACACCTTTTTTTCCTCCTTATTTGCTTTACATAGGGCTTCAAGCTAGAGACTTGGGGTTTCAGTAGCAGTGGTATTTATTATTACGAGATGGGGTAGCTAGTCCCATGCCCAACCTACCCTCTTTACCAGTCTTATTACTAGCTTGGTGAGGTAAAGAAGTGTGTCGCACGGGTATCGAACCCCGAACCACCTGCGTGCTAGGCGAGCATTCTACCACCGTGCCACCGATGCACCAGTCACTATGAATGTAATGGCATTCAGCCAGACACCCCAGAATTTAAGTTCGGAGTTTAGACAAAACTTATATTTTTGGATTTTACGCGTAAGTCAAACGTTTAGTTAGTTACTCAATGGCTATTATCACTCCACATTTCTTAGAGGAAGTCTACTGTGATAGTAATTTTCAAAAAGACTATAATTGTCTCTGTAAACTACTAATATAAAATAGAATTATTTAGTGAATCTAGTGGATGAATAAGTTTGAAGCATTTTACACGACCTTATGATTATAGTACTGATGAATGAACCCTAGTAATCCGAATGATAGCGAGGCTGTATTATCTTGTTCCACTGCTTTCTTAAATTCAGAAAACAACTTTTGGTCTTTAAATTGATTGCATTACTACGCAGTCCTATGAGTGATGTCTTCTTACTTAAGAAATAGTTGTCATAAATGTAGACATTGTATTTCACAATGTGTAAAATGAAAAAGCTGGAAACCATTTACACCACTATCTTCACAACTTATCGCGTGTTACTCCATAATAAGACATAGAAGTAAGCCAATTACCACTTTAATAAAAGATGAAAAATAACGTATTAAGATATAAACTTACCCTGCGAATAAAGGCTTTGAAAACTTCAACAGCGTTTGCAATTACAAGTGGTTTAGTGCCACTGTATAAAATCATAGAAATAGTTTGGGTATCTGATGGTACTGGTATTGGTGAACCTGTACGAAATGAGAAGAGGTTTGTGTTTGACACGAATGACTGAAACAAGAAGATAGAGTGAAAAGAAATGAAATGGAATACTGTGTTAAAGAATAAAAAAGCAGAAATAAAAATATAGGAAGCAAAGCCATTAGCCAATCAGATTTCAGATGTCCTCAGAGGCACACAAAAACCTAATCAACTTTAAGATATTTTTATTTCATTCTGCATTTACTAGATTGCTTTCACTGAAATATAAAAATACAATGGACTATTTTAGATGAATAGATTTATTCTTCTGCCACACAAAAAGATACATTTCTCAACTCTGTTATAAGGATCGTTGTTTACGCTAACACAGTAAAGCCTTTGAAGAAGTTAGTGAGAGGGAAATAGAGTTCATTATCAAATGGTATGTATTCAAACGGAGCTTGGAAACCAAGCGAACAAAACTACAGTTTCTTGGTTTTTTAGCAAATTTTCTTCAATGTAAAACCTTGACTCAATAATAAAATATATATATATCACTTCTAGTTTACAGGAATCATATTTTATTGTTATTTCGGGTCCAAAATTTATAAGCAGATTTACACTGTTCCTCTAGAAAGAGATTGTTTAGGCTAGTGTTTGCAGTAAACCTTCACAACCCTCGAGACCACCTCAATTAGAGAACATTAGGAAAAATCTTACCATTAATTTACTGAGATAACCATTTAAAAAATATTAACTGGCACCATTTAATGATGCAGATGTCCTTATTAAAATCGACCTTTTTCGACTTTGAAACGTTCGATGTTAACTTTATTACAATGATGTAGCCACTTTTTAAATTTAACTCCCGTTTTATAATTCCCCAATGGTAATAACATTAGAATCCTTAAAAGATACTTTGTTGGTAGAGCTTCCAATTGCTAGTTTTGAGAATTTTAAACTTTAACTGGTGATCATGCATTTCGGTTTCAAGAATAAGTGGGCAATCGTTTCATCTATTTTGAGAATGATAGGCTCGAAGCTACATCAGAAGGTCCAGTGACTGTTACAACCCCACTGAGTTCTCACTGAGAACAACGAGATTAGAGTCGCAACTCTGAAAGATTTTATCAAATGAAATCCATGTGAAAATTTTTAAAAAGTCAAATAGCAGAAAGTTTATCAGAAGACAGAGGCACAATGTTCCGTTTTTATGAAGACAATTCAACTTTTATATTCTACTAATGCGATCAGTATTTTAAATTTCAATCAGTTAATGTGACACAATAACTCGTCAAGGCGATTTAAAGGCACCAGAGCCTGCAGTTGAGAATTCACCTTTCTTGCAGCTTTTTAGGATTGAACAATTATCTGTAGAGAATTAATCGATGACTTCTAGTAAAGCTTATTTTAAGCCACTAGAGAAGAGTCATCAGTGTGGGCTTTGGACTGATGGAACTTATGAATAACAATTCGGTTTCATTGTTTGTTTGACTGACATCGACGTTTGATGAATAGAGTATGAAAACAGTTGGCAATATTTTATGCGAACATAAACTCACTTGCAAATCATATGCGAATGAGCAACTATTATTCAGTGCTTGAATACTTGTGCACAAATTATTCACGAAAATCTGTGAATCACTTCCAACTGGTATTATAATACTATTTGATAGGTTGTTTGATGGGATTTTATACTGGCTAACAACTCCTTCTGTTGTTTTGAATGTAATTGGGTTTGCACCTTCAATTAGCAAGCTTTTTGAAACACCTCGTACTGCTTTTAGTAGATTACTTAACATATCTGATACTTGAGCAGCCTAAATTGTGCAAAACAATTATCAAGAGGAGAAAAATACGAAACATGAATTCGATAAACAGAGTTTTATATGATGAATTTAATATCTTTTAAAAAAATCATTTTTTAAGTGATCATTGTTATATATCACAGAATAAATGATAATTTGATATAAGAATAGAACTTGTGCACTGTAGTAGAGTGTAATTCCCCTATGGGTAAAATTTATTTTGTTAAAGTCTCACAGTGTTATACAGTAATAATTATTGATGACGTTTTGAGCATATCAAGGTCTTGATATGATAAATTTTACCCACAGTGGAAGTAAATGATAATTTGTCTGTTAGTACAACGAAATACTTGAAATAATTCGCGAAATATACCCATTAAGACATTGAAATAAGAAAAATTAGTTCAGCGAAGAGTCTCTTTTCGGCGAATTCATTCACTTAGCTGTACAGTCGCAAATATATATACAATTTGCAAGTATTGGTTTTGTAGGGATTTGGTTTGATTGCATATACATACAATTGCATATATATACAATTATTTTGTGTGTGTGTGTGTACATTAGGTTTGTCAAAATCAAAATAACAGTTAGTGTGGGTTGTTGATTATAACATCAAAATAATGAAGAAGTTAAAATGTGTGATTAATAATCAAAGTTGTAACTAAGTGGGGTGAAGATTGGTAAGATGTGAGTAGGGTTACGTAATATAGACATGCTTAGAAAGATTAGATGCTAGTGAAGGAGTATGGAGACAATTATGAAAAGAAACTAGGTAATAGGTGAAAAGATTGAATGGGTTAGTTACTAGAAATTATTATACGAAGATTGCAAAAAACAATTTGATAACAAAATGTTGATGACAGATAAACTTGAAATTAAACCCACGGTAGTAGGAGGGAGTGGAGAAGTTTCTTCTGTGTGCATAACTCAGGCTTTTCCATCCAAATCGCTAAGGCTTCAGCAATACAAAGTATACGGAAGCTTGTCGATTTTGGAAGGCTTCTTTTGACTTTACAGATGACTTTGAACGACTTCTCCTTGCAAATCGAATGACCAGTGTTGAGTATATGCTCAATAATGGCGCTCCTTATTGCTCCGTTGTTACCTTTCCGTAGCCAGGCGGGATAGTGTACTTGAACTCTTTTAGATAAAACCCGCATCGAACGACCTATATACCTCGCTCCGCAAGAGCAGGTGAATTGGTAGATACACATGGAAGTGGTCAAATGTGATATTTTATCTTTAGAGTAGTTGAAGAACAATGGTCGGGAGGAAAATGTCAGTCGTATTGTGGCAGCGAAGAATGTCCTTCTGGGAGCAGTAGATATCCTCTTCTTCAAGGTGTCAGCCAGAAGGTCACCTTTGAAGGGTACATTCATGTAGACCATCTTCTTCTGCACTGTAATGGGTTGTTCTTTGCACGTCTTAGGCTTAATGTGCTTGTCTGTAAAACGGGGTGGGTAGCCATTCTCGAGCAGTGTCTTCCTTAAGAGGGCGATCTCTTCCTCTATTGATTCAGGACTGCAGATTTTTCGGATTCTAGTCGCCAGAGATATTATGAAATTTCTCTTGCGACTAATTGGTACCCAACTGTAGAAGTTTGTCAACTAACCGTTCTCCGTAGGTTTTCTGTGTACTGATCTGTTCAAGGTATCATCGGTCTTCTTACTTAGACGAACGTCCAGAAAGGAGATTGTCTCATTGGTTTCTACTTCGATTGTAAATTTGATGGCGGGGTGGCAACTGTTGAAAACTTGAAGAACAATATTTTGATCACAATTGTTATCGCAGATGACGAAAGTATCATCGACATACCTTTTGTATAAGAAGAATTTGTCGATGGTTGCTTTCAGCGGACCGTTTTTCAAACTTGCCATGAAAATATCAGCCAACACCGGATCCAAAGGCGATCCCATCGCCACGCCATCTTGTTGTCTATAGAAGTTCCCATTGAATGTGAACTGGACATTTAGGGTACATCTGAGTAGGAGTTCTTTTAGCTTGGTGGTAGGTATTCCAATATCCAGGTTGTTTTCTTCCAAGTATTTGCATAGAAAACAAATCGTCTCAGTGATAGGGACGTTTGTAAAGAGAGACTCGACGTCGAGTGAAATCATACGTTTGTCTCCCACTTTAACATCTTTGATGCAATCGATGAATTCAAAGGTATCCCAAAGAGAATGTTTTGAAATTCGTTCTCTAACAGGTTGTAGGAGTTCTGCTAGCCATTTCGCTATTGGATGACATGGAGATCCCGACATGTCCAAAATAGGGCGCAGTGGAAGACCTTGTTTATGAGTTTTTGGCAATCCGTATAGTCGGGGTATTATTGAACCTGTGGGTCGAATGCTCTCGAAGACATTTTCAGAGATAACTTGATCAGTCTTTAGCTTTCTCAAGATCTCAGTTAGCTGTTTTTCCGTTGCTTCGGTTTTGTCTTTCTCTTTTTCGAATACTGAGAACTTATTGTTGTCTGAGAGAATCGCCATCATTTTATTAATATAATCTTTTCTATCCATTAAGACTATGCCTGTACCTTTGTCAGGACGTGTGATAAGCAATTCTTTGTTCTGCCTCAGTTGGTTGAGTTGTTCTCTATGTTCTTTGGTCAAAAGATTGTTGAACTTGGACTTTGTATTGAGATACTGTTGACAAGAGTCTAGAATAGTGGACTTGAAATGTTTGAATTCTTTTTCGGAAGCTGGAACAAGATCAGTAGTCTGATTGATCAAATTTTCAAACTCGACATAAGTATTGAGCTTGCTTATGTTGGAGTTCATGTCGCAGAATCTTGGCCCGAGAGACAAGGCCTCCAATTGTATGGGAGATAACGTTACTGAAGAATAATTGAACACAAATTTGGTAGGATCTTCTGGAAACTTGCGTCTTTGAGACTTTTCAATAAGTTAGAATGGCTGGATTGTGTACGCTTCTCCGTAACCACAGTGACATAGTCGGTAAATGCTTGTCGTTCATCACAAGACAATTCGTGTAACGCAGAGGATCGTTGCGCTATGTTCCTCTCGAGTTCTGGCACACGTGATATAATGGAATCGATATGGTTCAGAGTATGACGCTTGAGGGATTTAGAGTTCGGATAAATGTGATTGCGACGTAGAGCTTTCCAAAACCACTTGGGATATTCATGATTATTCATACAGTCTCTGAGAAAACTAATCTTCGCATTAACTTCAGCAAGCTTGACAGAATATCGCAGAAACCCATTCAGTTCCTTCACTGTCAGAAGGTCCTTGCCTGTTTTTAATTCGCGAAATATACCCATTAAGACATTGAAATAAGAACAAATTAGTTCAGCGAAGAGTCTCTTTTCGGCGAATTGAAATAGTGGAGAAAATTTCGAAATCAGGTAAATGCTCTTCGTTTTGTTGTGTTCTTAGAACTTTATAGTTTAATTGTGAAGTTATATCTGAAAGTGTTGTCCAGAAAGACAGAGAAAGTTTTACTACTAAAACACTCGGCTAAGAGAACATAACCCCTAAAACACTGAAATACTTTTAGTTATGGATTTTTCAGACTCAATCTAAACAAAAGCCTATTTAATAAAAGACCTCACCAATGCTCGCTATTTTGCATTCAACTCAAATAAACCGAAGTAGATCTTACTTTCTGGTATTAAAGTGAGAGATTCGATTACTTGAATTTCAACTGCTCTGTATTTTATATCTATAGAAAATATACAGGATACACTTAATCTGTAGTAGGCACGCAGCATCACTTATAAGATGTAAGGTTTTAATTATTGCGCAACATGAAGGTTTTTTTATTTTGACAATAATGATTAGGAAATTAAAAAAACGGCTTTCTATAGTTTAGTGCCCTGAAGAAGAGATGTCTGTAAATGACGTTACGTTAGAGAGTTATGTGAGCAGTACACAGTAGATAAGTGCGTCGGTGGCATAGCGGTTAGGACGCTCGCCGACCATGCACATGGTCCAGGGTTCGACTCCCGGCCGACGCACTCCTTTACCTCGCTAAGCCAGAAATAATGCTGGTGAAGAGGAAAGGTTGGGCATGAGGCTATCAACCTCATCCTGTAAAATAAACACTGCTACAGAAACTTCAAGCCACTAGCTTAGAGCCCAAGTTCCACTGGGGAATGTGAAGGAAAAAAAAAACAGGAAAAAACACACAGCATAATCCTACATTGCATTACAAGATCTCTAGTATGTTTTTCTCAAGTTTACATTAGGTTGGATAGTTTTTTTCCGCTCAGCCTTTCACGCTTTTTTAGCCTGTAGTTATATACCACTGAGATCAAGTTTAACTGAATCCTATCAATGATCAAAGTTCAAACCGATGACAATACATGAACTTACCAACAAAGATTGTTGATCAGCACTGTTTTTCAACATTAAATCACGCATAGGATCTAAACCAGAAGTTATCAAACCTTGAACATGAAAAAGAGTAGAAAACCTAGATTAATGCATGAGGGATCAGCGTCCTGAGAGAGCGCATTATATTATAACTTCTATTGTTCATAACCCCCGACGTTTCTGAGTAAATTTACTTACTCAAACGTAGTAAGATACAAAATTCATTTTGAATTCTTCAGTCGCTGAGTTTGTCACTTAGAGTGATATGCATTCTTAGATAAGAAATCAAAACATTTCAAAAACTATGTGAGTGAACATGTTTTACCAGAATACGTTAAAAACATTTAGTGATCTCCTTATACAATCGAATTTCTGAGTTATAAATTCCACAGTATTTCGTAGTCGATTGACGTCTGTCACAAATGATAATACACTCATTGTGACGTTTACCTACCTCTCATATGTGTCACAAAGTTATGATAACTGATTATATTTTGGATGTGTGGATAACAATGAAATTCCATCTGTTATACACGTATAACACAGTTTTAGGTAATAAACTACCAACTATCCACTGTGTTTCAGAATGATAATTGCAAGTATAGCTTTCAAATCATGACTTTCAAGAATGTTGCTTCAGAATATCAGACTCCTTGAATCATTTTATTAAGGTCCTGAATGGATTTCATGGTGAAGAAGTTGAGGTATCTCACAGCCTACTGCAGAATAAGAAGGTCTCTTAAGATATGACAGGCTAATCCATGAAAGCACTTTTCTAGGCCGCAAACTGTTGGTTTGAAAAAAACAAATTGATGCACTTCTGCAGTGCACGCCTAATTTATCCATTTTTTACCCTTTCGTCAACAAGAGTGAGTTCATTTTCGCTAAATATTATGTCATAATTTAGATTCTGGCTTTGCATTTCCACGAAAATCTTGAATACGTATGCGTGACACAGGGGAAAACAAAGGAATGACATCGTATCTGGAATTCAAATGAACGTTTAGTTGGCTAAGTATAAGATTGGTAGTAATGAAACCAATAGTTTCGCGGTAACACGAGATATGCATCTCAGTGACATAAAAAATTACTGTTATACCTTACTAGCAGTATCTACATTTAGGTCAAACTGTACGTAATCAGCATGAAATGATTAGCATAAGATGAAAGTCAAAAAAATGATCTGATACATTTTTAAAAGAATGTACATTCAGTTCCAGTGACTATCTATGATTACAAGGAAGTACCTTGGTATCTACTACATAATAAAGTAAGCATATTTTTGGGATATCATCCACTTATTCTAATCAAGGATAGTTCTCATTATATAGTATGGAATTTAAGGTACTACCGATACATTGACAAAATGAGTTTTATTTATAAACTGGTGTTTACTTGCATGAAGCAAAGGAATTATAAATAGAGATAGTGCTATCATTTTGACTAGAATAAAAAGTATCTAAATTCTCATTCGGTAGTGTGTATGTGTGTATGATCAATTACAGAAATGAATTGCTTTCCAAACAGTCCCACACTAAGGTCTTCTTATTTCACTTCAGAAATCAATAAATCTTACCAGTCACTTCTATCACTTTCACATACATTTTAAAGAGATTATTGGATTCAGTGCAGTGATACTTATCAGCAAAGGTGTTATATATATATATTCTTTCAATTACTTAAATCTTTGTAACCATATTCATTATAAAGTCAATATAATTAATTATTTCTACTTCAGGGATTTACCATCCTGTAACTACTGTTAAGCTTACCTTCTTTCTCAAGGTCAACATTGTATTCAAGCGAGGCAAGAACTGTAGGTATATCACTTGGAACTGGGTTGTTGATTTGTTTATTAGCGGCCTGTAAGATAAAATTGTACAATTTCGTGTAAATACCTATTTTAGGCCTAATTATAATTTTTGGATATTTTCTTTGTTGTAAAACATCCATATAAGGTTATTATTTTGTTTACTAACATGTCTTTAAATACTTGCAACATTAAAGACCGTTAATAGCAAATATTGTTTTGACATGTTATCCCACATAATATAACTTATATACTGAAAAAATAAAAACACATGTTCCCACTACAGTGGATGGTCCCATTAAAACAACTCTCTTTGGCATTATCAAGTTACTCAATTAAGGTATGAGAAGCAGTCTGGAATTATTTTCATCACTGGAAATTTTTTCGGAGATTACCCGCAGCAGACTTTACTCTGATAGACTACATTATTCTTCTGCAACTTGAAAATTCTCTCAGATGTATGCAGGCATTCATTAGTTCCCAAAAACCTTAGAGTGTGGTTTACAACTCCCTAATGACTGACTCTCAAAATCTAAATCACTTAATATGTATCCTATTCTCTAAATTGGATTCACAGTAGATTGCAACAAAAAGCTTATTCAGTTTATTGTACAGTGGATGGACAAATTTTGCTTCAGTAATTATTTGAAGCAAATTTATGTACCATTATGAATATGTATAACTTAAACAAGAGCATAATTCTAGGAGAAAAATATTATCCTTAATTTGTTAAAAATGTGTTACGAAATTCTCATCAAGGTTAACTTACGACAGCCAAACGAAACGTTGATTCAAATACCGTAGTTGCCATTTTCAACAGCTGATAAGTGCTATCAAAGGCAATAGTTTCGAAGGTTTGCGTGACTTGCTTAAAATAAGTGGTTAGTTTTGTCTGTGAAGTTCTACCCACATCCATCGTATTGCTCAGTAAAACTGAGGCAGTTGACATCGACAGAATAAATGAATTAGAATCAGTAGGAATGAAGTTACTAATTGCGCTGACCAACTTTGCAACAACCTGTTGATTTATTAAAATTTATAATTTATCTACCGTCAGTAAATTAAAAAACATTTAGTACGTGTAAAATATACAAACTAAGAACAATATATGACTGAAATTGATTCGACTGTTTATAAGAAAAGACTGCTGGTTGTCTGACTAGTTCCACAGAAGACTAGATAATTTGTCCACGAATTAACATCACTAAATAATTATGATTAGATAAATGACGAAACATACCAGTTTCTTTCCATGAATTAGGAAAATAAAGATTCATTCGGCATGGAAATATTTCCTTTCAGTAACTTCATGAATACTGACTGAGCAATTTTGGTGAAATCATGCACTTTTAGGACACTGAAGCTTGGAAATAAAGTCACTGAAAAGAAATATTTTTCTCTGAATAAATCTTAGTTTTATCTACCCATCATTATCCATTAGTAGCTCCAAAGGTAAGCTAAATGGATATCAGTAGACAAAACTCTTGACAGCAGTAACAATGAAATACAGACTTTACTGAATTCCAATGCTGTCAGTGAGACAACTCAACTAGTCAGTAATCAGTTACGTTAATAACTAACCAATAAATTGTTATCAGGAGAAGCATAGTTTTTAACGTCGTACCGCTTCCAAAGGAACATCAAATGATCTAGGGCTTTAGTAAATCTAAGTATGTTGCCCAAACCTTCTTTATATATGGGTATGAATGCACTGTTAAAGTCAATTTTGTGATTTTTCTCTATGATATACTTTGCGTTTGATGACGTTGGGTCATTCCTATGCATGTGTAACCACGCGTACATGTAAACTGGCAAATAATTTAGCTGAGTAGAAGTCAGCTCAAGAGTAAAGATTTAGACAAGATTAAATGATATAAAATTACTCTGACAAAACTAAACACAAATAAAGCAACAAAAAATAAAATCAAAATAATATTAAGTGAAATTCATAATAGGTGGAGATTAATGAAAGTGTCTGCTAGGTTGCACAGGTTCATCTTTGACCAAATAATGACTACAGGTCCACTAATATGTAGGAGACTGGAACTAATTGGATGTTATTTGGCTGATGGTAGTTAGCTGTGGTACGTATGCTTCGTCATATTTAGGACTCAGCATCTAGATGTACTTGCTCCCCAGTGTGGTAGTGTTTCCAGTACTCATATAGCCACAAACAAGTAACTCCAAGTCACTAATCCTGGTAATATCGAGACAAGGAGCCTCTTTATCAAACTGGGGCTGATCATTTCGGTTAAATGAACATGAAATCACAAAAAAGAATATAAAGTTCCAGAAAATGGGTAATACAAGACTTTGTGGAAGAATACTTTTCAAGTACCCGTGTAAGAGTAGAATTTTGACCCTGTGGTGGAGTATATTACCATATTAGATAAGTGTACTTGATATAACACAAAGATACAGTTTTCATAACTAGATGGCGTTTCGAGCACAAGTTATTGCTAATGATCATATCGAATGATATGATAATAATAATAATAATAGCCAGAATACTACTATTCACACTCAACATATGTAACTAACAGAGTGAGGCTTGAACATTGAGTGAGTTACCGTTCAGTAGCACTACTTTTCACAATGATTATTATAATTTCTGAAGAAAACTAAAATTTTAACTTACAAATGTAAGTACGCAATGGTTTGTTTTAAGGGGTTAGTCAATCCGTAAAATCAAACATCAAGTGCAACTTTACTTTTTTTTCCACAAATCCGATAATTTATAATACTTCAACAGAAAGCTTTTAAGCAGTTTATCACTCTAAATTTTGTAATATTGCTGGTATACTGCAGCCCAAGACACAACTTATTTGTAAGGTATGTTTCACTGAAGTAAACTGCCTTTAAGTACTGACTTGTACATCATCAAAATATATACTACTGACACTCAAGTGTTAGTAATAAGAATTTTGCAAATATCCGCAACTTTTAACTTATAATATGAGGGGAAGTATTCAATATAGACATGTACCGGGTAGTCCCAACCTTTCGCTAGGAGGTAGTCAAAGACGGTCCGAATCGATCATATACATAATCTAAATATCAGCATAATTTAGTAAATAAAATTCAATGCTTACCTGTGAACGTGAATTACGATCTGCAATTAGATCCGAAATCTGTGAAAGACCAAAAATATTAAAAGTAATCATTTCCACTGATTTAAACTCAGGTTGAAAAGAAGCGACCGCTCAGTCAATACATTTTAAAGTCAACAAAACTTTAGTTGATATCACTGGCGTGTAATATTTATCTCGATCTTTTTGTTATGTCCAAATTCTCTTGACTCCCAAGGCTGAATAACATAGGAAAAATTTCCTCCTCTAGAGTAACCGATAATGTGTGTGATTCGTTCTTTCTAAAAAGTTTAGCTTAAATCCTAGACTCCATAGACTAAAGGCTAAAAGTCCTCAACACACGATTTAGAACATTGACACATCTTGGAACCACTATCTCTTTGCATGATTCATTAGTTAAGCAGTGTGGGCGGAGAACCTGTTGTCTTGACAAATCTCCAAAGCGACTCAAGAAAGGGAAGTCTAAAAGTACTTATATGGTGGGGAGTTTGATTTATGTCACTAGATAGACACTGAGTCAATCAGAACGGTTAGTTGCAGACATATGTGCTTAAATGAGATAATTGGTTCCACATAATTGAACGCATATCGTTCATGAACTGCTTTATAAATGAAAGAATAAGCAGTAATCTCGATTATCGTTGACTAGCCGAATAATTAGTAGTTCTCACGTTTGTTTTCACTAAAAGCCTCCCATAAATCAGTACAAGTGTCGACCTTTTATCAAAAATTTATTTGTGTATATATCATGATAGTTTTAGAACACGAATAAAGGTTTGGTTAATGAAATCATAGTGCATTGAAGTAGAAATTCAAATATCTTGTTTTACAATATTGAATTCTACCTTGTTAAATTTCACACCATGTTATGTAACATTTTATTTAAGCCTGCAAATCCTATAATTATGCACCCCTTTCCAACATCTATACACCGTATGAATTATTCTACATATGACACTAATTGTTTTGCTACCTGACATTTAACTATGATTATAATCACAAATATTTTAATTGCATTTCATACTACTATTATCATTTTATGCATTCACACCTATGATTCAATTCCCTCACCGGATATAACTTCTTAAAAACCACATATATACGATTGTACAGCTTGATAAAAGATTCGTTGAAAAGGGTCTCTTCGCTGAATATTGTGCTCCTAATGACAGTTTAGTTATATTATAAAACAAATTCAGATATTGTAAATACATGAAATTTTTTTTATTCAGGCTTTTGACATTAGAGTTTTGCTATCTACAAGACATTTTAATAATTTCGCCACTGTGAAAGACCTAGAGCATTCAGTTCAAGTTTTACGTCCTTCTGACCTGTGAATTCAGGTTGTATCTACTTTGTAAATGTAGCAAAGGCTTACTACCAGAGTCTGTTCTCTTATTTGAAATTAACATTGATTTGGACTTTTAACAGGTATACGAAAACACTCTAGTTTCCGTCACTTTACTATAATGTCACTTAAGTCTCTTTGAACATGCTGACTGAGTCAAGTGGACAGTTAGTGAAAACTAAATATTTTCCTCTTGGATCAAGTATTTTAACCTGTTAATCCATACCCTTGACGGTTTATAAAGCTGTTACTTTAAGAAAACTATTTGCATTGCATCAAAGAAAGGATTGATAATATCAAGGATGTTCAAATACATTGAATTTCATTACAATAAGTAATTCATGTTACAATTTGCTTTTACCTATGTAACATTTTACACTGATAAATCCTTTTGCACACTGGATTAACTTTTGCTTGTGCCTAACACTTAAATTTCTAATTGTTTATCGGACTATTTATGACAGTTTTCGTTAGCTAACTGATATTTATGTGCTTGTCTTCTTAAATAACACATAAGCATTTCTGCTGCAAAAATTGATTTTATGAATACAAATATCACTTACACTTGTTGAAGAATTAGCTCCTGAAAGATAAACAACATAGAAAAAAGAAAGTGTTACATTTAAAATGAAGTGTGCTCCTGGGTTTTAAAAGCCTTAATCACAAAGACCTTCGGAAGCACTCACCCATTACATATTACAAGAGTGGATTATAATATTAATTTTTCCTACTAGCATTGTATGAATATATTAAGATTAAATATCTTCAGTTTGGTACTAGTCCTGTAGTTGCCCTTAGGTTGCAACATCTGACAAACAATGTACAGTTGATATGGTTGGCTTACAATCTCAAACTGATCTGATTCTAAATACACAATCATTTTCTGCGTAAAGTATGCATACTCCGTGTAAAAGACCATTATTATTGTAGTGAAATTAGACTTTTAAGATATTACAATTACCTGGGTTCATATGAGGGAAGAATATGATCTCTTTGTGTACATAGTGGTGACCTGATAATTTTACCCCTCCCCTGAGCTTAAAATATGAAATAATATGACTGCTGTGCTTTTTCTTATTTCATCCATAATAACTGATTATTTGGCCAGTAATATGCCTGAATTTCTTTCCGATAGTCCTTAACTTATCTTTATTCTTATATCCACATATGCAAAAGCAAATAACCATGTAATGCTTAGATTCACGGAATCGAAAACATTAGTCGTGACGAGTGACAATAAAAACAAAATGTGAACATTCGTTTTGATGATGAGATGGCATACTAAAAGAAATGTGATTTCAAAGAAACATAAGAAACATTAGCTTCAAGCCAAAAATTAGAAAAGCGTTCTATACTACCTGTTAATAGCAAGTAGTATGATATCAAATCATAAAAAGGTGCATGAGTAAAGATATCACCTCAGGAAAGGAACAGAAAGTATCTGTTATTTGAAGTCATGAATACTCATTATATGACTGGCAGTTCCGACAAGGAATGTAATGTGTTGGAGAGAATCAGAAATTAAAGACAACTTGTTTATATATCAGTTTTGCTATCAAAATGGCCCAGTTTAGATTTTAAGGAGGAATTCACATGAAGTTTAATCTACCCTATCACTGTATCACAAGGAGATGTCAAAGCATTCCTTGAGGATCAGACAAAACATGTAATTTTTATAAGTGAGGGAAAGTAAAAGTAAGTAAATATTCATGTCATGGTTTAAAACAGGTCACCACAACATAAATCCACTCTTTTATTCGGCAAATGTTGTTCATGCATATTCATGACTCCCCTGTGATTACAAGTGGTTAGATAAAACAATGACTGAGTGATTGAGTGGATCAGTATACGCATTTCACTTATACCGATGCCAATTTTTATTGGATATATCATACAGTATAATGGTATTATTTACTGGATGCCTCTTCAAGCATCAGTTGTCGTATTTTACAAAGAGGGAGCCCCTGAAACCTTACATAGAATTCTCATGGACGCAGGGATAAAAGTGGGAATCAAAACCACAGACTCAGAAACAAACTATGCTGATTAAAGGATCCTGTAGAGTCAGTGTGTGTTGACATTTACACAGCTGATTCATCCGTGTTTTACTTTATTCTGGTGTAAACGACTCCTATCTGAAGAAGAACTATGTGTAAATAGGGTAGAAGAAAGTGAAAACAGTAGTTAAGTATGAAAACATATGCAATTTAATGTATATGCGGTAAATGACCAAGAGTTTTAGTCTTATTAAACATGGTCACGAAATTACTGACGTGTGAATATCTTGTTCTCGTTTTCATAGTTGAAGCTGTTAAATTACTAAGTAAACGCTTTCTAATAAAGAGAAGCATAAGGTGCGGAAAAATAGAATGTTTGGTCTGTAGAGTGCGTTAACTTTATCGTAGGTAGCGCTAATTTAGTTGAATATATGGTACTGTGATACCTAAGGGAGTGACTTTTGTATCTGTGTTTACATGCAAGTAAAATTTGAAAGTGTTGCCTGTGATAGGTCATCTCCAAAACTATCCAAAATACTGCAAAAGCTTCTAAGGTGCTGACTTTCAGGAACAAATATACGTTTGACACGTGAATAGTTTTTGCATTTGAAACTTATGCAGTTAAACTGATTGTATGGGATTATGAGATACACGAAAATTTTTGTAGGTTTCACTTATTAGGTTTTTGCAATTTATTTACAGATAAGTGACAAATGACTAATTAGTGAGTTAATCAACTCAAGACATTACTTCAGCAGCACAATGTGGTAATAAATGACCACTTTAAAAGCGGTCATAACATTATACCAAAAACAGTTGTGTGCTAATTTACTGATGTTCGTTTCTTAACAAAAAGTTGTCATTCAGTATATAATAAATGATGTATTCACCTAGTTGAATGTATTTGTGTGATGGCTGCAACGGTTGTGATCGAAACTACAAAAGCGACTACAGAAATCATAAACAATAAGTACACGTTTGTCGTACTGAATAAAGAAAGGAAATGTAATCATACTATCGTCATTTGGCTGATAATTTGCTCACAGTGTTGAAGCTAATTTAATACCTCATAACTATGACATATCTGGTTTCTGAGAGGTCCTTAAAATTTAATGTATTGTTAGCTCTGTGGGGTTACCACACCTTAAACACATAATCTAGTGGGGAAGATCTCTTCAGGTAATTTAAGTGAAATTGATTTAAATTAATTTTTTTCATGCATTCTCACAATTTGGTTAATTTCTAGGGGTTTATTTTCTCGAACAATAATTCATGTTGTAATTGCATTTGCACCTGAGGCTGTTTTCAATTAGCCTTTTGTTTAGAGAAATAAAAGTAAAGAATGACTTTCTAGGAAATATGGTTTTGTAAGTAAAATCATTATTTTTGTTCGCTGCAGTTATCAAAAGATAGTAGACATACTTACCACTAGTTTGAAGCTCAGTAAATGTTTTCACCATGGCTGCATAGCTTGTAACCAGAGCTGAACTTTCTGATAACTGCCCAGTAACTATTAGCCTGTTCATTGCAGAAATATTGTTTGATTGAAGTAAAATTACTGAGTTACGTAGAACACCCGGTGGCTTAGATGGAATCTGAAATGAAATACCATTAAAACATAAAAAAGTGTCAGTATCATTATTTATGACAGCCTAAAGAGGAATTCTTGTTTTATTGTTGCCTCCATATTTGGGCCGTAACTTGCACTAAGGTTTTCTAGTAAATTAATTTATTCAGTGGCAACAGTGTCATCAGTTATTCGAAGTTATAACTCAGTTGATTTGTTATCATTATTACTCCTTTAGGTTTCTGAGTGGGACATAGAGATCCAGCAGCACATCACCATTTTAACCTGTTTTTTGCATTTCTGTTCCATAAGCTCCTGCTTGTACGATTTCTTCCATGTCACATTCGGACCCTCACCCAACTACATGTCTCCTACTCGAACTATGCTCGAGGACCTGGTGTGAGATATAAACCGACGGTTTCCTGAGCGTGTCGTCTATCTATCTCCAATTTCTTCAGTATATTTTTTGGTTAATAGGTTCTGGACTGGTTTCTCCTCAGAGTTTGTTGTGGCTAATTCTTTCTGGTTTGCCACTTTATCTACAGTGTCTGGCAAAGTCAGCTGCTGATAAAAGTCTGCAACCTGTTAGAAATTCATTTCATGACATGGCAAATTTCTGGCCCACACTGAAGAACTGATACAACATTCTTGCTGAAAATCAAACTCCTGTTCCCTATGTTGATCTCAGCAGATTTCCACCCTGACTTCCGAGTAATAAGCTCATGTCTTGCTTTGCTAATCCTGCCTTTGACGTCCTAATCCAAACCTCTTGTATTTGAAACGATGCTTCTCAGGTTTGTGAGGTGTTAAAAATAAATCATCTGCCGAGTCCAGATCTTATAGAGCTTATCCGTCTGCCAATGTATGCCCGTCTTTTTGCTCCCCATAGTCTGTTGCATGAACCAGTTCTCCATAATCACTTCAAACGCTTCAGTGAGCTTCTGGTTGTGAATTACTGACATGTAACATCATCGCATGGTTCTTGAATGAGGTTTATGATTGTTTATTGTGCTGCACTACGTCATGCTGAAGCAGTTTCAAAATTCCTTCACGATAGACACTTCTGAGGGTAGAGATTTCACTGCTATTCTATGCTCTTTTCAATGATAATTCGTAGTGTTGCAACTGATTTGCTCTACCTGAATTCAGCTTATTTGAAGTACCCTAAATTTTGGAAAACATTTTATTTGTTCTCTTCTGAAAATCCAGTTCTCACTTAATTTGCCCGGCTGAGTCTCATTCAAAACATAAAGAACCTTAATCACCAGGTTAGGTTAATTCTTACCAAGAAATAGTCATATGCTCATGATAAAAAAGTGTTGTTTTTTTTAAAATGAGATTACTTACACTAATTTTACCATAGCATACTTCTACTGAACTCCCAAATTTGTCAGAAACATAAACACAGGCATCTGCCGTCTGGTTCAGATAAACCACATAGAAACAAGCACTAGGGGAATTTCCACTTGCAAGGACCAAATTGAAGGATGAATTCCTAACTAGTAAAAGAAATGGATTCAGTGAATTTTTGATGAATATATTTCTGAAAAAATATAAAATAATTATCGATATTGTTTTGTACTTAGGGTTTTACAGGATAAGGAAAACAATACTGAAATATTCGTTTATTAGATTTATGCAGATGTATCTAAAAGAAGGTCGAGCACATTTAAAGATAACCTTAGAGACTATAAAACAGTGTCAGTCGAGACTGTGCGAAGGATATTCTAAAAAACAGAACCTAAGACTATAACGCTTTGATGATTCTGGAACATTGATAAGTATGAGAATACTTTCAATCACAGTCAGAAATCAAATAAATAAAAATCCACTACGATCTGTAGCTCTTTGGCAATAAGCATCCACTCGCCTTCACCCCACTGTGTGACATAAAACTCAGAAGTGTCTGACGCTAGACAACGTGACGATTATTTGTTACTGTTGGTATGTTCCTAACTAGAACAAAATAACAGCTGAGTACTCTTTAACTGATACAGACAAGTTTTTTGAATGACGTCAAAAAATGACTGAAACTGTTTAAGACGTGTTAATTTAACGTGGAAAAATAAACTCATAAGGAAGCCAATGAACACTGTACTCTTACAATGTGAAAGTAAGCCTCGATTAATATTTCTATAAGTTTGAACAGCTGAGTTACTGCAAGAAACCAAAATCTCATGACCATAATCAGTGATGGATCATTTTAGCAAGGAGATTCCTTTATTAGAGAAACTAGTAACGGCTGAACATAAAGGTGATTACTATTCAGTACATTTGTGAATATTTCGGTAAAAAAGCTCCCAAAACCTGTGTATATGCTAATACATTTACCATTTGCAAACATCCATTTGTCATACTTCAACCAATTTAACACTTGTACACGGTAGCTTATAGAAGTGAACTATTTGTGGCTTTAAACAGGTATATTTTCCGATAACCTCTGAATATATAAAAGTGTAAAATGTATGTTTTGAGTCAAAATTATCAATATTTGTCCGGAAACTCTACCAGGTTATGAGTTTATGTGTAGGAATACAATTCATTAACTTATGTCTATATCTTTAGGATGTAATCATCAATTTATACCAAGAAGACACATCGGCTGACTGACTGGCTTCCCAAAAGTTTTTACCAGCAGGCATCATTTCGCTTCTCCGATTCCAGCGAAGAATAAGTTTGTTTTCTATATTTTTTGTATTTTTAATATTTTGGTTGTGCGTTGAAGTTTCTGAAGCAGTTTGACTGGTTTTGTAGAGAAGGGGCAGCCCTGCCCACAGCCCTCCCTCTTTACCCGGGCTTGCGACTGACTAGTAAACTAGGCGAGGTTATCTATAAAGTTTAATGGGTTATTTCTGCTGTCTGCAGTTTAAACATAACACTACATGAATATTAAGCGCGCACATTAAGTCATAAACGCCTTCTTATGCAACCGAGATTCTCATGCACCAACATAGGCCTTTAAATGAAAAAGAGTAGAGGTAAAATTATGACTACCAATTGATACATACTGGACTGTTCAGTACATTATGATTCAGTGACTCATTTAACAACTATCTAGTACTAAAGTAGTATTGTAACAACACCACAGTATTTACTAAAATTGTAACTTCCTAGGAAAATCATTCAGTGCAATACAGATGTATCCAGCTGAAAAGTCCTATTCAAGACGAGGATTGTTCTATATTCTACTGTTAGACAATAGTGGTTACACAAAAGCTTCAAGGGATGACAGGTTCACTTAAGTGATATTTTTGTTTCACAAAAGTCATACAATTTAGACTTGAATAACTTACTGAAAAACGTATAACTCAGTTGGCTCACTATGCTGCTGAAATTTTTACAGTTTACGCACATTATTTCATTTGTAAGATTATATGTGCATGTGCCTGTCGTCAGTTTTGGTAGGTAGGTAAATCTTAAACACACTGTTCCCTTGTACATGTTTCCAGTTAAAGTGGCACAGACAATGCATCCTGTGACATTCTCTGATCGAATCATAAAATAGTTTTTATTAATATGCCAAGATGAAGTAAAAGTGCCTGTTTTAAATGAAAAAAATTTGTGAAAATAAATAATAAGAAAATAAGTCACAAATATATGAAATCAGTCATAAACGTTACGATTACAAGGAATGGGGAATAACTTTTACAGTGTATGTGATTCTCACATTCTTTCCTCTAGAAAGAACAATATCACTTAGACACCCAGTTATTGAACCCGTTGCATCAATATTCACTGTATTACTCTGTTTGAAAAATACCTCATCCTTTATTTTAAGATTAAATGTTAACTTTTGTACCTGTCTGAAATTATGACCTAAGGCAACTGTAACCGAATACAACTAACCATCATCGCTGGTTTATGATTCAGCGAACTAAACATTTTATCATCCATGGCACCAGATGTACTGATTTCAAATAAAGCAAGAAAAAAATGTTTTTGCAGAATATGATGGAGCAATTATTTATTTCGTTGGTTTTCTATTCAGCTGAGTACGACCTATAAGTTAGGTATGTATGTGTACATAGAAATTCTAACATACTTGCTAGGGTTGCATGATTTTCGGTCAACAAAGACACAGAATTAATCGATGGTGCTCAGAAGTTACACCTATACAACTTATGCAAAGAGGTCAAAGTTTAAACAAGATAAAAATATACAAAATTATTGGTTGGACACGTTGAAAACTGAGGTTCACAGCCAAGAGAAGAGGCGAGAATTTCATGATATGTAACTAATTATTTGCGTCACAGCGTGATGAGTTCAAGTCAGGTCATTAAAACAAAAAGAAACAAAATAAATTACGGTAAAGCTTCAACGTTTTCATTGTAATGGATTTTCATTCTTCATTCTGATCATCTCAGGTCACTTATTCTTCATGTAGTTATCACTACCTGAATAATTGAGAATAGTCAAATGCTCAGTTCTTAGTCCTTACCAGAAGCTGATCTTATTTACTCTAAGTTATTTCAAGGTTCCTGGTAATCCCTAACTAGGAAACGAGTACATCCAGTGGATGGAATGACACACGCGTTATGGATTCCCCTTCTAGCCACCGCCACCCAAGCAACGGAAACCGAATTTGACTTACATAGTACTCATCTACATTATATCTGAAAAATGCATTTGTCTAAATATGATCGCTAATTATTCTTTTTAATTCTAAACCCACTATCAAATACTCTGTGAAGCAACAAAATGACAGCACACAAAAGGTACATACAAACATCGTTCAAAAAATACTTTGCAGCACTCCCGTCTTGAAAAGAACATAGAATAAAAAATCGTATGCGTGTTTTCCTGAGGAATAGATATCGAAGGATATCTACCAACAACCCAACAGACTAATGTAAATCATCCTCTGAAACGACAAAGAAACCAGGCTCACCTAATGTGAAGAACATTTCAAAGATTACTGATACGACATTGAAAACCCCTGGAATAACTGTCACTCACAAAGCAATATACTACCTCCAAACTGTTCTATGTAAACCAAAAGTGCTAACAGTAAAAGAAGATATAACTCACGTCATCTATAAAGTAGACCTAATAAAATGCGAAAAAAAACAACGTATTGGCCAAAGCACAAATCCCCTTCATGTTCACATCTATAAACAAAAACTAACAGCCAAAAAACATGTTACGCCATCGTTCACATCAAATCGCTTAGGCAGCTGTGAATATCAGTTCAAAAGGGATGATTACATAGAACGCCAGGGAGTTTCTAGAGGCTTGAGACTCAAATTAGTTTACAGTTAAGAAATATACGGGTAGAAATCAAATTTAATGACCAAAATTTCAAATATCGGGTCAATGAGAGGATCAGCATCAGTAAAATGAATGCAGTAATAAGGGAATCAACATAAAGGCAACTACAGTCAAATTTGCCAGGGAAGACTAATATTTCATCAGTGAAGAATTCCCGAAACTCATTTTAGCGTGAAATTAGTGATGTATACACAGTACAGAAGTACAGTGTATAATACAATGACAGCTTTAAAATTAAACTGTGTTGTTTAGAGAACAAAACACCATGAAAAAACCATCATTTGTTCACAGGCATTTTGCGTTTAACTTACCTTCTGTGAACATGTCCTGTTTAGTTTGATTAAATGGAAAGGTTTCTCCCACTGAGTTTATCTCTTTAATATCCCATTGGAATTGCACTCCTGGGTCAAAACTGCCAGACTGTGTGAATGCAGTTACATAAAGATCATCAGACTCAGAAATGAACCAACTGGTTTGATTTGATGTTGTCTCCAGAACGTGACACAAATGTGGGATGCTGCATCTAAAGTGATTTTTATATTGATCAGAAAAAGTTTACTGAAAATTTTCAAAATTTATGATGCAAAAAGGATGTATGTAATTTTCAGATGAAATTTGTATATTTCATTGCATTTCACTCTGATAGCTATTTTTAAATTTCAGTTATAATGAGTTATGAATACTTTAGAATAGGTTACAGAATTGACTGTTTCAGTATGATTATTCTGTATTGTTATGAGTTATCTCTTTTAATTGACAAAATTATGTATACCGGCCACTATTAGATTCAGTAATCGAACTTCTTAAATGTCGTAGAAAGGTAGTTAGTGGATTTTTGAATAACTAAAACCAACAAAAGAATGACCTATAGATACTAAAACACCCTTAATTGGATTTCTGTTGTAATATACTTTATCAGTATCATAATTTTTAATCTAATAAGGTAAAATTTTGTGTTAAAAACTGGGGAATGGTAACTGGTTAAATTATAGTAAAAGTAATTGCTAATCTACTACTGTTTTATCATTTATGATACCTACTTTATTAAAGACTGGATACCATAAAGGCTAAAACTGAAGTGATCTAGTTACTTTGAACAATCGAATTAAGGGAGATAATATAGTCAAATTAGTTAAGTTAATCGACTGAACTACATTAAATCGCCTGAAAAAGGAGGTAAAAATGTTCCTCACGGTGAGATTCTATGGGTGTGCTTTTATCGCAGCAGGTTTTTCAGCTACTTTCTGAGCATTTGACAGGTTTTCCCCACAAACTACTGTTATTTGCAGTAGTGCTCTTGGAAGCGGAAAAGAGTAGAATCTATGTGAATACTTAATACTTCTTCGGTAAATGACAAGCAAATCACAGCATATTTTTAACTTAGTTACTTGCATTTTTCACGTTCAGTTGACTTTTTTATGACATAAGATGGTTTATACAGCGTTTCTGAAAAGCATGTTTCTTCAAAAGCAGTTTCACTGGTAGAACACATTATGCCTTCCAACTAAACCTTCGCTGTGCTTACCTCTTCATAAACGTTAGTGGTGGGTAGACCAACGTTTAACTCAATGACCAACCTAATAACTTTTAAATATCCCCTAGTGCTAAATACTCTTTTCAGATGATATCATTTCATGAAAACTCCTCTTAAATTATTTTATAATAGTATTGTACTCGTGTAAACGAAAACTGCATAATATTTCTAGGAAGCTGAAAACTTGCTTTACTGAAAACATTGGAGTTGTATAGTTTACTGTTATTATTTGAATTGCAGCTTTTCCAATGCCTCGAGTTGGTTTGCTGCCGATTACTGTGAATTCATATGTTGTGTTTATTCTTAAGTTTTCAGTGGGAAAACATAGTGTACCATTACTCGTATTAATTCGTCCTGGGCCATCTCCGAAACAACCAGTATAATTCAGTTGGTACTGATATCCAAAAGGTTTAGGTAAAATCAAATTTTCAGACGGTTCTTCATTGATTTGTCTGCAGTACCATATCCAAGACCCGATACCCTTAAAATGATGGCAATATTTAAAAGAAAGACTAGGTTACACAATCAAGTAGAAACAAATTTATTAAAGTACACTAGAAATTTCTAGTGCGTTGTCCATTAAGTAGATTATACATCATTAAGCCTAGACTAGGCTACTATACTCACCTTTAGTCAAGCAAATTAAAACATTTGCCTGTTGATTAGAGATAGAATCAATCTATCTCGTTATTCGATTTATAAGAAAACTGTTAAGATTTTATAAGCTTTGACGCTAACTGGTATTGTAATCAGTAAGATTGTTCCCGATGTAATAAGCCGGTGATAGATGATAGCGGCGATGGTTAATTTAACAGAAAAAGCATTTTGAGTCAATGAACTAACCGAATAAGTGTACCATTCAGTAGTACTGTTTTCCATTAATGGATTATAAAGCAAGGCAGTTGAAAAGACAGTACTTCAACACCACACTAAAAATTCACAAAAGAACTAAATCTTATCACTCAGAAAAAGGTAAATATAGTTAGTTTGTACTACTTGTACATTTCTTTGAAATTGTATCTTTCCATATCAGACTGAGCATGGTCTGGTATAATAATATTATATTTTCGCTTTATGTACATGAGGGACACCAGTTTACAGGCATCATCAATATAAGTAATATATACATGGAGTAAGCATATTTACAATTTTTTACTAACACAGGATATATATATATATGAGGAAAGGTAGTGGAATAATTACAGTAAGCATACTTTCCATAGGTTAAAAAAATTTATATGATATAGTCCTGGGCACCATTATTGTTTGAATTTGTAGAAAACGCGCATAACAACTGAGAGTTGCGTTACATGTAGTCGATATGGTGGGTCATTCACAAAAGTATAAAAATGGCTTGTAAAACATTAGTTAGTTTACCGAAAAGAATGTTTCCAGTTAAATAACCTGCAAGAGGCTCACCACAACAGTCAGTATCCATTTAAACATGCAAAGAGGTATTAATGAATCAGCAACCGGTAAATTTTTGATCCATTTCGGTCAGGAACCAGAATGACTGTGAACCCCAAAATGTCGAATATAGCATGCAGGAGCAGAATATTGCCGTCGAATTAGTCAGTGAAACTTGAAATGCAGCTGTCAGCATGTGTTTATTACTTCTTAGATATTCTGGTTCATCGGCGCTGTATTGGTAGTGATTAGGATTTGTCAGAATGACCAACATGCGGATGAATATCCAGATGTGTACTACAGCTAGTTTGCCCTGTGGATTTAATTAATTCCATTTCGTGTGGGGTTTGATATATTCCGCAAAGTATTGTCGTGACCATGGGAAGTATACGTATGCTTTAAATACGTTACTTCGTTGATTCTGAGTATATACAACGGGAACTGTGGATTTATATAATTCCTCGCCACTGTGGATAAAGTATCACTGTATTCCTTTCAGAAAGTAGACTAGTTGGGGGATTATAAATAATGTCCTAATAACTCATATCTTTCCATGTAACATTGTCGGAAAAGCACATCAGTGTCTCAGCTCTTGACAGAAACTGTTAATTAGCGGATACTTCACAGTATACAGTAACAAGTAACTCTAAATTTCATACTTCCCGTTCCTTCTAATATACAGCATTAAGGTGAAATGTTTGACATGATCAGTAGGGTAGTTCTTGAATTTATACATTTTAAATAGTCATTTTTTTATTGGGTTTAAAAAGTGCTTTGTATGTCCTGTCGGTTGGACACTAAACTATATTTACCCATCGTGACACCATAAGTTTAGCTTAAAGCTAGTCGGCAAACACTAGCTAGTTTATCCTAACATCTTTATGAATGAGTTATATATGAGTAGATATTTTTCACGAGTTGATCACGGACTGATATCAGTTAGAGAACCATTGAAAACCAGGGAGTATTGGACAGTTGTTTCATCCTAGTTTGGGAGTCATCGGCAGTACTCACCCCCTGGGGTTCGAACCCAGGACCTACTGGTTACAAGGCAAGCTCGTACACCATTTATCCACTGAGACCAGTTTCAATGGCTCATGAATTCTAACTTCTACCAATTTGTGATTTAGCGCGACCCCAACCACTGTCGTTGGTGGGACATCCATCCACACACGTGACATCTAATTGGACCTCACTGGTCATGACTTCTCACTAGAACTCCAGGAAACTCGTAAAAACATAACTAACCCTTACAAACCAAACTATAGATATTTTTCATCCTATGGCGAGTTTCATAAATGACCTGTGAGACTAGTATTTCAGACAACTCAAATCAACCGTCTACCTGCCGTTAAAATATATCTCCGATTCCTTTCAGTAAATAAATCGATCTTATATATATATATATATATATATACTTAAGGCGCACCTCCGCAAAAACTTATGAAAGAGAGATCTTAGTATTCGATAGAAAATGATTAGGGTATGTAGCATTGAGAATACTTTAGAATTAGTAAGAAAAGTGTGAAAAAATTGCAAGAAATGCGTGCTACAAATGAACTTATCAGCATGATGTATACCACGTCGGTTGGAGGAACAGATAAATAAATGAAAAGAGTGGACTGTCGTACAAGTCGAAAGGATTGTCAGGTAGCATAGTTTCATAGGAATTTAATCTAATATGTCAAAAGCATCTACTCGCCGCAGTCTGAAATATTCGACCTCACTACACAGAAACAGCTTCAGACCATAAAATGATCCATGATCACCTTTAAAAAATGAATTTAATCTTATGACGCTGCCACTTGTACCTAAATCATAACATCATAAAATGACTATGAGTAAAAATAGACATTTTCGTAAATATTAATTAGCAGTTTACCGATGTTATAAAAGATACTAAAGTACCTGTGGAGAACTTCTGTTCTTGACTTCTGGATCAAGAGAATAAACTTCTGGTTCCAAACATATTTCTTGCGTAGTTAACCCGATTGTTTTGTTGACTGGGTTGCCATCGTAAAACTGGACTAATAGTGGTGGAGGGAGCAGGATTATGTATGTATGTGCTGAAACAATATATCCGACTGCTGAATCTTTTGGCGCCACATAAGCGAAACATGTGGCTTTATATGTTCCAGATATGAGAAAATTAGCAGGTATACCTAATCTCAATGTTTTTGCACTTAGTTCTTTGTCGAGTGATACTGACTGGATTGGTTGAACAGTGTCTGGATCAACAGATTCTAATGTCCACAATTTTTGATTTTCCTGTAGCATCAAACAGTCTGGTACAGTTAGATTTGCTTCAATATTTACAACTGTGTTGCTGACTGCTATTATTGGATAATTGGGTGATCGTGATGATGTGTTACCTATGGTTAATTTAGGTGGTGGACAGCCTGAATACGTAACTGGCACGTATACTTTAGCTTCAACCATTTTAGTTGGATTCATAGCTTGGATATATACATAATGAAGTCCGTCTGACATATATTGAACACCTAACCAAAATGTTAGATTAACTGGCTTATTCTCCAGTCGTAAATAAGCAGGACACAAGGGGCATGTGGATGTTGGATTTTTTATTTGTGGATAGTAAACTGAACCTATGCCATCGTTTTTTGTCACACAGATACATGTATCGTCTGAGTACGCTTGAAATGAAATACGAATTAAGCCTTGTTCGTTGGGTTTCAACATTCCAGGACCGACAAGAACAGCTTCCAGCCCACGTAGTGATGTTTTTATTGAGATACCTTTGGAGGTTGAATTTGAGCTGAGTGGATTTGAAGCTAGAACTACGGCTGTATAATCTCCAAGCTAAATTAGTGAGGATATCCAAAAAAGGTCAAGAGGTTAGAAAAGTTAGAGAAACCAGAAAATAAAAATTTTACTTTCAGATCCAACCAGTGGATAATGCAAAAAACACCAAATAAAAGGTTAATCATCGTAATCGCAATCAATTGTTCAAGAGAAATAATTATCCTAAGGATGAACGAAAAGACTGTAGGAATAACCGAGGTAATTATGAAGCCTTACAAAACTTATTGCAAAATTATGTTTTACCACGATATGACTGTAACATAAAATAACCACCACTGCGTGGGGTTTGATTCCTGGTCGATACATCCCTAGACCTCTCCTAATTTACTAACCGGTAGTAAGCCCAGAGAAGAGGAAAGGTGAAGCTTGAGGCTAAAAATTCCACCCAGAATACAAACACCACCACTACCGAAACTTCGAAGCTTGAAGCCCTATATTCCACATGAAACACAAGAAATGAAAACACAAATATCGCATAAGTCACCTACCTGTATCTCTAAAGTTCGAATACAGATTGTCCAAGTTTTTTAGTAATAGAATTAACTTCTAATTACTGAGTGGTCCTAGATTTGAACTAGAAGACATTTGCTATCGAAATCAAACGTAAAATATGGTCTGTGAGTAATGTCATCAATAAAGTTGTTATGTTTTAACCGTGCCATTTATTTTAATGGAATTAGATATCTTACAAATGAAAAAATCTGATCACTGAGTCAGTGGTGTTCATTATTTATATTAGTTGCTTTTCATGTATGTATGTAGAGACCTCAAACAGTGCTTAGTACACTTTGTATGATTGCAATTTTGTAGTAATAGATATCGGTTAATACTAAATTCCCGAAACATTCTTCTAACTGTTACAGTAAGTGGAACTCATTCTCTTTCACCAGTCTTATTCAGAATTACTACTTTTAATCCATTACTATTAGAGACAATTATATATGGATGATGTAGGATACAAGTACACCTTTAAAGTACTACGCACCTTACTTCTTCTGATAAATCCAATGACGAAATTTCAGATATATTAGTCTAAGAAATATTACATCACCTCACTGTTATTTTTATCTAAACTACAACAAATTATAGTGCGTCGGTAGCACGGCGGTTAGGACGCTCGTCGACCATGCACATGGTCCGGGGTTCGACCCCTGGCCGACTCACTCCTTTACCTCCCTAAGCCGGTAATAAGACTGGTAGAGAGGGGTGGTTGGGCATGAGGCTAGCAAACCCATCCTGTAAAAATAAACATTGCTATAGAAACTTCAAGCCTCTAGCTTGAAGCCCTTTATTCCACTGGGAACTTGAAGGAATAAAAAAACAGAAAATTATGAAAGGAAACTATCCACTTGATCGTTTTCGTTCAAGGAAAAGTGAGACTAAGTACAACTAGTTCCACTGACCCCTTCACTAAACTTTCACCTCTCAGTCCATGAGTGTCTTGAGCACCTAACTAGTTTAAGAGAAGTATGTTATTATTTCCTAAATTACCACGTAAATATCCTCTGAGTTAAAGGTTCTAGTAGAACGCAAGTAACTAATAAACTTGGGAAAATTAGTTCAGTCCACAAATAACCCTTAAGTTAGGGTAAATATTTTTAATCACCCCCAGAAGAGAGTGAGAGTGGAATATATTGTATGGACACATGAAACCATTATTCCTGTGGTGAACAGTCCTCTCTAAGATAGCTTGTAACGTCCCATCAAACGGGACATCCTTTTCACCGCTACTTTTTACAAATCAGTGCCCTTAACTGCAAATACCAAGCCGCTGGATCATGAAAAACGAAGCATATGAGTAAATTACCTGTTTGAATGTATACAAAAAGTAATTGTTCCAAACAGTTGCTGAATCTAACGTCAGATTATTATTTCGATTTATGATTGAGTATGTGACGTTGGCCACATTGTCTGGTCTGCCATCAGCGTATACTTGAAACTTCAGTGGGACTCCTAGAGGATAACAATTCCTTTCTATTCCATAACCAGGATCACCTGTTGAAGCCACTGTTATTTGTAGGTCGACTTGTTGAAATGCGCCAAATGCACCAATCTTGTTTGAAATAAAAATTTGAAAAAACGGGTATTGATCATCTTTGCTGTTTTTCATGTCTTCTTATCAGTATTTATCGAAGAAATGACTCAGTCCGCATTGAAAAAAGGTAGGAAATATAATACCCTTGTTACCACAAATAGTATTTTAGTAAAATATGTCAGCTGCAACCATGTGTTTCCTTGAAAGTTTGGACAAATAATGCAGATTTCCTGCGTAACACCTACTAACTTCTCGATTCAGTGGTTAACTAACTAAAGCGCATAGAGTCCATTCCTTACAGAGTATTCTAACAGTCAAATACACACTACTGAAATGGTTTATGCTGCACACTAACACATCAGTGATTAATTTGGTTCTATTTTAACTTTCATCAGTCAATTGATTATCGCCAGATTCTAAGAAAAATGTTCAAAAGTTTCTTAGCTAATTGATGCTTTAGGTAAACTACAAAGCTTCACTGAACATACGACAAAAGTTTCTAGATCTTAGTCGGTTACACTGTTTATTGTCCTTCTTCGTAAACTGAGTGTAACTATATAAACAGATCCACTGTTCCTCGCTAATATAGAAACCTTGAAACGTATTCTCAGTCTTCAAACTTCTTCACATTCGAATTTAAATCCACATTGCTCTTAACGTTGGATGCCTAGCTAGAACAGGTACAAACATATGTTCACCGAAGCACTACTTCATATGAAGTGAATTAATGCTTAAGTTCCTTTAGCTGGAACTAACTATTGGTATGTCTGCGACTTCTTACCTTTCGATATCTATGAAAACTCATAAAATATGATAATTCACTAATTCCTTAAAAGTGAACTAATTATAGACAATTTGATTAGGCCGTTGAGCTTAATAATTGTTTGATAAAGTCTTCATTCAGTCCAGTGATTATTAGTATCTTGAGTCATTTGAGAAACGCTTGAGAATCAATTTATGTTGAGGAATCTTTTTGATACGTAGTCTCCTGTTCACAATATTAACCTTTAATGTGTCAAGTAGCGAAGCAACACCGGCATCTTATAGTGAGCTTCAGTTTCTAATCGGAAAAGCACAAGTTGTTGAAAAACAGGGATCTTATAATTTCTGCTCAAACTTCAACTTTTGTTCTTTCGGTGAAGCTTAATAGAGACTTTGTTACGGTTTACAAAAATATTAATGAAGGCGTACTAACTAACCTGTATAGTTTGTGTCATATTGCTTATAACATTGTCCAAGGTCACAGAAGCTTGAAAATAACCCTGACTAGTTAAAGCACGAGTAACTGTCTCAGGTTGATTAGCTGAAGTTAACATCCCTTCTGTGGGTGCACTTTTATCACCCCATACAACCACGTATTTGGCTAGTGTTGGAAAGTTGGCAGGCAAACCAGTGTATGTGATGGTAAATGAAACGATTCCTGTAATATGAAGCGTGTAATTAAAAGATGAATCTACCATTGTGTAAAATTCAAAAGTTTTTAAACTCCTAACGTTTCGTATGGATTTTCTCAATCACAAGAAATTTTGCTTTCCTATTATAAAGACATGAATCAGTTATCGCCGTAAATAAGTAACCTACGATTAACTCTTAGTTTTCAGCTTGCCACACTATGAATAAAGCATTTTATTGTATTCTGTTGATTAGTAGTGTATAATGTGCTATTTTCCTTGCTTCCTTGATTATAATTTACGGTGTCAAGCAGATGACATATTGTGACTTCACTGTTTTGCGTTTCTAAAGCAAACAGTAGTGAATTATTACCCATTACTTATTTTGCTTATTAACATTACACTGAAACAAGTTTATGTAGATATGTAGTCAGATGAAAATTAGTCAGCACTGAGCTATCATATGTCCGTGAACTTCTAAGTGCTTTGAAACACCAATATGCTCCTCAGTCTGCATACGTGAAACATAATCAAACGCAAACCCAATAAATGTTGTTACAGGAAGGTGTCACAAAACAGCAAAGGACGAAAGATTAGATTTGGTTCAAATAAGTGATATAGTATCCTCTAGAATTCCTGGAGAATTTCACTTCACGGATGTTCGATCACAATGAACCACAGTATGTTGATACCAATGTTCAGTCGCAAGTGAGATCTGAGTCTTTATCTTATCTTACCTTATAAGACTTCTAAATACAACTTCTTACCATAACGACACATAAGAAAAGTAATCCTTCTTTGGTAACAGTATTGATAAATGAATAGAATAAATCCGTAAATAAGCTCATGATACGATAAAATACAGTTTATTTTCTGTTTTGCAGTGAAAACTGATTTCACTTTAGAACTCTCACCATTAATAGTCATATGTCTTAGGAATTTCTGCTAAGATCACAACTGGAGTAACAATGAAATCATCGACTACATGATAGTAGTTGATAAAGTGAATGAAATTCTCACCTGGTGGATATATAGCATGGCCACTATATTTAATGTTAACATTTTCTATTTTATTGCGTACATCGACAACAACTGTGCACGTTTGATTACTGACTAAGTTTACAGCCTGTATTGTCTCAAAATACAAACCGTCAGCAGGATAGGTATAATTGATCATTGTTACCTGAGGTGCTGAATAAATAATTTAGAGTAAAACAAAAACAACCAGTGAATACAAATAAAAATGCGATGAACGTTTAGCTGCAAAGACTACTCATTACAGTGAATATGAATGAGGATCATTCTTTTCAGAGAATATTATCCGTCCACTTACTAAAGAGTCATTAGCATATTACTACTCAATAATTATTTCTTAGAACTTGAAGTAAAGCAGGTTGGACAGATTTCAAAGCCTCTTTTGTGATGCAGCACAAATAATGAATGTCAAAAACTTCATAACACACCTGAGATTATAGTGGTATTGAAGCCTACAAGATCACTAGAACAAAACTGGTCTTACAGTTTGAGAGAAAACCGCAGCAGGCTGATACATTTCGGTGAGGTTGAATTTTTCTGCAACAGAACAATGTTAATTTTGATTAGGCTGACCACAAAGTAATTAAGCTTCGTAGTGTAAATTAACTTCTAATGACTTTTTCTAACCTTCTCTTAGCTACTTCAACAACACTGTCCCTTTTTTGGGGACTATTCGAAATAGTCTCTTGTTTTCTCTAACCTTCGAATACTTGTTAATAAAGTTGTCTGGATAGCCGTTTCCGGGTGAAGTATCTTCCTATGTTGGAACCCATAATTTGCATTGTCACTGTGAATTCTTGTTCTACACCGAAAAGTGTCCTAACCATGTTTTTTCGTATTGGATCGAGACACACTACTGAAGTGAAGACATTATCAAGTTCCACCGTGAATTTAAAATTCACTGAAATTTTAAAAATAGTACTTCTGATTCTGTTGTTTTGTAAATGTATTGAAAATAGCATTCATGTAATTACGGTACATTTCTGCCTGTTCTATGAGATATTTAAAGCAGTCCGTTACTAGGCTTGCAAGGAACAGGTTAAGAAGTAGAAGTCTCAAAAACCTCAATATGAAACCATTAACTTTACGAAACAACTGAATACCTAACTGGAAATGGAAAGTTTCGGCAAGATTCTTCACATCTTTTCAACTTCTTTACATACAGATTCAATAGTCTTGTCAATTGGGACATCGGTGGACAAAGAGACAACATCACATAACACAAAATGCTTACCATAGCGATTGGAATTGGTAAGACTTTGCGAAAAGTGGGATGTTTCAGTAACAGTGTATTACATGACTTGGACATTTTGAAAAACTACTGGGCCACCTTATGGTATGGTGATTTAATCATTTGGAGCAAATGTCTTAAACGTTCATATGAATTATAAGTGTGAGGAATAATTGGCCTTACTAAGTTGTCTAGTTTACCATAATGGAAAGTCACCATTAATAAAAGGCGACATAAGGCTGATATACATTACTGGTTATTGTTGATTTATTGTTGCCTCGACTATCGGTTTTTAACTACGATTAAATAGCTATCTTCATATCTGTCCTCTTTTATACATGTTCACGAAAGGCCAAACCTGTACCAGGTATCGTTAAAAATCAAACACATCAGTAAAATCAGTAACTGTATGAATGAATTATGTACAGAATACATTTCTTGAAAGTTTATGAATAACCACTGAATGATTACACGTTGTACGTATAACCTGCTTCTTTTCTATGTACTCATTCTCACTATAAATTCAGAATTTAATTCCTACTTCTGTAATCTTCAAATATGGTGATTTCAACCTGGAGACTATGGTAGTTAGATGATCAGATGCACATTAATTTTGTAATAGTAGCAGTAGAGTATTCTTATTGGTAAAATATTGTTTTCTAAACATCATCCAGGTAAAAATAATGTATCTTATTGCGCTGTATCAAAAAACTTGTCTGATTTGCAAAAAGAGCAGTTTTTCGTGCAAATCGATCGAAGAAATAAAGAAAATTAATCTTTAGAGTCAATAATATATTTTGACTGAGAATGTCTGAGGAAGATGTTCTCAAATTACCAATATTTATTGCCTTTCTGAATAACTGATTATGACACTAATGTAAGCTCAGTTAAATTATATCTGTCTGCTACTAGTTTGATAAAGTAAGACTAAAAGTGAGAATATATTCGATATTTTACTGCTAATTATAGTTTTGCTTGCATCCATACCTATATAGTGCCTGATGCAAGCTGTGTTGGACTTATATCTTGGTGAGGAATAATCACATTACCATGCAGTTTCGAGAGAAAACCTAAACGAAGTTAGAACTCATGGGCCATTGGATTGGGTCCCAGTGGCTTAATGGTCAGTCTTCGAGCTCGCCTTGTAGGCAGAACGTCCTGGGTTCGAACCCCGGTGGGTGCGTACGGTGAATAGTCACAAACTAGGACGAAACAGCTGTCCAATACTCCCAGGTTTTCCAATGCTTCTCTAACTGATGTCAGCTCATGATGAAATCCAACCAATCGAACAAAATCCCTATAAAATCAATACTTGAAAAAGGCAACCTATAATTCTTCTTAGTGCTAACACTTCCAACACACCAACACATAGTATTCTTCTCAATTATTTTAGATTATTCCATCTTTTGGCAGTATAGCTGACGTCGGCTGACATTGAGTGGAACAACGGATAGTACTTTTATTACTTTGTTAAAACAGAGTGAACCTACTGCTTATTAACGTGTAAGTTGTTGAACTTTCCGCACTACCCATCAGTGAATAATTGATTAAAAAAACAGATAAAACCTACTAGGTAGATTGAATTGTCGTACATCTGTCCCGTTATTCAACAAAGCATTAATGACAACATTTTGTGCTGCTTTGTATGAAACTGAAATTATTGCTGATTTTCCCTTTTCAACTGGATTTGGTAAAACTTGACAGCCAAAATTTTCAATTTTTGAACGTGCTTTTATTAGCGTCGTAATAACCTTTTGATCGATTGGATTTGTAAGTAAAGCTGTAACAGCAAAATCTCCCTGAGTTTTGTAAACATGATTGTAGACATTACCGTCGAGAAAATCGTCTGTTATAAATGGGCTACCATCACCCCAGTCTAAACTTATTTTAGTCAACACTGCAGGATTACCGGATTGTCTTACGAGAGTTAGATTGATCAAATTGTTAACGATACTGAATTCACTACTTGTCGTAGCTGAATAAATGCCAATCTTATCAATTACATAGACGTTTACGCTTCTGTTCTCTGTTTTACCTCCTGAAGATGCTGAAAATCTTACAGTGTATGTGCTGACATTTAGGTACTGTTTAGTTAACTGATTGTCGGTTGGCCAGTTCTGAAGCAGTGGTGCAGACTGCTGAATGATTTCTCCATCTCCATAATCAACAGTTAGTAAAATCGATGTGCCTTGTCTGAAGGAAACACGAAAAATCGTGTTTTCTAACGGACTGACATAGCTGAAAAAGAAAGAGAAAAAAGTATTTATCGATGGCATTGTTTGTCTGATTAGATTATGCAGAATATTCTAATCAGTTAAAACAACTTAAGTCTGGAATCAGTAATTTGTCCTTATATAGTAAAAGATGTTTCGAGTAGAACTCCAATGGGAAGCTGCAAGTTGTTCGTTTGAGGATAATTTGCACAAAACCACACGAAGAGGAAATAACACTTAGTGAGCAGCCGTGAAACAATTTGAAAGTGATGACAGAGAACAATGTCCAATGGAAATGTGTTCTGAAACCTTGTTTTCCCCTCGAAACGCAAGGAAATAATAGCTAATAACAATAATTCTGAAAAATGACGTAACTGGTTTTTGCATAACAGTTGTGTATCAAAACCCTACTTTCCAGTGGAACTGCCTCGAGGATACCCTTATAACTGAGTTTTACCGTCAGTCAAAAAATTTTAGAGTTAGGTGGATAATGATGACCTAGCAAGAGTAAGAATAAAAATGTCCTTAGATATAGTAAAAAAAACTAGCAGTTTTGAATGTTGTCAGATGGTTCTTCTTAAAAAGCTATCTTTACCATTCTGTGGGAAATACATTTCACGCGGTTAGCATGAGGATCATACTGTGTAGGAGATAATTAGTCCACTGATACTTCGGCGACATTATACGAATTCTAGCCACCTCAGTGTCTATTAAACAGTTAACTTCTCATAGAGTAAAAGACATTGACTTTACATATTGTCACGTCTGTAAATGTATTTTGGAACATCCCCCAACCTGGGTAGCCAAAGGGGAGGGGAGAATGTTACTATTTTTATCCTCCAACACCTTAACAAATCTGGCCATTAGGCACCTCAGTATGAATACATCACAGTGATATACAGAGTCCTCTGATATTGAATCAGGAAACATGAGACTACCGGCAAATAGCTACATTACACCCCACCTCTGTATCTAGAAACGAAACATTTACTCGCTTATCTTACCATGGCTAGTCTAATTTCTCCCACCATAATTTCGTTTGCATCTTTATCTTTGTTTTACTTCTTTTCACTGGCAACTCTTCAAGTAGGTCTCCTTTAACTAATGTACTGTCTTTTTCACTTCTGCGTCTGGCATCAAGATAGGTACCAGATGGCGGTACTGCTATGTCAAGCAGAGAGGCTGAAGCTAGAGTTTATGGGCTGTAATTACCTTCCCAGTGCCTGATTGGTAATGTCATCGTCTCATAACGTAAATGTCTAAGTGGATTCATAGATGCTTACTGCTGCAAAGTTTCAAGCTAAAACGAAATATTTTTCCAAAATTCCCTGGTTTTCAATGGCCCTCTGAATGATTTCGGTTGACAACAAAATCTCTACAAACTAACACTTCCACTGACTAATTTTAAGCCAGAACAATAAATTGCTATTACATAGCTCTTAGTGTATATCCACGGGTACATAGGCCATACTTTAACTCTTATTTACAGAACGCGTTTCGCTTTTCTGTGTCATCTTATGAATAAAATAAATTAGGTGGCTTAAGAAATCAGTTCAGAGGGATGTCACAATGTCAGTTGAAATACGTTAAATCTAGATTTTAATAAAGTTACTGTCCCAAATGATTGTTTCGGTTAGTTCTCCTTAGAGGTTCATTCAAAGGTGAAACATTCAGCCTAGTCTACTTTGAACTAATGCGGACTTTTGCAGAAATCCACCGTGATCAGTAAGTTAGTTATTTTGCAGGTTATTTTTATGTTGATTTGTGATTCGAAGTAGTAAAAGCGATCTATAAAATCAAAGTTATATTCAGTTAACACGATGATGATGTGGATTTTAAGATATATCATACTTTTTTCTTATGTACAACAAGACATCTTGAGTACCTCCTTTAATTTCTCCTACACTTCTGTACCGTACTTACTTCATAGTTCTTTTGAATATTCTCCTCGCTTTTATATATTCTAAAAATTACTCTAAAAGACTTCATGCTGAATTAACAGGCACCTCACCCGCTTGATTATATCCATTCAAAGTATTAACGATTATTCATTGTTCAAAACAAAATTCTGAGTCCATCATCACAAAACTAAAACTTACTTTGGCTGGACTTGTAACGACATGCCTTGCAGTGGAGTATCAAATGATATTTGACCCTTGGTTGTATTTGGATTAAGTGGGTTGTTTACTGACAAGGTGTAATTTCCTAGCATTGACCATGGAATGTTTATTGGGTCAGATGTAATAGTTCTTTGAGTGTAGTCAATGTTTGAATTCAGTATCTGATCATTGAACGTCAAATTACTTGTTAAATTACTACCAGTTATGAAATCGAAAACAATTGGAGTAGTGACTGCGATTGGTAAACTTCTTGTCCGAAGTGTAAGTCCTTTTAGAAAGAAAAGGAATAAGCTTTGGCGTATTTTTCGCTTATGTAATTCGAAGCTGCATTGCAAACAAAGGCGAAGTGTACTGCTATTTTTTAAACTAATTTATGCTGTCACACTGGTTTTCCTGTAAGTTTACTTCCTATTTCAAAGATGCAGATTAGTAATGCAGATTACTAAGAAATCACTGGCTACTTAACAGTTTTATCTCACTCTAAGAATCGTTTTGATTTCCAATTGAGGTTTCAAGTGGTTATTTATTTGTCTGTGTTCTTAATATGGATTTTCTGCTGTTCGCTAGTTGTTTTCCCTTTGATGTGTTCCCTTCGTATACGATTCTAAAACATTAATATCTGTGATTTATCTGAAAATTTCCCTACTGTTCACAAAGACGTCACTACATTTCGTTTTAGTAATATTCCATATCCATAGTCGCTGGTTGCTCCACAACTTTTATAAAAACATACTTCAGTGATGCTTTCTGCTGTCATATACAAATGAACAGTTTCCATAAAATGTTGCATACTGGAACAATGAGCTGAATCTTACAATTCTTTAAATGACTGATCAAATTAACAGTTTTTCTAACATGAAATTTGAGGCTTTTGAAAGATACTCATTTCACAACTTTCAAAATCAGTGTATTAGCGTCAATACCAAATGATTGTGCAGCTGATAATGAGGGAGATAGAGTTTACATTTACCTCACTTTTAATTTATTTTAATTTTATTTAACCATAATTATGACATATGAAAAATTATGTATTGTCGCCATACCACAAAGTATTATATTAGGGCAACATTTCCTGTTAAAATGGTGCAAAAGAAGTTACACGACATATCTGAGAAATTCCTAGGATATGCATTATATATAAAACAACTAAAACCTAAGAACAGCTGAAAGGCCGTTTGGTCGCAGTTTAGAAGGACTAAAAAAGATGTGAGAGATGTACGGTGTCATTGTCATAAGTAGTACAGAAAGACAAACTATGAGTTAGTCGCCATTTAGATAGCTTAGAATAGCATTAAAAGACATGTATAGAATATTACGGTGACAATGAATGGATTTCACTCTAATCAAAATGGAATTGGGAAAACAAAAAATATTAGATGAATAACATAACAAAACCAATCTTGAGGTAATTCAGTTTCTCAGTAATTGAACAAACCCATACGTTTGTATCTGGAAATCACTGACATCTTTAATATCTCGTTATGTGGGATAATAAATCCGACCTACTGGTGATTTTTATTACATAGAGCAGCCATCAATTAACGCCCTTCAATATTAGTTAGTGATTGACCGATATCTATTCCTCTATTTCGGTATTGCTATCAAAACGATTAAAAGTCTACCGCCTTAAAGCATAAATCAATATACTTTCAAATAAAAATCTATACTCACCTGTCAAACGCTCCACCACGTTTTGTACCAAACTTCTACTAGCATTTTCTAAAGGAGTCACACAGGTAACATTCCATATCATTAAGCCGGTCGTGTTATATATATAATCTAACCGTGTAAGACTATCATTTTTAAACGGAACATTGTTTAGGGACCATAAGCAAGTGAACATACTTCCAGTGATATTCAATGTAATCGTGGTTATCTCATTCTTTGCGGCAAATTGACTACTTTGAATTTCATTAAATGCAAGCTGTTGTATTATGGTCACATTCTGTACAATCACCTTGAACTGAACAGAATTGGATATGTTGACTGTAACATTATAGTTCATAGGAGTTGTGTATACATATTTTAAATTGTTGACTGTAGTTGTCACTGCCGGTGTACCATCGCCCAAGTCCCAAAGATAAGTAACATTTATGCCTGAAAAGATAACAGAAAGGTTACAGAAAACAGCAGTAGTACACCTAGACAAAAAAGGCGAAAGAACACATTCCAGAAGACTTGAAGTCAAAAAGATATATATATATAAGCTTGATCAAACAATCCACGATAATTAGAATGTTTCCCGATCAAAATGGCATTCGTAAATCAAGCAAACCAAAGGAACAGGACAGTACATTCAGGTAGATGACATACCTATAAACTGTTTTATTTAACTTGTGAAAAATCTATTTTCCGCTTCTTTATCGTAACTAGGCCCACTATAATTGTATTTCGACTATTAAGTTATATTTTTTTAAAACTTCAAGCAAACAGATTTTTATTGATATAATGCTTTGATCGGACTCTAGTTGGTAACTAGTATCATGAGTCGAGTCCTTTTTTGGCACGGAGTGAATTCTATCAGTCAAGCTTGCAATGTTGCCACCATGTTAGGGGCCTCGCCATCATGATGCACTTCGAATAGTTGCCATTAGATGGTTGGAGGCAATTATCAGGAAGCCTTGAACTTATGTTTCGTGATTGTTCTACAGAAGGTCAATCTCGATTCCAAATAACTCAGTGGTAACGATTCTGACTTCAGTACTGGATGATGTGGATTCGAATTTCAGGAGGGAAGTGAGTTTCTTCAAGATTGCAGATACGCTCTGCTGACAAGTCCCAACAAGTACGAAACCTATGTCCAAGGCCCCTTACCTATTGCATCCAGCCATCCAATAACAGCTGATCTTATAAACCCATATATATATTCTGGGGGATTCCGTAAGTTGATATAACCAGCTTTATAAGAATTTTAGCGTTAAGTGATTTATGACTAAATGTTTACCGTTAAATTACAGTTTTCTTCAAAAATGTTTCGATCAAGACGGCAGGAAAATGGCTCAACTCGCACTTAAGTTTCTTATCAAAAGAACAAGACAAGTTGACTGACAAGTTATATTTTATGGGAAATTTTACTGACTTCCTAGAAGATTGACTAAGCACTACTTTGTTCACGAAGCACCATGAATCACCACGTGAAGATCATTCTTCAACTGTTTTAGGATTCTCTAGTGCTGCTAGTGCCTTCAAAGGTGGATGTTTTGGCTCGAATAGTTCGGAAGATTCAGCTGTTAAGTGACGACTTCTTTTGACACAGTTATTATAACTTTTGTTAGATGTCCGTTGTAATTGAGTTTCCTTTTTCTGCAGTGTATTCCAGTCTCTGTTCTGCATAATGAAATGATTGTGAACGTGTTATTTCATGAACGCTACTGGCCTTAAGCTAAGGAGGAGAAAAATGACATGTTCAGTTGATGGCAGTTCTAATTGAAATCCACAAATTTTCACGAGAAAATCTAGAATAGTTTATTACCTGAATGAGCTTTCAGTTCCAATAAACATTCTTTTCCTGTAGCACATAATTTTGTAATCAATTCGGTTTCATTAATGGGTTCATCAATGTAGACAGTAGTTTGAGTAGATGCTGGAAACATAAAGCTTTCACCCCAATAGCTGTTTAATTGGACTGATATTACCTTTAAACCACTTGAGGCATTTATCATTCCGCTCAGTGTTGCCTCATAAATTGGTCTGATCCATGCTCCGATCTACAATAAAGACACAGTTATTTGTGCATTATAATGTGGAATGGAAATTTTACACAAAAATGTGTTTTATTGATAGCAAGGATAAAATTTGGTCACTGTGGTAGAGTATAACTCCACTAAGAATACAGTTTTATTTTTATATAACGACAGTGTTATACAATAATATTTACTGATGCCATTTCGAGCACAATTTATTGCTCATAATCATATCAAGCTACTTACACAACTTTCTTGCTTCATTTTTATTTACTTATTTATATGCGTACCTTGATATGATTATGTGCAATATATTGTGCTCGGAGCGTCATCAATAAATATTACTGTATAACAATGTGTGACTTCATAAAAATAAAATTTTATCCATAATGGATAAATGTGGTTTCAAATAATGGTGCTGCTTATTGATGTATGCTTCTCACTTATTTGGAGAGAAATTTTGAATGACGTTACTTCGTTCAGATCCTACGGAAATTATTAACGAATACCCAGTTAGAACAGTAACCAAGTTCAGCTCTTCATAGCTTGGACTATTTTTCACCACCCGATATCAGTAGGCGGGGGAAATGAATGGTTTTCTAAAACATTTTGGTTCATAACGAATTAAATAACAATTTATCAGTTTATTTCACTGCAATTTCTTTTGATTTTTTTTATTATAGCTTGATTCCACACCGTATTTTTGGTACAAGTATGGAATTTTCAGCATATGATATCGGTAGCCCGATTTTGCAGGCCGACCATTGATACTAAAAGACAACTAACAATGATTTCCGGGAAATAGCCAAAGAAAAACTCTTAGTGAGAATTCTAAATATGAATAATATTTTCACTGTCTCTATTCCAAACATTCCCATGGAAAGCTGGGATAAACCCGATTGTTTTACTCCGATATGTCAAGAAAAACAGGGAAAACTACTACCTAAAAACACATTTTATGTTTTACCTACCTGATGCCTCATTAGTGTTAAACGTTTTAGATTACTTCCTAACACAGAACTCCCATTGACTCCAGAGAATATTGTTAAGCTTTCCAAGTCATCGGCTTCATATATATCAGAAGGTGTACATCCGATACTTCCATCTATGGTACTAGTAAATCCTATTCGATCACCTGATTGGACATTCCATACTGAAGGCAGTACAATACTTTGCCAGCCGACTGCTACTGATTTGGCTGTGTAAATCTGTGAAGAGAATATTTCAAAACCCAAAATATCATTTTAGATAATGTTAGCTAAGCCAATTATTTGATGAGTATAAACATGTATTCATCCACAATTATAGTTCACTGAAAAGTCTGATGAACAAAATACAGTGTGTCAACAATTAATGTTACTATGTGGACGGAAAATTTTATTCTGTCTACGCATATTCTGCTAAATGAAATACTAGATACTTTCTTTGAGAGAAATAGCAGTTAGGGTTAATATTAGTATAAAACTTGGGCACTGTGGTAGAGTATAACTGCATTATAGATAAGATTTTATTTTGATAAAGCCTCATAGTAATACAGTAATATTAAATGATAACGTTTCGAGCAGTTAGGGTTAACAGGAAAGGGCAAAACTTCACAAATAAATCCATACTAGATAAGCTTATTCGATTTAACATAGTGATACGTCTCGGGAACAGTTTATTGCTCAAATTCTAAAAACAGATTAGTCGTATTTCATACATAAATTTTAATACTTCATTACATACGAAGTCTATTAGAAATAAAGGGAAAGACCAGCTCAACAGTGAGACCATTTACCTCACAATCAAGTAATCAGATGCATTCTGTAATGCGGAGAATATTTCCCATCATCATTTTTAGCTATTTTTTACATGTGAAGATGTGATTCAAAGTGTTCAATGGAAAGCTACTGTTTTCTTCACAAGAGAAAACCCGTCTCGGATAATGGTCTCAAGATGAAGACTTGTAAGCTCTTAGTCAGATAAATAAAATAGCTGAATTACGACCAAAAAAACTATAAAATCAAGGTGTCGAATGTTGAATCAAAAAGCAAATGGGAAGAACTATGGTGGTTCCTCTGATATAGTGACATGTTACTATGTTGAACTGATCATCCTGTTTATCTCGATGTTCATTTTGCACTGGCATAGTAAACTAAATGTGCACACTTACGGCCTCATTTCATACTAACTATACATGGAAAAAGCTTAAAGTGGTCTTCAGCAGTGTCAGTCCACTGAGTTTGATTTATATGAAAACTTAGGATCTATTCTTCCATTACAAGTAGACCTCAGCAACTTATGTCCTTATAAATACCATGTGCATATATGTCGTACTTATTTAAAAGAATCTGAGTTTCATTCTATCGAGTCGTATACCACTAGATTGATAGTTGTGTTGTGATTTCCTACTGAGTAGATAGATTTATATACGTCTTACTTATCAGAATGCTGGTTTATCCATTACTTGAATAATATTCTGCAAATATTTAGTGTAGTCAGGCCCTTTTCCGCTACATACTGATTCATTGAGAAAGTGAAGCTTGAAAAGTATACTTATTCTGAAGCTTTTTTGATAGGTCTTTCAGGTTGAGTCATTTATCACACTAAAAGGATGGAGTCAAAATTTCGGCAGTTTTCTTGATTATATCTCAAGATATTCTAAAATCTGAAACACTGCTACTGATTTGTAGCTCCTTAGTTTGACCATGTCAATCACAGAAACTAATTAGGTGAAGTCGGTAAACAAATAAATACCTTCAACTCAATGTTTCTGAGTTCTTAAGAAACGACTTGAGAAGATGATACATTCATAATTATTAACAGTAATCAAGGGGCAGTTTGTTGGCAACAGTTGTGGTTTGCATAAATATGCATAAACTTCACCATTCTAGTTAGTGCACCATGTTATCTGTCTATAGCTGATTTATTTTTCACTTAATAAACCTATTAATCGCATTATGTGTGCTCTTACATATTCAAGCTAAAGAGCTCCATTTTTCCAGATGAAAGGCAGTTAGGATTTTATACACTGCAGTCAGGAATAAATAAAAACAATCGTGGAAAAAAAACCAACACGTCATCCTATACAATCTGAATTAACAGAAAATAAAGGTTTCATATTTTAAGGACTTCGAAATTAAAAGTGATGGGAAAGATTTGCGGCTCATTTTGATCCTTTTTTATTGTTGTGTTTTCTGATATCCATGCTTTAATCCCTAACCTTTCATGGTCCTCTTAGATAATGTCTTCAGCTCCAACTTCACAGTGAAGTGAGCTTTAGGAATGTTTTATGGATGAAACAACTCTAGCAGCATCTTCATGGGCTATCTCGAACAGACGCGACTGAGTGACGCTATCAATGAAACAACATACTACCGTCGATACGTCGATGATACTTTTGTTGTTTGTAACGACATGAGTCAGGCATCCGTATTATTTGACCGCCTAAATGAGGTCCACCCAAACATTAAATTCACCATGGAATACGAACACAACGATGAGTTCAATTTCCTAGACCTAAATGTAAAAAGAAGAGACGATGGAACGGTCGAAAAGTCCATCTACAGAAAAGAAACTTGGACCGGACAATACCTTCACTACAATAGCTTCTGCCCTATGAGCTATAAGTGGGGATTAGTATGGACACTGTAGGACAGGGCTAGGAAGTTATGTTCTCCCAACAAGATAGAAGAAGAATTAAGCTTTGTTGAAAAATGCCTTAAGGAAAACGGGTATTTAAAAGTATTTGTCCTAAAGTACAGCAAAGAAAGAGATGAGAAAGAGAAGTATCCAACAGTTGAAAAGAAGAAAGTGTTCATTTGCCTCCCATACAAAGGAGAAACAGTATCGCAAAAGATTGAAAAGAGGATGAAAGGAGCAATAAATAGATGCTTCCCTGCAGCCAATCTGGTGACACTATACAGTACTACAAGCTCTATAAGCCAATCGAAACTGCATAAGTACCCTGCTGATGTCACCTCCAAATGCATTTATAAATTTACGTGCACCTTCGGCAGCAAGTACATCGGAAGGACAGAAAGAAGGGCTTCTATCCGGTTTTCAGAGCACATTCCGAGAAACTTATGCTTAAAAGGAAGCAAATATTTACAAAGTGCAATTACCAGACACCTTGTGGATACGGGCCATTTTGTCAAGATTTCCAAATCCTTCAAAATATTAAACATACAAAGGACAGCGAATCTACTACGATTTGCTGAAGCAATTGCAATCAAACGTCTCAGACCAAACTTATGCACACAGAAAGAGAGTGTAGTCAATCTCTTACTGCCTTGGTAACCATATCACTTTCATTACACTGATTACTCATAGACACTAGTGAGGTCAACTCACTAAGCAAGTTTTCAAATTGATGAACTTTGACCTTGTTGAGTTGCCATGTTGACACTGTTTATTAGATTTTTCTGTTTTCTGTCTTCTCTCACCCCCCTTTTTCTTCTTTTTTCATAGTTTGATAGTATATAAATTGATGGTAACTTAAACTATAAAAATTTAATTCCTTATATTCCGGATGCGTTTATCTTATAATGCTTTCTCTATTACCTTTCAAACAATGAAGTATGAAATGTTATTATTTATAACCATTGTAATTTCAGGTAGTTTGCAGCTGATGAGAACCTGTGAAATAGAATGATATCATTTTATACTGCAAATCTCGTCTTTCTTTCTCTATCGAAATTTATCAAGGGAACCAAATGTATGAAACTCTTTCTCTCTCTCTCTCTCCTGGTGACTCTAACTGTGACTCACTGTCTCCAGAGATTTTATAAACATTTTGTTCACATGCATTGGTGTTCTTTATTTTGTCAACTTGATATCTGGTCATGTGACCTATTCTTTAATGCCCAATAAAACTGATTCACACCATCATGTCTATTAAATGCATATTTATCAGAGTACTAAGCTTCTAAGAATTCTCTGTCACATCTTAGTATTTAATCTGTTTAAGATCCACATATTTCTCCAGATGAATTGATGTCCGTCGTCTACATGTGTTGGTATGAGGAGGAAAGATCATGTTCCTTGATTGTTAGTTTGTGTTCATGGAATCCAGGATGAAGGAGACATCCAACTTGAACAATAATAATAATACCTAATATATATTGTTGGTTTTATTTTCTTTTACCGTTGAATGTTACTGTCATTATATAATGGACTGAAGAGACTTTGGTGGTTCAAGGGAGACATTCATTTCAAAGAACTCCCCTATTTTTCTGGAGAATTCAGAAGTGTTCCATGTCAGGTCAATTTGCTTTGTGTTTTCAGGAGGTGACCTATATTCATAGGTTGATCTGTGGGTAGACAACTTTTTATGAAGTTACATGAATATCTTTTTTTCTAGAAGGCCTTCAGAATATGTTCGTCTTCTATTTCCTTCAGGATATGAGTCTCACAGTGTTTCTTGACCATTTTGAATGAGGCATATACACAGTTTCTTTTGAGTGGCGTTGGAATTTCGCCATTTTAATTGAGTACTTGACCACTGCGTTGATTCTTGTATTTTTAATTTTCGTTGTCTGACTTCTATTCTCTTGTAAATTTATCAATGGCAAAGTAGTTGATTAGGCTGTAAGCCATTTATGAATCCATTTTTCTAATTATGACTTATGTGTCATTCAGGTAACATATCCATGTCTTAGGTTTGATTATTGATAAAACTATGATTTGCACTCTTTGCATAATAGTTTTAGCGATTAGTCTTCATATGGGTGATCAAATATGTGTCCTTCATATATTTGACCCCTTAACTGGAAATCAGTTGCGAAACAGAAAACTATAATCTCCATGCAGCTTGAAAATATTTTTGAGTGTTCGGAGAGGTCCCTATTATTGGTAAGTTGTCTTTGCATGGCTTCTGTTGTGAAATCAAAAGATGATTTCGTTATCGTCTGTCTAAATATCCTTAACATACGCCAGAAACTGACTTGGCAACTTGATAGAATAATTTTTAACATCCTTACAGGTATTTTAATTTCCCATGGAGTTCCATGTGTCGAGGTTCATGAAAGTGAAACGATTGATTGTACATGGATAATTGGCTTGTATAGATTATGCCCACCACAAAGTTGTTGTAGAAATGGTCCATTAGATTGCACTGGCTACTGATCTTGATTTGTGATTTGTCCTAGTTTGATAAGTTTATTTAAGCTTATTTCGATTCTATGTGTCCAGTGTTTGCGTGAGATATGTTATAAGCATTTGTGTACATCATACTTTTTTGATGCTGACTTTTTTCTCCATAACTACCGTCTATCTTTCCTTTTTAACCAGTAGTATAACTAGGTTCTTTCTATTCTTCATTCATTTTAAGGTGTTTGTTCTTGAGTAGCGAATTAAATATTGCTCTTTTTCTGCCTGATAATTGATAGGACAGTTTGGCGAATTTCTCGTAGGGTTCCTGCATTTCACCTTCACCTCAGTGTATATTCAGCATTCAGTTTTCTGTCTAGAACAATGACAGCTTTGCAATTAGGGATTCTAGTTTGGCAAGCATACCAACATTAAAAATATTAAAAGTGGATTTCACCATCTGCCAGGAATTTTAATATGGCAAGAAAATACTAAAGTCTTAAAGATGCCACTATTTACGATTTTAGAGGATTTACCATCATGACTTCAAGTATGAGTCTTTATTTTCAAGTATTGTTTTTGTAGGGATTTTGTTCGATTGGTTGGAGGATTTCATTGTGAGCTGGCATCAGTTAGAGAACCATTGGAAAACCTACAGGGAGTACTGGACAACTGTTTCATCCTAGTTTGGGACTCTTTATATTCAGCTTATCACTTGACACTCATCATAACTGTGAAGAGAGATATTACATGTGTACACTTCGTCATATCTAAATACCTAGGAATTATTTGTCATTCCAGAAAATCGTCTTTAAACACAGCACCAGTTAATCCTAAAAGCTCACAATTATCTACTACCAACTGCCCAATAAGAAATTTAGCGCACTAGGATGTTGAGTTATTCGGATCTGAGGTTTTACTGAATCTTCAAGTGATAACTCAGGACTAAAGTTATAACGTCAGTTACCGCCACTCGACTGATTTATATCCTGACACAGCTTTCAGAGGTAGCAGTATTTCAGTTTATTTTCTCAATTTATCAGTACCTGTAGGAGTAGTTCGCCGGTAAAATGGACTTCTAATTTCGTGAATACTGAACAGAGCGATGACTAAGAATCAGGTACTTTTCTAATACGCTATATACTAAGGAACATTTTTTAAGCGAATTACAAATAGTTATTTAGATAAAAATTTTAGTTAAAACTTTAAATTACTAATATTACTAACCAGTGAATCATTTAGCTAAAATTGAATAAGCTCACTGTAATTATTGTACTCATTAACACTAATCATCTTGTCAACAATATTCCGTATCATTATTTACAAAAAACTTACATTCACTATTTGATAATCATAGTTTTCAACTGTTTGAGGTGTATCCAATTTCAGATTTCGTAAACTACCGCAATCTGTTGCTGATACCTTGACACAATCTCGAACTAAACCAGAGAAAACCTGATCAGCATCACATACGACACTGGCAGTACTAGTCAATGAACACGTGTTTAGTTCAAAATTATAAATACCAGTTGTACATTGAACACGTAAAAGCTGAAAATACCAAAAGACAAATTTGTTCAGGTTGTATTTGTTTTCAGAATGTAATCTTCATCACCTTTAAAAGCGATTTTGAAGCAAATTTGAAATTATCCAAAGCAGAACCGATTTTTGTTTTTTAACTGAAGTCTTACTAATCCTAAATGTATTTTTATCATGAGTTGCTTGAAAAGAAACAAATCTTTTCGTCTGCATTGTATGTGAAAATGCGGGAATATTTTTTTGGTAGTTGCCATTAGTTGACTTCAACATTGTCATAACACTTCTATGAAAGGCTTATTATCAAAGTGATATAAAATCTATTCTGAATAATCTATTATTTCTAGAGTTGTTATATTTTCATTTTGTTTTACTTTAAAAATGGTGGGTACCTGATCTGAAAAAACTGAACAATCACTTGTCTCTACTCAAAATAACATACCACTTCCTGCTAAGCTTATCGGTTCAGAAGTAAATTGCAAAGCTTTCCTTGGATCACAATTGCAGACTTACCATAAATATAAAGCTTGGAATCAAGAGTCATTTGTGAGACATTTCACAATCATATGGAGTTTAATAATTCAGTGAAGTCACCAGGTGTCGACGTTTATAACTTCTTTATAGTGAAAATAAATTGGAATGTTTTCCGGCTAGGTTCTGTTTCTACTAGTAGTTCAGAAACCTCATTAAAAGTCTGTTTAAGGTATGTACGTGTCATATACTATAGTAATCTGACAGTCAACCAATAAAGATAAAAGTAAATATTAAATCTGACTGATGGTAACTAGCAGAGGAATCCAGGATTCGTACTTCATCCTGTTCGGGACTCCTCATCGTCCGGATATACCTGCATTCTGAGTGACCGGTGGTGTATCACTGAAATTCGCCAAATTTATATGATGACAAACAGTACTCCGCGAGCAAGGCTGTAAGAGATGACCAAATAAGTTTGTTTTATAACGAACACATTTTCATGTTATAAATACCCGAAATGCTGTGCGAACTGACTAGAATTTATCTTTTCAATGGTATAAACTAATGGATAGAATGTTAGTGGAACTTTCTTTTGAGCCAAAATGAACTTTTTTTAAGGTGAAAGCTCTCCCTGATAGTCTGATTTCTGCCTAGATTCCCAAGTTTTGGGCTCCAACCATTAATCATTGTAACGAAAGAACTTTTTCTAATGAAAAGTAATCTCTGAGTGTTCAGTTTTATTTATTGAAAAAATTAGGTGCGTGTATTTTTTCTAAATAAGGCGTCATTTAATTTATTTTCACCTTTGTGCAAATTTATTATATATATAATGGAGAAAAGCATCCCAAAAAATTGTGTTCATACATGATTAATAAATATATCCAATACAATCAAAGCTAGTGTAGTATGCGGTATAGTTTGTCACCCAGTAGAGTCACTATGCTTAGTCCTTGTAACGGTAGCAAAGAAATTGGTAGAATGTTATTCCCAAGAAATTCCCTCGCTAACACAGGCCACCGACTCTAGGGTATCTACATATATGTTGATTACTAACCTGTTTGTGATGATGATATAAGATGTAAAGAAAATGAAGAACACATAGTTTTGTTATCAGTGCATTTTTAAAGAGTGCTTACATATAATAGTAAGTCTCCCTTTACTTCAAAAATTACAGAAATTAAAAGATAATTATGTGTGTATGTTCATTCTAAACAGCCTAAGCCATTCCATAAATCACAAACTTTTCACTGACACTGTTAATACACCGTATAATTATCTTGAGAAGATAGTGACATGCACACCTATCACGTGATGATGACCAGAGTTACTTCTCCAATGGGATTTAATGAATATGCTGAAAAGTACACTTAAACAGATAAACTATTCATTGTCATATATAAGAATCATTGAGATGATATCATAACTTCTTATACCAACCACTTAACGTTCACATAGTCCTCTTTAGGACACATTAATTGCTTATAGTTTAATATTTTTACTTCATAACTCAAATCCTGGCAGGCGAATGCTTTATAACTCTGAATTTGACTGGCGTTAGTCTGCAATAGCATTATTTCTCGAGTTGACAAAAGTTCACATGCCATTAAACCCCATTTAAACAGATGAATGGTAACGTGTTCGTCTAATAACTTAATGACTCGGTCTTGGATGCATATTGCTAATAAGTTCTAAACTCATGAGAAACAGCTTCACAGTATTCCCTTGTCTTTAAACGTTCTCTAAATTATTTCGGTTCATGGAGAAATCTATCTAAAAATGAGTACATACACGGAGTTCTCTACATAGCTGCATGGCTTTTTGAACTAATTAAATACTCAACCGAATTGATTCTACAACATACAGAACACTTTTTATTCTGATGAGCCCTCCGTTTAAAATTCCTGCGAATAAAACCAGTAGTCAAAAACTGCTGCTCTTTTAATGTGAGCTGTTACGACGGATAAGGACAATGACGTGCCTACAAGTCCTTTGCTATCTGGTAATGATTACTTGCAGTAAAAACTGCAGTGTACATCTTGACTTCTCCCACTGATCTTGTCTACATCTCATTAAGTATTTTTATCCCATATATAGCTAACCTGTGTCATAATAGTCAGTGTTGTTTATCATAAGCACAGCGCTTTTTTGTGAATCTGTACTTTTACTTACATAGAAGGTGACATCACTAGAAATTCGTGCGTTTATTTGGATTGTACTGATTGTCCCACTATACCGAGCTTGGCTTCCAGTTATGATTAGTTTGTTTGTGTTATAGTTAATAAATATATCATTACTGCGTCTTGGTGGCATACCTATCCAGTCATAAGGACCTTCTATAAAATTAAAAAACAATAAAAATATCTTATATTCATCAAATATAATCACTTATAAAAATTAAATAAGGACAATTAACAGTAAATAAATCTCTGTTTATGTTCTCAACCCATTTTCCATAATTTTACCACATTTTTAAGAATCGGCTGTTAGTTATATAATCTGATAAATTAGATAAATTGGCTGTTTATTTTCATTTTTAGATAGTTCCATATAGGCTCATACGTGGATCACGAGATCACTGTCGGTTTACACCACTTTTGAGTCCACATGTGAATAATGCTAAAGTGAATATTATGTGGGTTACGGATTATTTTAAATTAGAAACGCTCAAGAAAACTAAGTCCTGAGCCTCCAACTGGTAACTTTTAATTGATCTCCAAGGAGTAATACTTATGAAATCAAGAAGTTACTGACATCATCTTTGCAGAACTATGAAGTTGAAATGCCTATCTGGAAGCTATGTCCATAAACTTTAGGATTCTCTTACCTTATACAAGACCTGAGGGCATATTGTTCAAATTTGTTAGCTACATGCACATAGATTACCAGTGGTCTCACAGAGTCTAAACTATGCACAATCTTTATTTTTCGTATTCTCCTCAAACTCTAAATTGTATCAAACAAGGAATGAAACATATTCATGAAGTTGACTGAAACAGTGCTTTATCTACCACTGTTACTTTGTAAGTTTTCATGTCGTTTACCTCCTACAATATAACATCTATCAAGTAAAGTGTGATGATGAGTCTCTTAAACTGTCAAACACATTTCAAATATGACCAGTTAAACTCAGTGTGCGCTTAGGAGTAAATTATACTAAACTAATGAGTCTTCAGCATCTAATAGATACTTTTACCCCCAGCCTTTGAAACTTTTTGATAATTACACCATTCAATAAAGGAATGGGATTAGTTTTGGGGAAAACCATTTGAATCACTATAATGCGATTATCTCAATGACAGGTTTAAAACAGAAGTTTTGTGTATGCACATATTTCAGAAAGAAAGAGTGAAGTGATGAAGAGTTCTAATTAAGGTCTTTAAATGTCAGGCATCATTCTTATCTTAACCTTATGATAGTCTCCACCTCTGATTCTGGTTATTTGTAATTCCATTCCGAAATGACTTGTTATAAAGGGCTAATTTTGTTTTAGGCTTGCATATCTTGATAGTGTTATATTGCATTTAGACTATAATGCAATAATGCAAGGTTCAGGAACAAAACAATTCAGTCATTACTTGCTGTTTGACTTTCCATGTCCCTTCGATTAATATCTACTGGTCGTTAAAAAATTATCCACCAGGCTTGAGTTAACTTCATAAGGTTATATTAAATAATGATATTAATAGCTGCAGAATAGTTGTTTTCCGGATTAGTTGAGGACAAGCATCAGAGAATGGTAAATAACCCACATGAATTTGCGTCATACATACCGGTTTTGATATCCAACCCTGAGAGTTCACCTCCATGAACTGAAACATCATTTTGATCATTTTAGATGGGGAAAACCATAATTTAATCACATTACAAGAAATGAGCACTCAGATGTTATCACAAAGAAAGCTGTTTTAGCATAGCGAAAACTAATGACGTTAGTTTTGTTGTTCATGATATCATTACCTATAACATGAATATTGTTATTTGCATTTTATATATGTTGACAAAATATATGGGAAATTTTTTAAAAATAATAATGCAGCTGTTCTGTTTTGTAAAAACAATAGAATTTCCTATGAATATACTCAAATGAGTGGATTGACTGAGCAATAATAACAGTAACAATAATGGCCAAAATCCATTACCAGTGGAAACAATTTTATTCGGTAAATAGGTCATTTACCCCAACAACACAGTAACTGTAGCAACTTGTTTTTCCTGGACTCAGTTTCAAATAAGGAGAATTAGAATACAAGTAAGAATGCAAAACATGAGCCTATTGAAAATGTTTATTTGCTTTCTTTAAACATTATTATGTTAAAGTGAGAATAATTTGAATAAGGAACTCCAAAAATGGATAAAGCGTTTGCCCAATACTGTGGGGCTCCAGGAGCCATTAATGTATTCGAGATAATAAGTAAAACTGCTTTCAAGGTGGTCTGAATGCAACAGTCCATCTCTTCATCTAAAAAAGAATCAAGTTTCGTTTCTGATATAAACGGTAATTATTCTTCTAGACAGATAATTTGCTGAAGAAGTAATCAGCATTTGATGTTATCTATAAGAATACATTCGTGTTTTATTCTTTCTGTGTTTATCTGGTGTCACTTTTACGAGAAAGTGCATGTGTTAATTGTTAGAAAAAACTAATTCTTGTTCTTACTATTGTCAGAAATAAGTTACAAGCATTTATTCAATTTCACCTAGTCGATGACTTAATGGAGTTGAAAATATCCAACAAACGGCTTAACAGAATGTATTTTGGGGTGATAAATCTCTACCTAATTTGGAATTATAAATAGTGAGTGATTCAGTCAAAATGTGACGATATTTAGTATCCATTGTACATATGATGACTAACATAAATCAGTAGATATGATGGGGAAAATTTGTAGCGCAGGTGGATGATTTTTGGTGTATTTGTGTTCTTTGAGCTGATTAAGCCGATAGATTAATAGTTAATGTGGTATACAAAGCGAAAGGTTCCTGGGACACATCTCCTCGGATACTTGAACACGCATGCAAGGTTCAAAATGAAAAGGAATTCCATTTGAGACTGTGTTATCAGTCAAGACAAAATGTCAACCAGCTTGAAATATCTCTCCTTAGCTGTGTCGTTTTCTGTTTTGCCTGCTTGGTGAAAATATTTACAGTCTAAGAGGTAATAGGTCATTCTACGACGTGTTAATACCGAGGATCTCAGAAAAGTTTGTATAAAAATGTTTTCGTTTAAAATAGTTTCGGTTGGCAAACATTTTTTAAGCTTGAGTTATAGTTTGTCTTTTAAATGTTGCGATATGCAAAGTAAATATTTGGAGAAATTTCTATACCAAATTGTTTTACCTGGTAAAGCGAATGAATCTTGCCATTCATCGGTGAAATTTACGGTACCTTGTAAATGACTTCCTTTACTGACAGTCAGTTGACACATGAAAAGCTGTCCTCTGACAACCATTGCAGGGCACGAAAAGATAAGATTCTCTGAAGTTACTACCTCATAAATCATAAGTTCTAAACTCGCTGAGCCAGTCTAAAATTTGAAAGATTTAATAAAAGAAAAATATTCTAGTAAGTAGACTTTATTTAGCATATCAAAGAAGTGGTGTTGGTAGGGACACCTAACCTAATGATGAAACATTTAAGATCAAATACCAAAGATTATAGAAAACAAAACAGTCACTATAGTTATTCTGTTATTCATCTCGCATCCTTCATAAAAACCACCACAGAATAAACTGATTATCCAGAATCTTCAAAATACCTTTTCGGTAACTTTTGCGTTTTCGTAAATTTGGATAAGGCATTAATTTCATAGTACGTTGGAAAGCACTACTGAAAAATTTTTTATAACGTATGCTGATGCTATGAATAAAACTAAGCCAGGTAATTCATATACATATATATATATATATATTCTGCCTCTCGTGATCGATTGATACAATACGGTTATTCAATCGGACAATATGCGACCCAAACGGTTGGTTGAAAGTGGTGTTGTAACAATAAAAGACAAGACACAGAAGCCAAGGTATATTTTCGAGTGATCAAACTGCTATCCATGTAGATACAGTTTTATATTCGCTAACCAATCATTGAGCGTGTGATTTTGGCTTACAATAAACGACATGAAATAAAATGTTCATATACATAGTATTCTGTTGCTAATGCTCTATTGAACCGTAGGAATATATGAGAATAATATTCCGTTAGAACACATTGTCTGTATCATACTACCACAGAGCTATTTACGTGCTGAACTTTAATAGTTTCCTGCTATCCTGATCCGCTTAGGCACCATCCAGTTCTTGCAAGTGACTTACTTTGACATTCCTAGGCTATAAAACTGTGATCAATCACTTAGGTTGGAAGAGATGCCACTACCATCTGGTTGTACGATTTTCTAATCTGAAAGAAGTTGAATCTAGACAAAAATGGAGATAAATACAAACTGCTGAGAATCGTTAGATGTACAGCATTTTCTGTAATATTCAGTGATCCTGTGACCAACAGTAAGGCATCATGGAAACTGCCCTAAAAGAAAGAAGTTAACCTTTACGAGACTGTCTTTTATAGCCAGATCCTCCTCCTGAAAAGTACCTTGTTCACTCCTTTGGTACACACGTACTTATAATTGTAAACTCTGTCTAGCCGCACACTAAAAATTAATTCGATATATGTGCATAAACGAAAGACCTGTTCCATAAGTAACGCATGGGAGGAATAATAATATAATAAGCAGTACTGTTATTTCATTTCTGTAGTATTTATTTTCCTTGGAAGTAAATAATACACATATTATGTGTTAACTGACTTTACCCGAATACAAATATTGAGTTCAAAATAGCCTTTTGCCTAAATGGTAAAAGACAGTACCGGTTCCAGAAGAAGAAATGAATTGTACTACTTAACTTACGACAACAATAGAACTGTCATTAGTTAAAAAATGAACGTAAGTATGCAAAATTACGGACTGATAAATGTGGAAAATAAACTAAAATTTTATTAATCAGGGGTAATGTGTTTACACTTACAACAGTTGAATCTTGATTTCGCGCCTTCAGGGTAGGCCATACTGCTCCTGGTGAATGATAGACCACCTCTAATGGTGCGTTAATATCTGATATATTCTCTAGTATTTTAACTGTATCTCCATAGTAGAATTCATAAATTTTAGGTCCGGGTAAATTTAGAAATTCCGTCGGTATCACAAAATTCAGTGCAATTTTGTTCCCAGCTTGATTCACTGTCTGATTTTGTGTTGTAATCTATGAGTAAAAGGTTTGGCGGTTATTAAAATGAAGATTATTATTTACTAATAATGAAATGATGGCACCTTGCAACGAAGACGTTAACTACCTTTTTACATTCTATGTCGGTGAAGAGTCAAAGTAGTCAAGTAATTTAAGTTGAGTAATTCATTAAGGGGAATAAATATATGTAATTTAAGTTGGTTGTATAGAAATAAGCATTCTTTAGTACTTTCAGCCTTATTTGGAAAAAGTAAACATTGAAGTTTCACTGATCGGTCATTTTAAAATCAGTATAAGCTCACGTTGGTGCATGTCTATGATGGTTGCAGCCTCAGACTACTGAATTAGTCATATTATGTTCAAATTATTGCATTGTTGCATTCAACTAGTTGAAATGTTGGGCTAATTTGTTCCTGTAACCACTGACATATATATACCCCCTAAAGTATCGAAAATCAGTGGTAAAACAGCTTAAAGCCTAGTATTGTAGTAAAAATACATATCAACCCACTAGCAATTCACACTGGAATTAGTTCGAGACAATATCGAGCTATGATTTGCTTTAGAAGTTAAAACTATTCAAATCCTTTAGGGGGGGTTGTGATAAGGCAGTTCAGTGTTTACTACTTACTGATATGAGTTGTCTCAAAACAACTCATAATAGACAATAACACTCGCTAATTAGATCGAACAGTAATTTTTCACTAATTGTTTATCCAGAAATCATAAGTTGAAACTATCAAATAATTCAGACCACTCCAGTGATTTTAAGTTAGTGATATCAGTCACTAGTGCAGCTGTCGTTATCAATTTTCAAATTCTGAACATTCTATTGGTTTTCATTTGTTAGTTTTGTTTTAGTAAATTTTCTATCATTTCTGAGTTTCTTTCTGCTTTTTTTGCAAAGTCTATAAAGCTGGCCAGAACTTGGGTGGTTGGCTGAGCCAATCCGAGTACACCGTTTATGAGCTTGTTCCCAAACGAGTGAAACAGCCACCTGGTGTTGACGCCACTTTGGTTTGACGTGAGTGGTGTCCAGCTACGCATAACAACCAAAAGTGCATACTACATATCAATGTGAGTGAATGAACTTCCCTCAGCACTCTTCGTTCCTCTGTTCATGTCTGCCTATTATCCATGATTTAATACCTAATTGTAATTGCAGTGGTTCATTATTGACAGAGTGGTGCCGCATATCCCAAAATATTTCTTACCCTATCCATTTTCTTTTCATTCCTTGCGTTCCGAGTAAATATAGGGTTTTAAGCCTTGGAATTCCAGTAGAGGTGGTGTTGTCTTTACAAGGCAAGGTGACTAGACTCCCTCTTCTCTAGGAATACTATGAGTTAGTAAACTAGACGTGGTTCAGGGGTGTATCCTTCTTTTTCTCTTATTAAATTACTTTTAATTTTGACTTATTTACTAGCTTGATGTAATTGGTTTCTGTTCGTAAACTGATTCCTAGATAGATTCCCTGTTATTAAAAATGAATGTATGTATAGTTTATTCTGAAAACATCCCATTAGCAATTCAAGTCAAAACTTAGTTTTATTCAACCTATAAAGATATTTTAAAGTTCATTTTTAACTTGAGAAATGGAGAAACTTTGTAAAACTCTCAAAGTCGTCTTCGTTACTGTTTGATATAGGTTTCACAGATTGCCAAAAACTAGGTTAGACTAGGTATTAATCTGTCTCTGACATCTTGGTGATGCATGCCCATGAATTTATTCGAAATGTGATCAAAGATTTAATAATCAGTCTTTGGCTGCTACTGAAAACCGACAAACTGGTGGAAGAAGCAGCAAAGACAGGACTGCAGGTGAACATAGACAAGACGGAAGTTATGAAAATAACCAACCAACAACAACAGCAGCAACATCCAGCGCTAATCACCATCAACGGGAAGGATTTGAAAGAGGTTACTTCTTTCACTTATCTAGGGAGCATTGTCTCAACTACAGGAGGAACGGACGAGGATGTCAAATCGAGAATCGGTAAGGCGAGAAACACATTCATCAACCTGAAACCAATCTGGAAATCTTCGTCACTCAGCATCAACAACAAAATTCGGATTTTCAATACAAACGTCAAGTCAGTTTTGCTATACGGATCAGAAACTTGGCGGGTCACCAAGAATATTTTCAACAGGCTGCAGACCTTTATCAACAACTGTCTTCGTTCTATACTGAAGATTAGATGGCCGGAAAGAATCACAAACAAGAAGCTATGGGAACAAACAAAACAAGAACCAATCGCTCAACAAATATGCAGGAGAAAGTGGAGATGGATTGGACACTCGCTGAGGAGGCCGTTGGGTGACATCGCGCATCAGGCCATAGCTCGAGTGGAACCCGAAAGGGAAGCGGCGAGTGGGACGTCCAAGGGTGACATGGAGGAGATCGTGTGATGAGGAACTGAAACAGTATGGATTAACATGGATGCAAGTGAAAAGTACAGCAGAAGACAGAAGCAAGTGGAGGCGTGCAGTTGAAGCCCTATGTTCCACTAGGAACCCAAGGGAACAATAATAATAATACGATGGCTGCTTTAATTTCTGGCCTCACTTTGATCAAATTACTCAAATAAATTTGACAAAATAAAATACGATAGTGCTTTAAGCACTATCATATCATTGTTCTAATGCACTTCACTAGGTTAAAAAACAATCTAAAATTCACTGACCAATATAGTTAACAATATATTAAGCCTTGACTTATATTCCGCCTTTATAAAAATCTGATGGAAGAATGGCTTTATAGCTTATGATACAGTGTTCACTCCTAAGGTCAACTTTATACACTGGTATGACAAGGGGAGACTATATGATGTGATTGAAGTGAATTGGTTTTAACAATAAATAATAATTATGTAGTCTTCATTATAATAAAGGTTTTTGTATTTCCCAATGAATGAAAAACAAAACGATATTGTTTTTACTGACGTTTCGCTATTTAATGCTAATAGCTTTATCAAAGTATTATTAAACCGGAATTTACAAAATCCACTCAGCATATATATAACAAAGAGTTAAGGGGTGAGAAAATAGACTTAGGTCGAGTTAAAAGGACATATTGAAAGTCGAAATAACAATGAAGATCACAAAGGTAGTAGTACATCTGTTATGATATCAAAACAAAGTTTAATAACTTGATCATCGTTCGTTAGTCTGGGGTCATTTTTCGTTTAATAATACTTTGATAAAGCTATTAGCATTAAATAGCGAAACGTCAGTAAAAACAATATCGTTTTGTTTTTCATTCATTGGGAAATACAAAACCCCTTATTATAATGAATGTCATATACCCAATGCCCAAATTTTTTCAAACTGTTAAAAGTGAACTTGGTTTAGACATATATAGATTATGTAGTCTTACTATAAGGTTGTTATCCTGCTGCATCATAGAGTAAATTTATTTGACAAAGTCACTGACAAAGTTTCGAGTCAGTAAATAATGCTGTATGTCACTGCATAATTTTTTCAAACAAATATACACTATGGTGGAATTATACTCTACCTTAGTGCCCAAGTTTTTATATTGTGTATATACGATGAGTGAAGTTGAAAGGCGATCTGAATCAGAAATAGATTACGAACCAGGATAGATGTTCCAAACTGTATCCTAATATAGACTTTCTTGTAAGTGCACCCATCACACTATGTACAATAGTTGTTTAGTATATACAAAATTGGACTTCATAACTGCAGGACTTACTTCAAATGGACCTACAAAAGCATCTTGTGATACATTGTAAACGTCTTCCCTCTCTATGCCTAAACAATTTATGTCGTACAACTGTGAATCTGGTGGCAAAATATTCCCACAAAAGCAGTAGGTTCCATTTACGACAGCGGATTGCGCGTAAGTGTAGTAAGCGCAGCTGCTTATACAATCTGAAGGATCTGTGGAGATCTACCAAGAGAAAAGATAGAGGTAAAACGTGGAAATAGTCATTACAAAGTTGTTTGAATGTATTTTTACTTAGCAAAATGACTGAGGTTACTTAATTGCTAATAAAAAAGAAAATTATATATTATATCATTCATTTTGGCTTAGGAGAGGATTTCTCGTATTTCTGGTAGAAATTTAGGACTATTAGAGTTAAAGCATTCGAGTTTAAGGATTATTAGGCGTTGATCACAGTGTTTTTCACCAGTCGGTAGAATTCGAGAAACATGTCAAATTTGAGTCCATATCAGTAGCTAAATATTAAATAGCTTATTTGTGAGACTTGAGCTACTGAAGTCTCAGGTACACACATACACTGATGACGAGTTCAAAACTGGAACAAAATAGCCATTCAATCAATAGTTTCACTACAATGCACACTACTTATTGATATTACATTTCACCACAATTTATTGTGGAGAAATCTATAATACATATGAATGCATAAGATATTACTGTCCTAAAAGTAATTTAAAGGTGACGAGGAGTTGGATAACAAATATTTCAAATACTAAATTCCACCAAGAATGACGTTTTGAAGAGCACGTCGTCATGAAGATATTTACTGGATCTTGACTCTCTCTCTCTCAAGAATGGCTTGGTTTCTGAACTGAATTTCTACGTAAATGTTATTATTTTAATCATATACTTCATTCACATTTTTGACTGACACACAGTGCTTTATAGTCCATGCAAATGGTTAATTAAACACAAAGAATGAAAGGTTTTCTGTTTTCTAATGAAAAACTTAAAATCCATGAGAAGAGAGACGTATTCGATAAGCTTTAGTGACAGGAATAATATCAGTTACAGAAAAAGAAATTCCTAAACTGATGTGCAAAGAATGAGATAAATTTTTCAAGCTAGATATTTTTTTGTGATTGAAGTGAAATATTAGTCACTGTGCAAAGTCAGTTGGCAGACAGTATGGCTGATATAACAGTAATTCTCATTATCAAGGGTATATAAACCAAATGGCTTAAGCCGCACACTTATTCGTAACTCTTCCCTATAAAGCATTGATACTGTAATAATAGGGAGTATCTTTAACATTAAGAGGAAGGACAATTAATATACAGAATTATAGACAAGTACATGTTTGAATAAATAGTTATGCTTCATCTAAGCGGATTTTTGTTTGAAAACCTTTGATTGTTAAAATAATGAAAAGATTTAAAAGTCACACAATGTAGACTTTTCCTCCTTCTCAAAAAAAATTTCTACCTTTGAACAAACAAAAGGCAGTTTTTAAGAGTTGAATCCAAACACTAAAACCGATTAACAATAACTTTTTTCTTATCTAATTGCTTTTGTGAGTGTTCATGTACAGTTTCTTCTTAATATTTACTTTGATAGTCTTTTAAAATAATCTTTATAATTGAAAATGTGTCGACTTCATATTTCATGTCGCAAGTGGCTTAAGTGTACTTGCTGTTAAGTGACTGTTCCTTTGCATCAACAGACTGTTAAGGGAGGTGTGAGGCAAAGCTTGCTAGTTTTACACTCACTGAATAATCACCCAAATCTGTTTTGACTACGAGAACTGATTACTATTAGTTTAAAGTGGTAAGGCAAATTTTTTAGAACTCGTGTTTCCATTTGTAGATGAAGATATGCTTAGCAAAGCAAACCGTTTAGCAGCTTTTATTTATGAGAATCTCAAATTAAAGCAATAAAAGTTAGCAGTTTGCAAATTAGTTTGCAACTGACTTGTGGAATTGCCAGTTCATTCAACTAGCCAGTCAGAAATCTGTTAGTTTGAAATAATATGACCATCTCTGCTGAGTTAAGCCGGTACCGCCACTGATAAGCTTGCCGCCAAAAGAGTAAAACAGCCTCTGGTTGATGCGAGAGAAATACAACTACTCAGTTAATCGGTAGTATTTATTTGTTAAGGAATACAAGGCCTTAGAACACCTAAATATAAAGATTTTGTGTTTCTGTTGTCTTGTGTGTATCCTGCTCCCACTCACACTTATGTGAGCAAAAATCATAACAAAATATAAGCTCACCGCGTTCGAATCGTAAAATCCCGGAGAAAAGTTGAAATATCTTTCTTCTCCTGTCTCCATATAATAAACAGGTGGTGAAATAGCACATTCTATTCAAAAAATAGTTAGGTTAATATGGCATAATCTCTTACCAGTTTCAAACACACCATGAGAGATTAAAATAATCTGTAAGGATATTAAAAATGGAATAGGAATACATATTTAACTCATTATAAACAAAACTTGTTTCATTGAAAAGATTGATAGAAGTTCCTATTATCAAGAGAAATCGACATTTAGTACTGCTTAGTTTTATTTTACCTCGTAGTGCGAATGAAATATTTCATTGAACAATGAAAATGATCTATACTTTTAAATATCCTTCATAAAAAACGCTGAAATTCAACAAGTGACACCCTCATACTCTGTTACTGTCATCAAACATACTATCTTTCCACAAGTTTGAATTTCTCTAGTTGAAACGAGCTATGTTTTTACAGGTACTGCTACTGATTTAAAAATCTTTAGTATTTCTGAGAGTATTTCAGAACACAAAAATGCATCACAACCAATAGAAAGTCTGATGTACTGTTCAACTTCAGATTCGAATTTTGAATTATTGAAGAGTGGAATGTTTTCTTTCAGTATTAACAACCGTCACAAAAGAAGAAATCTGAGCTCAGTGACTGTTACAGATTGTGTTCTGGTGTAGCTCGCTCATCCATACCTCATGATAACCGTTTTACGAAGCGATTTAGTCTGTAAAGAGGCCGATTATTTAGTTTTATCATTTTGAATTCTTACTGATCATACGTTATGAATGAAAGTAGAGAAAAATCAAACCCACCAACATTTTTAGTGCGATAGTAATTTTATCTAACTGGAAAGACCACATATTCTAAATGGTCATATTTGTTTTTTCTCATTTCCCACTGACTGATCTTCATTTAACCAAAATGCTCCTTACTCTAGAGGTATGTCGGCTGCTAGTATAGTTGTTTCGATGATGTCTAAAGGTTGATATGGTGCTGTTTAGTCGATAATGGCTAGGATTGGAATCTAGAACAAAACGTGACGCCTGAGTTTCACTGCTAGCTATAATTAATTAATCTTAAATAATCCTACTTTACAGAAAGAATATTTCCATTCTCACCAAGCAAAGTGAATTTCACTTCATAAAATAAAAAAAAAAAAACCGAATGATTAGATTTACCCACAAGTGACCTTCAAAATTCACTTTAATTTGCGTACTATTTGGGTATATATATGACGTTTAATAAGATCTGAGTAATTTTGCTGAAGAAACCTTGGCTTTTACAGCAAAATGTTCAGAACATTTTGTCTTGATTTTCTAAACGTGCTGGAATTATTTTAAATAATTTTATAAAGTTCTGTGATCTAGTAGTCCAGCAAATTGCCTAATGATTGACTGTTGAATCTCAATTATTTTGCTTTTCAATTCTCTAAAAATTGTCAAATTAACTTGCGACAGTGTACAGAGTATCCACTTTTCGATAGTGTAAATACACTGTGTATATAATGGAGTCACAGATTTAAAACAACATAATTACAATTATTTTTCATTTAAGATATGAATATTAGGTACACATCATGTGTTTGTTACTACGAAAATAGGATGAAATACTCATTATAACTTACAACCAGACAACCAAACGATATCCACCTATAAATCCTTCCAGAAAGAATCATGTTCATGTAAGTTCTTGAAACATGTAAGGAATATCTTTCCTATCTACAGAGACTTATATACCTTCTCAAGTTGCCATGACAATGGATAATAGAAGAAAACCACAAAATGTATTACTAAATTAAATGCCCTCTTCTTCACAATAAATAATTCAGCAGAAATGTATACTTAAATTAGAGAACTTATTATTATCACTTTTTTCCTCAGTGGGCTTTTCCTTTTTCTATACACTAATATTCAACGAAGTACACAATAGGCTTTGTAAATAAACAGAAAAAGGAAGACTAACATACAAAAACACACAAAGACTAGCTGATAACTGAACAATGTTAAAAGGTTACATGTATTTGTTTTCTAAAGTACAAGAGAAAAATTCTATCATACAGACCATAACAACAGCTAGAACAATTATGAAAACAATAATCTACAAATGTTCTAAAACCTGTTGCAAGCCTGTTCTTTTTTCATGTGGTTTGTTTTTGCACACCCACTTCATCCTTTAATTTACTCAGTTCTTCAGCTATACTCATCCTTTCTTTAACGGCTTATGAAAGCTGTAAAGGCTCATTTAAAATGGTCTACAAAATTACAGCTGTCTTCATATGAATCATGATAGTTGCCATTTTTTACCATTGGACTAAAGCCAAAATAATAACACAATCCAGTTACCTATTGCATACATTTTTAGGTATTAACCTATTAGTCATACTTAATATATAATAGTTGTGTTGTCCAGACTGAAGTGAGGTCTTAGTCTATATCTTCTGGCTATAGTTCCAATAGGAACGAGGCTAGTCACCCACATCTGTGCTGCTGAAATCCTATGTTCCACCCGAGGGAATATAATAATATGCTGCAATTATAAAACTGACTGAATGTCTGAGACGAAAAGATCACTGAGCTTTCAGTGAATACATTTTGGAGACCCGCTGCAGGTTAATGAATAGTGAAGTTGATTTTGATTTGCAAAGAGTAGGATGAATATTTCTGAATAAACAGGAGCTGATTGACAATTACTTGGTAACTATTAGACGATCTGTTTTGGTGAAGACAGGTTATTTAAAGTTAACCAAGGTGATACAGTATTATTTGTCAAGTAAATCTACTCTGTGATGGGATTAGACCCTACCACAGTGCTCAAATTCTGTTCTTAGATTAATCAGTTGTAAAATGGAATTGTAAAATGGATTAGATTTACAGGCACAAAATATCAGTAATATTCTGTAGGGATCAAAAAAGGCTTTTTCCTACTTGATTCCCACCGCCAACATTTCACAGGCAAATTACAATAACTATTGACCACTACTACCAACGTAGACAGAATTGTGTACCCCCTTCTACTAACTACAGTATCTCCTAGCTTAGTTATTGAACAATCCGAGATCAAATTCTACTGCAGATGAACTAAAGCTTTGCTGCACTGAAGCCAGGATAAATTCATCTGGCTTAAAACTGTCTGTGCGTCGGTGGCACAGTGGTTAGGACTCTCGCCGACCATGCACATGGTCCGGGGTTCGACCCCCTGCCGACGCACACCTGATATCTATGGTCGGCCTGCAGAATTTGGGCTACCGATATCACATGCTGAAAATTCCACACTTGTACCAAAAATACTGTGTGGTTTCAAGCTATAATCAAAATTTTAAAAAATCAAATCAAAATACAGTTTGTTGAGTGTAAAAATACTACTGAGCACGAAAAATCTCCGGAATTATGTAAGTCCTAACCGTCGAGAGAAGCGCATATGCCCAGTTAACTAGCTTGCTAGTTTTCTAGTCGGTCCGAAGCTCGGGTAAAGAGGGAGGGTTGGGGGTAGGGCTAGCGACCCCACACTAATAAACCTTTCAAACCGCTATAGATACTTCAACACAAAAAATATATATTGAAAATATAAAAAATTCAAAGAACGATCGTATTCTTCCCTGGAAGTGGAGAGGCCAAATGACGCGGGCTGGTGAAAGCCTTCGGGAGTCTAGTCAGACAGCAAATGTGTCTTCTCTCGATGAAAGCAAGAATAAGAATGGGGATGGGGAATGTCCGTACACTGTACGAGACTGGGAGGGCTGCCCACGTAGCCAACGAAATGTGAAGATATGGCATAGAAGTGATGCGTATCTGCGACAGCAAATGGAATGGATGTGGATTATCCAAATTTTCAACTGAAGAGTCAGTAATCTGGTTACCCACACGACAACCATGGGCACACTGAAGCAGTGAGTGGTGATAATGATGTCACCAGTGGTAGACGGAGCTATAATTCGGTGGGAACCAATTTCATCCAGGATCATGACAGCAAGATTCAACTCAAAAGAAAGGTAGGTTACAATTATTCAATTCTACGCACACAGGCAAAAACAACGCGGAACAAGACAAGAAGGAAGAGTTTTACAGACAACTACAAATAGTAATGGACAACATCCCGAATGGTGACATCAAAGTCCTCATGAGCGATATGAACGCCAAGCTGGGACATGATAATACAGGAAGAGAACTCATCATGGGTCGAGAGGCTATCACTCGGAGAAATGAATGAGAACGGAGAGCTACTCAAAGACTTCAGTGCTTTCAACGATCTAGTGATCGGAGGCAGTGTGTAAAAGCACAAGGACATACACAAAGCAACAACGGATGGCTTCACTACAGATCAGATCAGAGCAAAGTCGGACATACTACGTATTATCACCGAGGAAACCTGTGTGGAAGAACATTGAAACTCTCTGCAGGTGATGTTCAAAGAAACGTGTAAAAATGTTCTAAGGAGAAAGAAGAAACACGACAAAGAATGGCTGTCAACGGATACGTGAAAGCTAATGGAGGAGAGGAGAGGAGGATGATGAAAGAGAAGATGACTCAATGCAAAGATGGGCAACAGAAGGAAAGGCTGAGTTCACAGCAGTGTACACTGCACTGAATCAAGAAAGACGTGAAGAAGAGTGCTAAGAAAGGCAAAAGACAATTCTACGAAACATTGGCAACTGAAGATGAACACGCCGGTAAAAGAGACCCCAGGATATTATATAAAATAACGAGGTCCCTATCACGGAAGAGATCAACCCAGATGATGAAACCAATAAAAGATGCTCAAGGGAACCTGATCACCAAAAAGGAGAAGCAAGTCAAATAATGAGACGATTCCTTTGAAGGACTCTGGAATCGACCACCACCGGCAACAGGTCCAGAAATATCACCAACAGCATTCACAGAAATGTCTGTCAGTAGACATCAATCATACAGAAAGAAGAAATACTAGAGCGAAAACAACCAGCACCAATCACCATCAACGGGAGAGGTTTTACAGAGGTTACTTCCTCCACTTATCTGGTCAGGAAGCACGGTTTCAACCACAGACGGCGGAACGGATGAAGATGTCAAAGCAGGCCAGAATCAGAAAGGCAAGATACGCCTTCATCAACCTGAAACCAGTTTGGAAATCTTCTGCACTCAGCCAGCATAAAGAACAAGATTCGGATTTTCAACACCAATGTGAAGTCAGTCCTTCTATACGGGTCAGAAACTTGCACTGCGTGCCACGAAAAGGATTTCCAACAGATTGCAGACTTTCATCAACAGCTGCCTTCGCTCCATACTCAAGATCAAATGGTCAGAAAGAATACTTAACAAGGAACTGTGAGAACAAACCAACCAAGATTCGATCGCTCAACAAATATGTAGGAGAAAGTGGAGATGGATTGGTCGGGCATACACTGAGGAGGCCATCGAATGATATTGCGTGGAATCCCAATGGGAAGCGACGAGTGGGTCACCGGTGCCAGGGTGACATGGAGGAGATCATGTGAGGAAGAAATTGTGGACAATCTTGGTCCAAGCTGAAGAGGATGGCAGAAGATAGAACAAAGTGGAGATGTGTTTTTGAAGCCCTATGTTCCACTCGGAACTCACGGGAATAATAAATAATATAAATATAATTAAATGAATCACTTAGATTATTACTACAGATGAATTTAAGTAGATTCTGGGTGTTAGACTTCATGAGATTAAGTAGTCTAGAAAAAGTTCACTTAGTGATGTGCACACACCTGAGCACAATCACAATGAAATATGATAGGATAAAAGTATTAAAAAGTAACCTAGTTAGATAGGCAGAGAGAGAGAGAGGGGGAGAGAGATTAACGATAGAATTACTGATCATGGAATCAATTCAACACACACACAGTAGAAATGACATGACACACTTTAAAGGCTTAGGGAAAACAGCACTAATAAAAGGGGTAGAGTAGAACTATATGAAGCCAGTTGGGAAGCTGTATGAGTGTACTCAGAAAATTATGAGCAATAAATTGTACTCTAACTGTGATCCATTTATTAATACTTTATTACAATGATTTGCATCGAATAAACTTACCTGATATAGAATCTACATGTGTTGTAATTAATTCCTATTTTTGGTGATGAGATGTTTTAACTGCAATCACAATTCATTGACATGAAAAGATACATCAACAACGTATTCTTCTTTGAAAAATATATTTACATTGTTGTCTACTTTCATTTGTATTCGTCAGTGTTGTTTTAAGTGAAATGTAGGAGAATCCTACCAATCAGTTTCATGAATACCTAGCAAGTGGACCACTCAGGTAGAGAAATGTGAAATTTAATCAAATGTATGAGGTGTAAAAACCATACGAAAAATTAAATGGTTAGGTTGAGAAAGTAGGGTGTAGAAAATAGAAATATTAGTGGGCAGTATATTACATACCCTAATGGTATGAATAGGTAAAGAAGTGTATGGTATCCGGATAAAAACTATGCATAACTTTTCCCTTATACATAAGAAATGTTTAATCATTCTAACGGGTGTTGCATACTTCTAATGTCTTTCAGAAGAGGGAAGCAAAAGTTTTGCAACAGAAATCAAAAGTTCATCTACATTTAAGCACGGTTTCCCACCTCTTAAGTAAACCACTGTTGAATATCTCGAGATTACCTGGTTATTATTATTATTATTATCATTATTCCCGTGAGTTCCGAGTGGAACATAGGG